TTTTGAAAATGGTTGATTATATGAAAAGATTCAAAAAAGTTCCATTTCCTTTACCAAATGATGCAAAGGCTATTAAGAAAGAGAAATTGCTGATTGTGTATAAGCCAAAAGAAAATGATTGTTATCGTTGTGGCAGTAATCTGGACGGACCACATCGAATTAGCCATCGAGCCAAAATTTTGACAATGGAAGGGTTTATTGAAGGTGTTGAAACATTTTTTAAGTTGTGCAGAAACTGCAATCTGTTCTACCGTTATCAGGAGTACGAAGATGGTGTCCACAACTTTGATGATATATTTTTCTTAGGCCTCGATGTTTGTGCCTTTTTAAGGGAGTCGACAGTAAACCATGTTGCTATTGGCACAATTTGCAACATTTTGCAAGGGCTCTGGAAAATAAAGATTGATTTCCAAAAAGTATTTACTGCATATGCTCATTTTGAAGCCCTCAGTGACAGAACGTACGAATTTAATTGTGTGAAATGCGGACATTTTCCAACCATATTGATTGCTGACCTGAATAGAAAAGTTGCATTTAATTGTTTATCAATGCATGACTCAATTGTGTTGGCCTTAAGAACATTTTTTCCTTGTTGGTTCCCTAAATTACGCAAGAATTCTACATCAAGTTGCAAAGACTCTGGAAACAAAGCGTTGTTAACCAAAAGTAGATGCTGACATTCCCTTCCCTTCATGCCCGATCTTGCAGCAATAGACATTTCATCTCTACAACTATCAACTTCACAATCTACAGCTACACCATCAATAGAATTTATTTTCTTTAAAACATGTACAGGGAACCCTATTCCACCATGTTGTGACCTTTTAACCATATACAGCCCTTTCTCTCTGTCACAGCAAACAGCTGTGAATAAAAATTCTGTATTATGAATCGTTTTCATGTGCCTTTTGATATTCTTTTTTGAAATCATTTTCTTACATACTTTACAAAAGTACGTTTTCTTACATACTTTACGGCCCGGGTTTTGATTTAAAATCTAATAAAACTTGTCATCTTGATAAAACGGGAGGATCTCCTAAGAATTTTACGGATTAAAGCCATGAAATTGTGCTCAGTGAACCTACTGCGCTTCATTTCTCTATTTTACCCGTGAGAGCCGACCCGCTTCTCCATTTTATCCCGAGAGCCTATATTTAAACTATTAGTCAACACAAAGGTGACAATTATTCGGTAATTGAGTGTTGACAATAGGATAAAACAGCGGTTAATCCGATTTCTCTATTTTACCTCTGACCGGAAATATTTCTCTATTTACGCTCTTCTCTATTTTACCCGGCTCGCGACCAATATGGGTGGAATCTTTGGTCTGTTTTACTAAGCACCTAACTGTCCCCCATTTTGCTTATGATATACTGTTTCGATCCGAAGCTCCTACTCGGGCTCCATAGTGCTGCCATGCAGCGTTAATTTTTATAGTATTTCTTTGTTTCTTTGGTGATTTTTATTTAAGATTTTCTATAGAGGTCTAGGACTATAAATTTTCTGTATACCGAAAGCAAATATCTAGCCTCTAAATTCATTTCAACGAAATTTTTCTGAAAGGAAGCTGTTGTTCCTTATTTCAAACAAACAAAGTTTTGGTTATCGTGATTTAAAGAATTTCGAGAAAGTTCCAATAAAACAATCATTCCTGAATAGATAGTAAGATCAAATTAGCTGTGTAGCGAACTGTACGCAATCATAAAGCCGAGGAATTACAATCTTCAAAAAGAGAAGCAATTGACTGTGTATTATTAGCTATGCTAACACTAAAACTTTACTCCAAACGCTGCAAAGGTCTACATTACAGAATTTGCCTGGAACCGAATTTTTACGTTGCATTGTTTTCGTTACTACAGCAAACAGGTTTAAAACCACAAAAATTGAAAAGAAGCAAACAATATTTCAGGCTTTCATGAAAGAGTCGCTTTTGGACTCTTCATTTTTGCTTCCTTTTTGTTCACAATTTATGAATTTATTCTATTGATCACGCTAGATAGCTACCATTAATAATTGTTTGCACTCAACAGACTTTAAGCACTCAAATCCATTCCCTCTCCCTTTGCACAATGGTGCTAAGTTTCGGCATTTTGTGGGCTAAAGTAATAGTCCTGTCGTTAAAAGCCATAAAAAGGCAGTGAGAAAAGATCTGTGTTGACTTTTTGCAGGCTTTCAGTCTGGGGCTTCCAGCTAATTTTCGATAATAATTTATTATTTTCACACTTACGCACATCAGACCCAAAGTTTAGTGTGACGTAGGCTGTTAACCTTAATAGGTCGCAAACTAAACGCGGTCAAGTTATGGGACCATTTCGATGAAATCACAAGCGATACTTTGCTTTGTCTGCTAGTTACGGCGGTCGTGGTTACGCTAACTTGACTGCGGGTAGCCAATGGAGCGTCAATGAACGAATCGAAACTGGCCTACCACCAATTGAACCATATTAGCCTCAGACCGACCAAATATTCTCCAAACAAAAGAAATTTGCTCCTATTGCGAAACGTAATTCATTATAATTGGTGATTAAATTGTCTGACATAATAACTAGACTTTGTTAAAATTGGCAGACAATAGACCACTAATATCTTAGTAGCCTTACTTCCAATTTGAGTTTCTTGCACCCGGTTTTTTCTTTAGATCTGGAAAATGGCCTATTGGGGAAATGAACTGCTTTTTTTCTTGCAATATAAAGATACTCCGTGCTATCATGTCGTCCACCGCCCATAGTCATTTTCCCGCTAATTGTATTGAACATTTCGAAGTCTGAGATTTCAAGTCTTGTCCTATAAATTATTATAATTTTTCAGCCCTATGGAAAAAAAACCCCTGCCCCAATAAAATCCAGAAGACACGTTTATTCACTGTCTAAAGAGAATATTTGCCTTTGAGATTGTTACAAGGTGACAGTGGCCGTCTCCAGCTTCTCCTTTTCCCTACTTTTTCCTTTACAATTAAGTCTTATTCAATAAACATCTTTGCTTTTTTATATTTTGCCTTCTTGCACAATAAATTCCGCTTGCAACGTGAGAAAATTATTTATTATCCAATATAGATCATAAAGAAGGGATCACAAAGTATATTCTAACTTGTCAATTATGTAATCCTTATTAGGTGCGTTCCTGTTGCATATAAAGTTGAGCAAAGGACCTGAACGATGCACCACCCATTTCTTCCTACATTTCTTAAAACGAATCAGCTTTGTTCGCCATTTTCAAAAATTATATTGCATTTAAGCTTGTACATCCGAAGCAATAATGCTGCATGGAAGAACTTTTAGTTTTTTAAGCAAGAGTCGCTTTATTATCATCGCGTATCAAAATAAAATGCCATTTGGCATTTTCTGGTGCTCAGAATTCTTCTTGCAGTACTTAAGATAAGTCGTAGCATAGTTGATATAATTTCAACTATGGTTGCAGCAGTGCTTTAATTAGCGGTAAATTGCATGATATGGCATCTACAATCATTTTGCCTTATCAGTTTATGTTCATAACATAATATGATCTAACATGCTTCTAGAAGGGATATCGTTGATCGGTATCTTCGTGCTGAAGCCGCGACCTTCTGACCAGCTAGGTTATCAGCCCTGTTAGCTGTACAATCACTTGGTTCATTGGGCCTAAACTTGTTCTGCTCCCCGGCAGATAGCTGCCATCTGACCAAATCTTGTTGGATTAGTCATTGATTGGTCATTGATTAACCATAGATACGAGATTGATAAGTGATAAACAACTCGAAACTGATTCCCCTTGCCAGCAGCTTCACCTCATGGCAGTATTTCTACTAAGGATTTATCATTGTAAGTAGAAACAAAGGACAAGAGGATAAAACGTTCAAAACAATTCCTGCTAGCACATAACAAATTTCAAACTAAAAATCTTCTTATTTATGGTTTACGGTTCCATCATCATGTTTTATTTTTAAGGATAAATTTTTCACGGGGGGGAGGGGGGTTGTAAAGAATTGATTTTGACCAATTGATCTTTTTCTTTAAAGTTTTACCTTTTCAATGTTCCTTCTTCCAGCCGATTTCCAACTTCTGGAAAATTTTAAGATCTGCGCTTTTTTTTTTCAAAAAAATCTTTCATTTCGGAGCCTTGAAGCAGATTTCAGTATTAAGCGATTTGAATGACGGTTGTAAATTGTGCTTGTGAATGAAGACTTGTGTGTGAGTTCAAAATTTTTTTGCCCTTCAATATCTTTATCAAAATAAGAGCAATTTTTCTCACAATTTACGGTATAGAGTGTCAAACACATCCTCTTTTGTATCTTCGAATAAACCATCTTTTTCCCCCTGAAAAATTAACGGGAAACCTGTCCTGAAATCTTTGTTTACAGTTTGCTCAATTCAGTTTATAATCAGCCAGCATCGTCAGGTAGACAAGATCACAGTAAATTGCCTTGAACTTTGGTTGCATTCCAACCGGCTGATTTGATTATGGTCAATGTATAGGTAATCATTAGGAGAAGCATTTTAAATTGCCCAGCTCCCATCAAACCAGTGGCAGTTAAGTTTTGTGCAGACGCTGCTCGCACTGCTGGGTAAGTAGCTAGTGAAGAGCCATTGCTGCCTTAAGCCTAGCTTATCTTGTGCTGCTCCTTGAGGTACGTTGCACTGCAGCCCGGATGCAGGCAGTTTTATTCTATTTCATTCTCATTTAAAATTTCCTTCGCATGTTTAATTTAAAATATTTCTTGCATTTTTTGCTTCGATGCTGGTGTTATAACATGGCATCAAAAAAATTGCACCGTTCTTTGAAGTTTTATATTTGAGCCCGTTTATTTTGTCTTTTTTTATCAGCATATTCATCAAAATCAATATCTGATTGCTTAAGTCCTGTTGCTATTAAGAGTGGAACATTGCAAACAGTGTTAAATTTATGCGTTTGCGTGCACTGTGCATGAAAAACATTGTAGCTAAGAAACAATGTTCAACTGTATGATAAATACCTTACCAATGCAATGATTATCGTTAGTAAATTGAGCAGCAGTAAAACTATGCTAAACAGCAAGTGACTAAACAGCAACAAAACAATTTCTTTGCAACGCAACGATGTTCGTTTTTGCAGCTCTGCGATGTTTTGTTTTGCAACAAAACGGTGTTTTGTTTTTGCAACACAACAGTGTTTTGTTTTTGCAACTCTGCGATGTTCTGTTTTGCAACATAACGATGTTTTGTTTTTTTCGCCATTCAGCAATGTTTTGTTTTCACCACTCAGCAATCTTTGTTTTTGCAACACAACGATATTTTTGCAATACAACAATGTTTTTGTTTTGCAATAAAACAAAAGAGTTTATCTACTGCTTTTGAAATGATTTCGGTCCATTTTTGGAAGTTTTATTATTGCACATGTTTCGCTCTTGCATCCTGATTTTGATTTCTCCTTTTACATTAGACAAGCGAAACGGTGCAATAATATAACAGTGACTTTTTTACTTTCTACTTTTTGATTGCTTAGTATCAATTATAGTTTGCATATGTATTTGGTAAAATTAGGTTTCAACTATCAATATCCTACTATTAGCGTTGCGCTTCACCTGCTTGTCCACTTGACTATTCATCAGACGTCTTGGTCTGTCAACCCTTCAAAACTGCACTCAGAGATTTGTTACCTAGCCTTACTTGTTTTTAGTTGGTTGTGATGAGCACTTTTCAAAACTACAACCCTTACGCGAGAATGAAAGACATTTTTGTAAAGGAGGCCAGAAATGGACTTTGCTGTATGCCATTTTTTTAATTGTGCCAATTTGCGAGGTAGATTTGTTTTTGATAACCTCAAAATTCTTTGCCAAATGCTAAATCGATCTGGTAGACACAGCTTTGTCAGCCATTTTCTTTGCTACTGAGACATCCACATCTAAAATATTTTAACCATGGCATTTAGGTCTTCAAAATCAATAATTTGTTATTTTTCTAGACGGATTTCGTTCGAAAAGATCAGGCGACAATGATGCAGCTGCATGCAAAGAATCTCTGGCTTTGCTTCAAGCAGATCTGCAGTTCGGGACACTTTCTGGTAAATTCACCCACCACGAGCACGCTAAAACACTTGAGCAGTGCAAATCTGCTTGTTGTCGACGACATGGATGTGATGTAGCGTACATGAAAGGGAGCAGTTGCTACTCTGTGGATTGCAAAGATGAGAAATCGTGTTTATGGGTGGATGCGAGTGGTCTCTCTGAGCCTATAAAATTGGTTTATATCACTCATACTGATGTGAAAGCTCATCTCTCGAAAGGTACTTTGAATCGTAAGCTATGCATTGTAAGAGTCATAAAAATATTCATAGTCTCTGACTGAGGAAGAGTGCTTGAGGAATGAAGGATTAAGCTATCCTGGGGTGCTAGTGAATATTTTCATAGATTTTTAAGTTTGTTATTTATTCTTCCAATTTGTTACAGTTTCTTGAAAGTTTTTTATTCGTAATTTTATCATTAAAAGAATATAACTGAGAAGCATTCTTTTTCCACTAAATGAATGTAACATCTAGATACTCTAAAAAAGATCTTGATTTTTTTATTATTTTTCATTTTCTTTAACATAGCTTTGTATTGCCGTTTGTTTTCGAAAACCTTCCAGAACAAAGACTTTAAGATAGCGCTGAGTATAGTAAAAATTTGAAAAAATTGAAAGTCTTGAGAAATTTTCAAAAGCTAAATTGCAGCACATGTAAAATACTTCCTCTTGTGCCGATTTGTTCCGATATGCAAGCTCACTTTGTTTTGATACACATACACAATACACAAACTGAAACGTTTTCGAACCCTTCTACCATTTTTCTACACTAATTCTATCCACGCGGTATTTTTACCCAAACGAGGCTAAATAAAAATGTTTCATAACTTGTACAGGTCTAACTGGTACATCTTAGATTAAATCACGCTTTTTATTTTTGGGTTAGCGTACTACAAACCATAGATAACATAGCTAACATTGCAAAGCTTCTTCAATGCATTTCGTTAGGAGGCATAGTGTATTAGGGAAGGACATTGCGCCTAAACTTCATACTGTTTTATAATCTTTACTTAATATTTTCTCTTAAGATTAAGGAAATTCTTCGTTTTCGCACAGGAAATGCTTCCAAAGCTGAACATGCTGATGTATCTACGCAGAGACATGATGCTCCGACGTCGAAGACGTTTGATATGCATTCGAGTCTGCCTGCAGAAGGCAGCATTGCTCCAACTGAACAGCCCACCCGTAACATAACAACACCTTCACAGGTCAACCAACTACTTCAAACAACGACATCACCTTTACCAGCTTCCACAACCAGTATCACTAATGCTGATCATGATATTTCACAAGGTAATGGTTTTCCAAAGGAGAATACCGTCGAATATTTCATAGTTAACTAGCCTTTGCTATTTTGGTAGTAAGCCTGTAGTTTTGAAACAATTCAAGTTTTTCTCTTGTGCGTGAAAAGTTTAACTTGAACGCAATTTACTCGTAGAGAAACTTCATGAGGCAAAATTTGTGTTTTGAGTTAGAGACTGGTATTTATGCTAGATACCTAATTAGGTTTACCCCATTTATAAACATCATGTCGTGATGTTTAAAAGAAAGCATATATTTGATTTAAGGTGACGAAAGGGGTACGAGAAGGAATATGGTCCCTACAATATGGTCATCTGAGCCCGTTGAAAGCAACGTATTGTCCAGCTCAGCTTATAATAATGCCAGCGAATTGCCAAAGATTCTTCTTCAGGACCTAGCAAATGCAAACTCAAGTGAAGGTAGCCAAGTGCTGGCAGCTGGAGAGCCTAAAGAAGATTCAGACTTGTCTGAAACTGATCAGAACCTTGCGACAGTTTTTGAAGAATCTGATCTTGGTGCGGCTACAAATGCCAACGAGGTCGAAAGCGACGAATCAAAACCCAGACAGATTCTACTCCAAGATTTAGAGAAAATTGGCTTATCACCAACAGGTAAGAAAACAAAAGACTTGGAAGATCAAGAGCGTTTGAGTGATAACGACGCTGTGCAGAAGACAAATCTAGCCAACACGCTATTCCAGAGGTACCAGAGTGGGTATGATAGCTTTAGTGATGGGGAAAGTGTTGCAAGTCAGAGACTAAATCAGGCAATGGCTGGCCCCTTGATAGGCAGCGAATCTGAAGATGATCAGGTTGACAGTCGAGACTGGATTGTTGACGAGCTTGCGAATGCTGGGACTGGGACGCAAGTGCCACAAGATGACTTCGTTTGGTCAAATGCTGCAGAAGACCTGATGCTGAGCACCAAGCGAATGCCTTCTTCCCCAACTACAGCATACCAAGACCAAGAGAGCTTGCCACGTGATCTTATCGATCAAGACAGTGAAAATATTATGCTGACAAACCCGACCGCCTTCCAAACGACAGTCCCCGCCTCAGACCATGAGTTTAGCAAGTATGAGGAACGTGACTGGGAGGAACCAAATAATCTACTGCCAGAGTTCGGAACAGATAGTTTAGGGGCATTTGTTGATCAGAACGGTGCTTCTGGTAATTATGGTGATGTTGGGGATGAAATCGACTTTGAAGTAGTGAAGCAGATTAAAAAAAGTAAAATCCCATTGCCAACAGGCAGCGTTAAAGCTAACGGCAAAGGTAATGCTGATCAAAAAATATTTTAGAATGTTTAACTGTTAGGGTAAAATGAGATGTTGTGACGACTAAACTTGGGTCCACAAGCAAAGTCTTGTGGATTGTGACTAAACTCTATGAATTATTACGAGAAATTTAACTTTGTCTAGGCAACACCTTGCAAAATCTTCTCTCAAAAACGTTTTAGCTTTAAGATCTGAATATTTCAGCTAAATCAACATCTACTGAATACCTTTTATGCTGCTCTCTATGCACCTAATATATTGAAAAGTAAGATTACATTAAAATATTTAAAAAGAGATTTCGAATGACAATTCTATGATTTGCTGCATCTTCCAAAGAAAGTGCTTATATTGCTACCTTCTTTTGGCTCTTGGTGATTGCATATTATCTTTTCTACTACGTTATTGCATATTATCTTTGAGTACAACCCTTTGCAAGTAAAACCACACATTTCTCTTGTTCAAGGAAGATTTGATTTTTTCAATTGACAAATATCGATAATTTTTTTATTTATTCATAGGTGCAAAAAATACAACAGAATCTGATTCCAAAGCCAGCCAAAGCCAACTGTCAAGAAATGCTACCACTGACGGTGGAGAAAAGACTAACTCGAACAGTAGCCAAGGTACAATACAAACGAAAGCAAACTGTGAGTTGCTTTTTTAGAGTAACGATTTAGTGGTTTGTTTGACTAGGTACTCTACTGTGAATATTTTGGTTGTTGCAAAGAACACACCTGGCCAATTTTACCCTATTAAATCTAGCTTAGGTTGCTCTGAAGGCAGCTTCAAAGTTTTGTTTGAACAGAGAGGTTACCAGTTCAAGTAAGCCTGAAGAGACACCTATCTAATCTCGTTATAAGAACATGTGACCTTTTTGAAAGTGCTTCAGTCTTGTTCATTCTCTCTCTATCTCTGTATCTCGATGTAGTATAATTTGATTATAATTGATGTAATCGAATTTTAATCTCTGTTCGACAGACCAAGTGACGAAAAAACAAGAAAACAAAATGACAAACTTTACTGTTAAGACGAGAACTGATAATACCCATCACAGAAATGTTTCACAACACAAGGAAGGTGAAAGGGTGGTCTCTTACAATGTTTTGCTGCATGCAGACAACACCCCTCTGCCACCCAGCAAAACAAGAGACCAGATCGGTCCACCTTCCTCAACTGTAAGCTCAGCTGCGGGGAAAGTTTCTCAGATGGGAAGGATGTCAAACACACATGATTTTTTTAGAAACGGTAATAGTAGTCTACACCGTCATGTAACTAAACACCACCAACGCACATCAGAAGGGCACAAGAAATACGTATCTAAGCAAAAGAGTAAGCCTCTGGTGACGAAAGACCTGCAGGACAGGTCTACCGTGCTATCAAGTGAACCAAAGAGAATACCGTCTTATAAAATAAACAAACTTCATAAGGATGAAGAATCAAAAGAGAATACCAAAATAATAAAGGAAGCTACAAAGCTCTTAGTATATCAAAATGATTCTTGGCTGCCAAAACCTAATGACAACAAAGCACAGAGGATGGTTAGCCATTTGATGACCTTTGGCAAGACTTCCTTAAAAATAGCAGAGTGTCTTAGCAATGGCACAAAACCTTGTGTTGATCAAAATGATGAGAAAAAAACCAAGCTTTTCAATGCCTTTTTTAAGCTACATTCAGATGATATAAGATCAAGACTTGCTAATCGGTTAGTAGAGATTGGAAAAGCAGCAATGACGAAAGGCAAAGAACTACAGAGCGGACAACACTACGGTGAACAAGATGATTTACTCCATGAGATAACAGGGTCATTTAAAGCTCAAGGCCCGTTGTTGAAGCAGGAAACTAATGTTGATGACCTAAGTTATTCGAATCACACCGCTAGACATAATACTGAAAATAATGACAGACATATGGATGTCGCATCACCTGATAGCAAATATAAAGGTGTTGAAACCAGCAAATCGGTAAATGTCTCAACTATTCTGATTGCTGATGGGAGTAGAATAAATCAGGCTAACGATTCACAAAATCGAATAAATACTAACACTAGGGTTGCCAATGATGATAGCTACAAAGCCCACTTGATGGCAGCAATTCAAAATGCCTCTCCTACATACCATAAAACAGCATTATGCAGCCATGGACATATGCACCGAAATGTTATACCAAGATATGCGCTGCATTCTGGGGAAATTGTACTGCATGGAATAGTTGCAAGTATGGATAGATGCATAAAGTATTGCTGTGCATCAGATACCTGTAATTTAGCGTTACTTGTCAAAATGGAATGCTTTACGATCACTTGCAAGTCAGAGTTTCATTGTCAGTTCATCCCTAATAAAGGCCATAGAAAAACCGAGGCTGTCCATGTTTACCGAGGAGGTCTGCGTTTCAAATTTAAGAAAAGTAGCCATAGCAAGGACCAAAACACTGGAAAGAAAAAGTCTAGTAAAGACCATATCATTGCACAGAAGAATGATATTGGCAGGTATCAAAATACAATAAAGCCATTATTTAAAAAAGGCCACGAAACTGTCTTGAGCCACAAACATAGAGGTCTTAATAAGTCAACTGTAGAAGACAGTACACGCTATTTAGCGATTAACAACTCTTTTAGAAATAGTTTGCCATTTGGTCAAACAAATGTATCGAATTCCGGCCTTAGACATTCCGCCATTTCTAGAAAGTCGAATCAAAATGACCAGAGCAAATTGAAAAATCGTTCAGTTATCAGCAATGCATCTCTGCTGCTTAAAGATGCAATAGCACAAAGCAAGGCATTGAAGGGGAAAAGTTCCCTTCATCAAGACTCAGTCGATAAAAACAGCATGGTCAATGCTACTTTGTCATCAAAAACATCATCATCATGGACCAGCAGCAAACGAAAGCCATTGACAACACCAAAAGCAACATATAGAACAGTAGCAACGACAAACTTGTCAAGGAAGACCTCATCGATGTCAGGAAAGCAAACGGGAACGTCACGCAAAAGCAAAGATTCAAGCACAGGTCTCAGAATATATGAAGATCGTTGGGTCAGTCAGCCTCAAATGAGTGACATAGCGAAGCAATCAGTCAATGCTCTTAGTGCAACATCAAAACATCAGAAAACAAAGCAACCAAGAAATCAATATGACACGAAACCATTAGCATTACCAGCAGGAACAAATATCACAAGATCAGCTAGCCATGTAAAGCAGACGAGTAAAGTAACAGTTGAATTCAATAACACAACGCCAAAAGAAAGACTTCAAATGACAAAAACACATAATCGACGACACAAGGTTGGACGAAGCAAACAACGATTTGAAACTACACAAGCAACACCAGCTCGTCGTTTTAGTCAAGTGATGCCAACAAAAACGACACACGCAGCAAAAACAACCTTGCATACTGCAAAAACGACTTCACCTACAACAACAACAGCAACAACAACAACAACAACCCAAACTCCTGTAACAACTGTCCAAACAGCAGCAGCAACAACCCTTTCTGCAATAACAACAACACCAAGTGCACTTACAAAAATCTCATATGGAGCAGCAACAACTCCACGTGCTGCAACAACATCACCAGTTTTGGCGCTCAAAACAACAGAGAGAGCAGTCGTATCAAAGAAACCAACAACTGCATCAGGTAAAAGCTAAGAAAGGCTCCAAAGAAGAAGGCTTATACAGCCAGGCATGGAGTTCAGGCGCATAATTATCCAACATTGACACAAAAGAATCTATTTGAGCCATCATCATCATCATCATTGTCAATAATAAACATCCCTACAGCTCATCAGTTGAGTAACGCAAGGACTTCATCTGCTTTGTCGCATCTTTTAGGCACGTTTATGCGATCAAAGACCACGGCAAAACCAATTTCATTTAATAGCATTCTAGATATGAAACAAACATCCGGCGCCATTAACAAGGCTAATGAGGGCAGATATGCAAATAGTGCTAAGGAAGTTGAAAAGGAAATGGTAAGTGAAACGTCTGTTAATAGACATCAAATAAAGGAAATTCCAGAGCCTCTGCTGAATAATCTGAAACATTTGAAAGGATTTCGAGGGAAAGGGCGCACTCAACAATCAGCTGTTGAGAAAAGAAACGAAACAAGTTGGAAGGATGACAATTTGAAGTCGGAACCACGGTTAAAAACAATTAAGAATAAAGTCCAATCGGCGTCCGCATACGATGCAACAAAAAACAGGTCAACATACGAACCATTTCATGATTCCAAGAATGACGCCACGACAATGTCCACCACATCCCATGTTTCAAGTGCAAAGAACAGAACCAGGTATCTAGGGAATGATCTCAAGGGCTCAGTTGTGGGAACAAGGCGAACAGAGATCATCGGTTTCGAAAATAAGGCACCAAGCATTGATAATGCCAAGAACCAGACCTCAGAAATTGCTTCATTTGTTTCAAAGAATCAGACCTTGACAGCTAAGGACAACGCAACAAACGGTACCAAGAGTCAATCAAATGTGACGGGAATGAACGTGTCTGATTCTCATCGAAAGAATTCGGAAGTGGCTGACAGTAAAACTCTAGAAAATGTTTATGCAAGTATTGGTGAGGAAGTCGACTTGATACCGCTAGATGGGCTTTCAACAGATGATGCTAAAGCTGCAGTAAGTCTAATGGAAAACCGCGAAGAGTCGTCTGAGACACGCAAAGACACAAGCCATGTTGAAGAAATTCTTCAGAATCAAACTGCGCTTGATGATAATACAAGAAAGTCTAAAGCAAAAATTTTGACAATCAAGAATCAAAGAAACACATCGAGGCAAGTGTCGCCAATTGTAAACTCTCAAAGTGTGTTGATCAAATCATACCCTACATCAAAAAGTCGCAAAACGTCAAGAGAATTCGCTGCCTTAATGAAATCTTTTGATAGGCCTTTGAAATCTAGTGGAAGGAAAACAGCAAATAGATTGATGGGTACCACAGAAAAACTCGTCGTTGTAAAAGAAAGCCTTCAGCAATCGAATAATGCAACAGCAATTACACTGTCCGGGACAAAGCAAATCACCCAGTCACTCTCTAGTCCATCGCTCAAACCAAGCGCTATAACGAAAGAAGCTTCGGTTCCTAAAAATGTAAGGCACCCTTTAATAGACTCTGAGATAACAAAACTTGAGCAAGCTTTACCTACGCATGTATTAGGATCCACATCTGCTACAGAAATTTTCACCAATACCCCGACATTTATGCCAACAAATTTGACTCCTACGATATCGGATGCTAGGCCCAAGATTACTGCCAGCAGCACTATAATTGAGGCTTCTACCACTGGGTCGCGGATGTATCCAGAGAGACTGAATAGTATTCCCAGGCTGTATCACTCACAAGCAAACAGCATAAGGAAGGAAATTAAGCCAGCAAATATTTACCTGACACCGTCTTCACTGCCAAAACCTCGTTATGTTCACGATGCGAATTATAGCATTTTTAGTGAAAACAATAATCGCACATCTTCATCTCCAAATGTCACAAATGCACCCGGTCTGACCACCAATGCACCCGGTCTGGCGACAAATGCACCCAGTCTGGCCACAAATGCTACTGTTCTGGCTGCAAATGCACCCGGTCTGGCTTCAAATGCACCCGGTCTGGTCACAAATGCAACTGGTCTAGCTGCAAATGCAACTGGTCTGGCTGCAAATGCACCCGGTCTGACTTCAAATGCACCCGGTCTGGTCACAAATGCAACTGGTCTGGCTGCAAATGAACCCGGTCTGGCTTCAAATGCACCCGGTCTGGTTACGTTTAATAGTTCATCTTTAAGCAAAGTTCAGTCATCTCTACCTCGACAGAATGGTGGTAACAACACAACCATTCTTAATAATTACACAGCCCAACAACAAATGTCTGCTAGTCGGCCAGAAATACATGGTACTTATCAACCACAAAGGAGCTTTAATTCAGTTGGCTTATCAAGAAATGCAGGAAATGCATCTCTGCATTTGCCTGAATCGATGAATTATACTGCCCCAATGCACAAATCGTCAAATTATTCGAGAAAGGTTAGTTTAGACCAACCACTCTACCAAACAACCTCTAGGCAAAGATTTGAAGAATTGCTAACGAAAGTTTCCAAATCCAGCAACAAACGATTCGAAAATAGCTCGAGAATGAGAAGTACTGTCAAATTTCACAATACTCTCGCAATGCAAGAAACACGTACCAAAGAGAAAAAAGGTAAGCCGGTTGCTATGGCCATCAATGCTGCTTCTCGTACGATAGGCAGTAATAAACATGTGACTTCGCAGCACACTAACCGTTATCAAGAGAAACCTTATTGGCCTAATTATTTGTATCCATGGAGAAACTACAGCCACCCAACTAATCCCATCACCAGCAACCCAAACGCAATTGCAAACACAAACGCAAATGAGAACACAAACGCAAATGAGAACACAAACGCACGCGCAAAGGGGAGCCCAAATCCTTTTGCATACAAGCGATTGTTTTGGAAAGGAATGCCCGGCCAGAGTCCTTATTGGCTACTGTATAGAAATTTGGCACAAAATGCGAGTGGCAAAATACATGATATTGGGGTGAAAATGAAACACAAAGGCTCTTCAAAGAGTTTGCAAGAGAAGGTGAATGTGACAGATTCATCTTTTGCCTTTTGGAACAACCATGTGTCTAACAATGTTACTGATAAAAACATGAAAATGTCAAATGCTAGTCAAAAAGATTCTGAAGCAGCAAAAGCTAGAATAGGTTTTGAATATCGACCACCAGCTTCAAACAATGTCAGCTTTGAAACTAAACCAGATGTTTCTCGATCTGGAAATGTTAACGATCACAAAACCAATGTTGTACGGAATAGCAATGGGAACCTTAATGTAAGTGAATATGGTACATCAACGCTCAGTTCAGTAGACACAGTGAAAACAGAAAGCAAAAGTCCGGTAGACAAGATTCCGGTAGAAAAAGGGAAAACTAAGTGGAAGAGTCCGGTAGACAAAAAGAAAACTGAGAACAAGAGTCCGGTAGAAAAAGTAAATACAGAGCATGACATTCCGGGAGAAAAACGAGTGGAAACAGGGAACAAAAATCCGGTAGAGAAAATAGGAAAAGAAAGCCACCGCCCGGTAAAGAAAGTAAGAACAGAGAGCAACATTCCGGTAGAGAAAGTGAAAACAGAGACCAACAGTCCAGACATAGTAAAAATAGAGCAAAAGCCCTTAGTGCCAAGTTTCAAATCGAAATACGAGCATCATTCTACCTATGAACAGCATCTTTTTGATAAAATCATGCCAACGAAAAGTTCAAATACACCAACAGAGATTTCTGTGAATTCAAGTGAAATCGTAGAACAACTAAGTGTTTCTCATGGTGGAACAACTAAAACACATGGTATAGACGATGATCGTCAGCACTTTGTGTTTAATGCCTCTTTGACAGAGCACAACAGTTCGTTTGCAAACAAATCTGCTATGGGACAGAAAATTGCTTCGATAGTAGGTCAAATAGAAAATGTTACACAGAAAAGCAGTGAAGTAGTTTATAACGTCGGTGTAGGTGTTCATGCCAATGAGACCATTATTCATCCGGGGAAATATTACCTAAAAGAAGCAACCGAAATGATGCCAAACGTAACTAATCGAGTTACTGAGCTGAATAGGACTGAAGTTGACGCACTGTCTGAGTTGAACAAAACTGAAGTTGATGCTTATAGATCAGCCACGTTACCTAAAATAAATGCCAGTGATAATAATGGCTCCCTGATGAATGCTGGACCAGAATTTCACAGGTTAAACCGTAATGACAACAAAACTGTCCATAAAGAAACATTACCATTGCAGCTTACCAACCACTTCAATCATTCCAGAATAAAAACGGAGAACGGTACCAAGAGGCTGCTACCAGATCCTAGTCACAGAGTGAACCAATCTGCACCCATAAACAGTACTGAGCAGTTCTTGAATGTTGTTAATCGTAAAGAGCTGCATCCTGATATGACATTTAGAGTTTATTACAAGCCAGGGCTGCGCCGCCACCATAAACATCATAATCATAGCAGAGATCACAGCAGAAATCACAACAGGAATTATACCGAGTCCCACACCGCAGCAACAACTTGGCCAGATACGATTAAGGTCTATTACAACCCTGGAAGATTCATGCATTCAAGTAGAAATCAGCAAAGACTGCATCATTCTCAAGGAGAACGAGAAACCAATTATACTAAAACGAACGGCGCTGTCTCTAAAAAACTGACAGAATATTTTGGAATTAAAAAGCTGTACATTAATGACATGAGCAATAATAATGATCAAAGTGCAAGAAACCCCGAGCAAAGTGCTACCAGTTTTGAAAATTCTCCCATTTCCAGAAATGAAACGATTTCTCTCGAAAATGTCTCTCACCCAAGCATGAAACCGGATACAACGCTTTCGAATGAAAATCACCCAAGCACTGCAGAAATTAAATTCGCTCAAAATCAATCTGCAACATTACTAATTTCGCCAAAAGAGTCGTCAGAAACACATTTTGTAACTGAGGGGACAAACAAAAATCCCAATCATGTTACTGATGATTATTTGCCAGCAAGCTTGGTACACACCACTTTAAGTCCGGTTCAAAAACCTAAACTGGTCCATTCTGCAACTGGTGCCAAGAAAAGTTTCGGGGATCCCAATGAGGTATCTCTCAGCTTGAAACATTCATTTCACAGGAAGCCAACAGATGGAAAACATTGTGACCTACTAGGGATTTACACCGATAAAGTTCTACGCGATGGTGCTGAAGCGGGAAATTATTTCCCGATTCTTTTCGTTAAGGATCCGGTGCACTGCCATAAGCAATGCTGCAAAAATAGAAGATGCAATTTTGCAATGTTTTACCGGGACTTTTGCTTTCTAATTGAGTGCTTCTCCGTGAAAGGGTGTGAACTAGTGAAGTCAAGCGCATCAACAAAGCATCCTCATTTGTTGGCGAAAATCAGAAATCCGGAATTGAGGTCATTGTCACGTGTTTATAAAACACCACCGGAAGCCAGTTCAACCTATGTCCCAACAATGTTCCTTAGACCTTTGTCAGCTCACGAGATTTCTGCTAAAAAGCATATGTCTACTTCCGTAAAACATTCGCAGAAACTTCTCAATCTGTTCCATTCATTGTTAAATAGACTTGAAAAACCACAGCCAACTGCTAAAAGAGAATACGTGAAAAGAGAACCTATCTCTGTGCTAGCAACGAAAAATTCCGATATTTCTGCTGGTAAAGGGTATCGTCCTGAAAACCTACACATGCTTCAAAATCTGTCAAAATATTTGCACACCAATGCATCAGTGTCTCATTATTTCAACCAATCAGCGAATCAAACAACACAATCACCATTGTTCCAGAAGCCCTTTTTTGGTATCCCACTACAAAGCCCATTAGTGAAATTGTCCAATCATAGCAATAGTAATACAGACTATTCCTATTTGACAGACTACTTGAATTCAAAAACCGAGAATACATCAAAATTGGCAGCCTTAACTCCGACTCAGTCAGCACTAATAAGAAAGTTGTACCAAACTTCAAAAGAATCGAATCGACCGACCTTGCACGTAGCACTTGCAAACACTTCGACTACAGATATCCAAAAGGTTGTATTCAAGCTAAGTAAATTGCTTTCTAAAGTCCATTTACATCTCAAAGATGTTCTTCCAGAGCTGAAATATGTAATGAAACACAGTCGCTCGAAGTTCGTTAGTGGGGACATTGCTAAGACGATTTATAATGCTGTAAAGAAAATACGAGCCAAAGAATTATCAGAGAAGGTAAGGAAAATAACAGGAGAAACAGTACTTGAAAATTTAGCAGAAACTCAAAAGGGTTCTATTCGCAATCAAGAGCTTGAAAGAGTTTCAAGAGTGAACAGAACAATTTCAGTGAAACTTGCTCAAACTGATGAATCAAATAGGGGAAGAAACAGCACAAAAGAAATCAAAACTGTGAAGAGAATTCTAACATCGGGTTTAAGCAATAGGAAACCAAAAGTTAACGCAGAAGGACGGTTGACATGTATAATTACATCAGTAAGATCCGGTGCCACATTGTATGGTGGACCACGAGCAGGAATCTTCACCTCGCAAGGAGGTGGCTTGAATCTCGATCAGTGCATACAGCGATGCTGTACTTCAGATGACTGTCACGTAGCCCTGTTGGTAGCAGGTCATTGCTATACTGTCAAGTGCTATACAGCAAAATTGTGTAAAGTAGTGCCAATGAAACGTGCTGGGCACTACCTAATGACTGTAGCGTACGTTCGGAGAAGTATTACTATTTCAACTGACAAAAACGGGAAAATCACCTCAACACTGATGAAGAATGCTCTGCCACGGAAAGCCATAATTTGTCAAGAATCTGTTGTATATGAGGGCTTTACCTTAAAAGGAGGCTATGATGCTGGACATTTCACATACAAAGGTGAGGTAGGGACGCTTACTGACTGCGTTGAATTGTGTTGTAATGCGCAGTTTTGTGACTTGGTTTTTATGGTAACCAACCAGTGTTACCTAGTGTATTGTTACGGGAGAGAAGGTTGCCAGCACGTCAAAGCCTATCATGGCGTCTTATACAGGACAAGGATTGCATATCTGCACAGTAGGAACAGGATCATCCCCCCGTGGGTGGAACCTAATGCAAATGAATTACGAGCCATTATAGGAAGCTCAGACACAGTGAAAAGGGGGCAACTCAGTCCTCCGCCCTCAGTCCATCTTTATCACACTGAAAACCCACCTCCAAGAAAACAACAATCAAATTTGCAGATTTGTATAAAGGCAAAGATTTTGTATCAAACGACAATAAAAGGTGGTCATCGTTCTGGAAAATACATCTATCGGGGTAAGAAAACTAGAGACAGAGACTGTGTACACGACTGTTGTCAAAACGAACATTGTAATATAGCTCTGATGGTTGACCAGTACTGCTTTAATGTTTTGTGCAAGAACAAGAAGCATTGTACAGTAGTCAAAGTGAAGAACGACAAATATTTTACAAGATTGGCAGTAATTCGTGAAAGCATGAAATCGACATCTGGTGAGTTTCAGGCATTGTTTTTATTCAAATTTGAATGAAGTTACTTTTATGCGTATTTTCTAAAATTCTCACAGCATTCTACATATTTTGATGGGCTCATGTTGGAATCATAAACGCTGGATAACCAAAATAATATTTACTCAAAGATGTGACTTAAATGTCGTTATGTACAACACACTCATAATCTGCTGTATGTTAAATGGCCAACTATTCAAACTTTTGTGTTATGAATTTCAGAATCAGGATCAACAATATCATCAGAAACTCCTGGTCACCGAAACAAGCAGCTACCGAAGACAACTAGTCAAATGAGAAAACCACTTACAGACATTGATGTGATTCAAGCTGAGAGCAGCTTTAGTTCCACTACAACCAGTACGACTGCAATTGCTTTGCCAAAGCAACTTATACCAGCAACCATGCTTGATAATCAGAAGGCCAATGGAACAATTCCAGTAAGCTCGTTTCCTTTTGTGCTCCGTAGAAGCTATCTTTCTATCCCAACTACCAACCATGCAGCATCTCCTTCATACAGAACGCGTCGCCAAAAGCCCCAAACAAACGAAACTGACGATCTGAAACTGAGCATAAACGTCGAATCCTCTCTTGACGATGGAATGACATCTGATGACGGAGATGTACAGGAAGAAGTCCCAACAAATGACACCACCCTCGTATCGAATGAAACAGAATCTGAACTGCTTGTCAATGAGACTGGACCTTTGATGGTTCTCATGCCTCGTGAGTATGTATCAATGACATTGTCAAGCAATGAACGCAGTTCAAAGTCAACCGTCACCAATGAACGGCTCTCTATTTTTAAAGCTATTGAGAGTTCTCTGTCAAACGCATATAATCTACTTATTACTACTCCTTTCTGGCCCTCTGAGAAGTCGACAGCCATCCAAAGTAGCAGTTCCAACTGGCCAGCTAGCAGCCAACTTTCAGCTGTTACATCGCACCTGCTAGAATCAACTGCTATTCAGGAAGAGAAATTGCCATCGTGATTGCAATACCCAGCATTCAAAGCAGCGTTATGTATAAGGCAGAAAGCAGCCAAATACAAACTGTTGTGCCAATTTTGTCAGCATCAACAACAAAACCGACTCAGACAACTGCGGCTTCCAGTTTGTTTTCCATCCAGCCTACACCAGCACTTTCTCTGTCTCCTACAAATGCTGTTTCATCACTTGATATTGACAAAGCTATGTCTACTCCAGCCTCAAACAGCTATTCTTCTGGAATTTTTGCTACTTCAAAAATACAAATGTATTCGACAACAGACAGCTACAGGATGCCTGGAAGTCAAGATCTAACGATTGCTGGAAAGTATGTCCCAAGAAGTTCCACCATGATACAGGTTTCAACCAGCTCTACACCCACGCCACCAGTTACCTCTCTCGTGCCATCTTTAAGCCTGAAGTCAGAGATGTCTTTATTATCTGAGATTAAACAACCTTTAGAAAAGAAAGACAACATTTTAAGACGAGCATCTTCAACATATCTACTCCCACCTAAAGAGTCACTGCCATCAACATCATCTGCTCCTCAAAGTCCTATGATCGGTTTACAAGCAAACACACAGTTAGGTTTCGACTCAGCTCATACACACAACCACATTTCATCTTCTCAGACATTAAAGGTAAGCAGCATATCTTCACAATCTTCAACCCCGGCTGTAATAACACCAAGCATCTATTTGGGTCCTTTGAGCTTCCTTCGAGACTCCATCCGATCAACGGCCTCTATCATAAAACCGCCAGATCAAGCAGTGCAATTGACTACTTCTGCTATTCAAAGCCCAGGCGATCATGATACGTCAGGTGACATAACTTCTACCGATCATGTTATAGGAGCTATGGTAAACAAGGTTGAAGATTTAGTTGTAAACACAACAGCTGCAGCAAAATCCTTTGAAAATGTTACGATTCTTATCAATAAGCTCGAAGGGCTTGTCGATAGCGAAGTTACGAAGAAGTCTGATAAAACAGATGAGGAACAAATCAAACGTATTGTCTCGACACAAAGCAATGCAACAGATGTGAAGTATGATGGATTAATCAAAAGACTTAATTATCTGACCAGTCTTATTGAAAAAATTGGAAGCCAAAAAAATTCTAACAATGCTCGAGAAGGTTACTATATTGCTTCTGCTGATAACAAAAGAAGCGAAACTGTCAAAACATTGAACCGAATAGTCTCTAAGCTTTCTACACATGACGCAATCGCTGCTAATGCTTTGACATCAACAGGTACTCCTACAGTAGACACCTTAGTGCGCAAATCTCAAGCTGTATCAAAGCATTATATTGTTAATGTATCATCTTCACGTTCCAAAAGAAAAACCGATATCATGGAAGATCTCTCTTCAACTAGATCGTTTACGAGAACCCCCTCTATGAGCGATGCTAATCCGTATATTGCCCATACTTCAGTGAAGAATGATAAAGTTTTGGGAGGTGTAATACAAAGTTCCATTGCAGACGTTAACCTACATTACACGAAGTCACTAGAAAAAGACTTGATTATCAGTATTGTGCCATCCAATGTTCTAGTTTCCACTGCATCAAATCCTTCGATAGTCCCCACAATCTCTTTTGGATATTTTCAAACCAATACAACACCGTCTGAGAAATATAACAGCGAAACTTCAAGAAATAAATCAGCTACCAAGTCAAGTCAGATGAAAGAGCTGTCAAAAGAGTGTCAAGGTCAGCTCAGCCTTTACAAAGGGTATTCTCTTAGAGGTGGCTTCAGTGCTGGTCTCTTCTCACATCACAGCGAAGTGAAGACTTTGTCAGGATGCATTCGAAAGTGCTGCAGCACTAAAACATGCACAGTTGCTCTTATGTTGCAGGGAAGTTGCTTCAATGTGAGATGCACAAACCGATGGTTGTGCGGCAAAGTAAGAACACTTAACAAAAGTTTAAAGACTTCATTGGTGTTCATTAAAAGGGAAAAGAAGAGATTGTCAATTTCCCGTGAAGATGAGACAGATTCCCATGACAACGAGACAGATTCCCGCAAAAGTGAGGCGGATAAGAGCAATTCAGAAACCAGAATGAATACGAGGCCCACACTTAAAGGTGATACTACTCAGCGACAGCATGAAATAACTAAGAAGTTTAACATTCCTAGTAGGCCAAGTTCAAATACTACTGGTGTTTTCAGATCTCCAGCAAAATCAACGACTGCAAGACCCGGCAGTGATGACCGTTCGAAAGGGGGTAAAGACCATTTTCCAACAACGAAAGGAAAATCAGAAATGCGAAAACCATCGGAAACGTCGACAGATGCAGTGTTCCGCCCTTTGAAACACTTTCATTATGAAGGGAAACCTACCAAGAGAAATAAGATTGTATCCTCTCCAAGCTCTCAACATGCAAAACCATCTCATAATGACAATTCTGAAACGTCAACTGGTGCTGTATTTCACGCAGAAACATTAGGGTCCGACTTGAAATTTGGTCTAATGGTAAAGAAACTGGCAAAATCCAACTCACAGACTCGATCAAAATTACAGCCTGACATGACAAAGTGCAACCACAGCGAAATTCAATACGATACAGTTTTGTCAGGTGGCTGGAAATCGGGCCATTTTGAGCGCCATGGCGACATAGCTCACATGAAGCAATGCATGGAGTTGTGTTGCAGTTTACCAGAGTGTCACGTGGCTTTGCTTATGGTGCACTGCTATACCGTGCATTGTTACGATAGCGCTCTATGTCAACCAGCAAAGCCAAAAATATCTTTTTTCAAACCGAGGCTCGTGTTTATGCGAATCCCAAACAACAAGACTATCGAGGCTGCATTTGAGAAGAGAGCAGGCAATCCAGTTTCATCATCTGTGGCTGAAAGCAAAACTGAAGCTAGCTTTCTAAATAGCACTGTTTCTTTGCCAGCTTCTACAATTACTAGATCGTCAAGACAAAACCAACCTCGAGACCTCCAGACACTTTCATCAGAGAAACACAGTAAGCAGACAACTGTAGGAAAAGAACTTACACAAATTTTGTCAAGCCCGTTTGTGTCTGAAAAGGTTGATCAGTCACCGATAGCATCCCACTCTTTCACTAATCCTAGCACTACATCTACACCTATAGAAATCTCAATCACAACCATCAATGCCACACAGCATTTTTCGATCGTCCCCAGTGTGTCTATTAGTGCTTCCGCGTCAAGCAGATCAATGTCACACGATGTTACAGATAATTTTCCGAAATCTGTCCCAATGTCATCAGAATTGCCAGCTCAAGCAACTTCGGCCTTACTATTTTCTGAAAAGCCAAAGTCTGCACTTCAGCCAACACCATCTTTGAACAGCATTCTTGATTTGCCATTGTCGCCAAGCAACAAAAACAGAAAGTTTGAATCAACAAAACAGTATCCAGAATCGAGGCTTTTGCTATTCAAAAAGCTTTTGCCCAGTCCACTGCTGCCCAGTCCACTGCAAACAATCTCTAGAGCGGGCCCCATCATGGTAAAACAACGAACTTCTACCATGCCAGCCTTCGGAGACATTGGTGATGACATATTAGAAAGTAGCATTAAACAGCATAGAGAGCACGGTGCAGTGGAACTTGGCCATAAATTGCAGCTTGGTCCATCTGCTGGTGTTGTGTATCGCTCTGTTAATAGCATCAATGTAGTAAAAGCGATTGATGCCATCTCTGTTCTTACGAAAGCAGAAAACACAGAGCAGCTGAAGTCGAGTAAAGGATCAGCAGTTGAAAGACTGCACCTCGAAGCAGCTCGTGCAATGACGGTCGGTAATAATCTCAAACTCAACACAGTCATAAAAGAAACCATATCAACATCTTTCTCTCCCATAATGACATTAAAACCCCCCACATTCGCGAACAAACATGGCAGCAAAGAAACGGAAATTTCACATGCGCAAGAAATAGCAATCGATAACATGTTCTTCAAGCCAGAAAAAATGGACCACGGCTACTTATTTCAGAATGTACAGCCACGGAAAGTTACTGCTGCTAAATCAAGTGAAACAGCAGTCCCTAAAAGATATTTAGACATGTTCCAGGCATCTGTGAGTTCAAGGGGATTTGCACAAACTGCGGACAGTATCTCCAGTGTGTTACCGTATAGCAAGAGTATTTACTCGATGAAATCTACTGCGAACATGCCCAATAATATGCAGTACAACTCCCAGATACCGACTAGAAAGCAAAAAGAGCTTATTGCCGAATTTTATGCAAAGCACAGCTTTAAAGATTTGTTGGATCAGATCACTGGTAAGATAAACGCAACAGCATTGAATGAATCCACCAACTTTGAATATAGACAGCAAGCTTCTTTGGGAAGTTCGTCCCTGAAATCTGGAAATATATCCACCATAAGTAAGTTTCGACAGAATACTGACAAAGATTTCTCAAAAATATTGGAAAAGGCAACGAAAATGGTCCCACCGAAAGACTGCGTTAAGGCACGTGTTTTAGAACGATCAATACTCACACTTGGATGGAAAGCTGGCGAATTCGTTGATGGAGGCTCGGCAAAAACAATTGATAGTTGCCTAGCAAAATGCTGTTCCGATCGTTCTTGCAATGTTGCTTTCTTTGTGAAAAGCCATTGCTTCTTAGTTACTTGTAGATACCCAGAAAGCTGCGCGCAGACGTCGACAAAAGGACTTGATGTTCACCCAAGTTTAGCCTATGTACCACGGAGCGCAAATCAGGTAAACGTATTTGGAAGTTTTGTACGTGCAGCATTAGTGGAACAAAGAAAGCATGAATTGAAGGAGATTGATACAAAAAGACGTAATGAATTGTTGTTGTCAGAGGCATTGAAGCAGCAAAAAATGCCACCAACACCGTCCCAAAAGCAACTTAATGACGTTCCAGTTAATAAGATACCCGGTACTGTAAGATCAACATTGGGAACGGCTGTGGTCTCAGATATTTCTAGACCAAACACATTGTTGAATCATTCAATGGAACATAAGAATGATGCCAGCTCCTTGCCCATCCGTGGAGCAACAAAGATCGGTATCCATGAATTAAATTCCCCGATTAGCGAAAACAGAGAGCAGATCAAATCCACACAAACGCCAAGAGCAGTCCATGTCAGTTCTACAAGGAATATGGGACGATTTTCTTCAGCCATTTCTCCAACTCTGTCCTTGGAATCGATGCTCGTCTTACAATCCACTACATCGTCACTTGTAAACGTCAAAAGTGAGCAGGCCATGAAATTCGAACAACTCATTCGTCTAGTTGAAAACCTACACGCAGACGTGAGAACAAATAAACCTACATCGGCACTTAGACAGTCCACTTCAGTAATGAAACAAGTATTGACTGCACTGAAGGATTTAACGAAAAGCCAAAAGACACTGCTTCACAATCTTTCTAATGCCACAAAAAGATCAGAGATATTTCAAAGAGCTGTCAAAAACGATTCTGCTGACACCCGTGATTTCTTGGGATTCCCCGAAAATGGCTCTCAGTCAATAATGAATAAGGAAATCCTCGGTGTGTTACACGAGATTTCTAGCAAGTTGCAGGAAAAGAAAGCATTTGTAAGCGAATTCAAAATTGAAAATGCTTTAGCAGAGCGTGAATATCACAATAGGATGCATATGGAACACAAAAGTCTGGATGCAGTTGAAATCCCACCTTATCATACAGCAAGAATATTAGAACACGACACATTTACAACAGAAGGGATTTTACCTGCAGCATCATCCATCATCTCTTCTCTCTCAAGCTACGATATCACGCCTTCACCTTCTCTCTTTGAGTCCAGACGTCCTATGAGCACTGATACTGCAACTGCACAGAATCTCAATGATAAAGCAAACAGGCGTACTGACATTCCGACGCCACCACTTCACAGCCACAACCAACCAACACATGAAGACCTAGTAATTGAGAAAGGAGTACCCCAGTTGCGAAGCAACCCATTTACATCAAGCGGTAGCAAGGTTTCAGCATCATTCTCTAGGTATTCTCAACATTCACTGGCAACAGCAACAGCTGAAAGGATGCAAAAGACGCTATCGATGTCAAAGGAGAAGCATAGAGAGATTTCAGTGACAAAATCAGTTGACAACCCTGTCTTAACAACTGAGAGACCAGTCTCAAACGACAGAGACAACTTAGCAGAAAAAGTAGGAACAGACAAAATGAGTCGTCTAATTGCCCATGTTGAACAGCTTTTAAACTATACAAACGAATTTCAAAAGAATCTTCCTAGAAACGGAGTTAAACCAACTAAAGCACCTTTCGAGGAACTGAATAAAGTGCTACGAAAGGAGATTTCCAAGTTTAATGTAACGAAAGCCATAGGTGAGTTGAATAAGAAGCTTGAAAAGATCAAACCTGATCGTGAAAGTGATAGAGAAAACATGAAGTCCTTGATAGAAGTGATAAAATCTGCGATTCAGAATGTGACGAAGACAAGCAGCGAACGGCAACGACAACAACATGATGAGAAAGTATTGAATCCGCTGTTTTCGGAAACGAGCAACCCTGACGATGGCAACACGACCAGTGACAGTGACGATCGTATTCTACTTGACATCATCGACGAAGCCGAATCAAGCTATTCTGAGGAGCTTAAAGGAACCGAGCATCATTTTAGAAGTCAGTATTCACCAACACCCGGCTACAAGTTGCCAAGAACGAGTGCTGTTGACTGGCGGTCTCTGTCGTTTTCAGTCATTTCTAAAGAACCAACCAGCACTCCCCTAGTCAATACGCCTTTAGCAACAAATGCTATACCCTTATCGTTTTCTGTGATGCCAATATCATCATCTTTAATAAATTCCAACGGCCATTTGCCTCGCAAAACTTCACAGCTACAAAATTTGATTATAAAAGATACTTCCTCATTCCATCCTTTTATCAGTCGCTCCTCAACACCAACGCATTCTACAACTATCCTTCCACCAGACAATTCATCAACAAATCTATCTAACAATGTTGATTCAACCCCGACCCCAAGTTGGACAGAGCGCAAAGTTGTTCAAAAGAGTGAAATAAACCGCAGGAGCCAATCGTATACTATTAGCCATTTTGCTTCTTTGACGATGCATGATGTTCGACACCCAGGAACCTCCAGCACCCTTCACCATTCAAATGAGCCTCCGTCATCAACAATTCTTGCTTCGGTAGCACTCGTTGACGACCAGCTGGACATTGAAGCTGAAATCAACGCTCTCATACCAAAACACGACTGCAAACATACCGATATTTTTACGAACCTGACCTTCGAAAGTGGATTCATTGCTGGATCATTTAAGCGAGTTGGAAGCGTGCAAGACATGAAAGAGTGTATATCAGCTTGTTGTGATAATGTCTCCTGTGATGCTGCTTTTCTTCTTGGTAGCCAGTGCGTTCTTGTGCACTGCAAAGACTCTGTGTCATGCCGCACCGTCCCTGCACGACCATCAAAACATCAACCCCAACTTGCGTTCATGCAAAGAAGGAAATTGTCTCCAGTAAACTCTGTGATGGTACTGCCACAAAACCCAGTCAAATTTCAAGTACTTTCGCGTAGAGAGCAAACAAGTTCTTTGCAACTACCTAACAATTTTATCTCAGCTAGCACTGACGAAATCAATAGCTTACAGTCATCAGCTCCGAATCATCTCTCGTCAATGATTTTTGGTGAAAGAACGAAGTGGCAACCTAGCCGTAGCTTATTTGAAAAGCAAGTAGAACAAACTATGATTGAAACGCAGGGTAACAGCCAGTGGAAGCTTAGTTTTAGCGAGAAATCAACAGGTCAGGAAATAGTTAGAAAAGTAGTTAATCAGACAATATCAACTGGTGCTATCAGCCGACATTCAGCTCAGTCGACGACTGCATCAGATGACGTAAAAGGGTCTCAAGACCCACGGTGGCTTAACGACACAGACAGCTCCATATCATCCTTTTCGGCTGACCAGACTGATGTGATTCCTAGTACAGGAGGAAGTCCTGAAGTGGAAACAACTAAAGGGGTGCTGCCTAGAAGGAACCTGCCTCTGTGTTCGTATAGCCCGATCTCTTACAATGTTACGCTACGACACGGCCTAGAGCCGGGCTATAACACGAACCAGGGCAGAGTCCCTGCAAAGGCGTGCACCCGACTGTGCTGTGACACTCCAGGCTGTGACGTAGCATTTATGCTTAAGGACATTTGCTATACAGTAAATTGTCCGAACAAAGAAGCGTGTGAACTCGCCGATCACGACTTTACACTGCCTTCTACAAGGTTAGTATTTATTCATAGAGCTAACCAAACAATGCCAAGAGCCTTGAATGCTGCTGAGAAGCCTCACACGTTTGCAGAGCCAATCACCAAACGAACCAATGTAAACAGAACAACATCCGCTCCAGAAATGTATAGACATGACATAAATCTGAATCATGGTAAAAACATACATGACAACCGGCTTAATGAAACTGTGCTCATTTCTAACAGAAGTACTACACCAAAGGTAACTAATTGGCGAAATGCAGATGTTGAGGATCTTGGCGATGAAGTCTTACCTCCAACTGTACAGTCTACTGGAAACAACTATCAGCCAACAACGGAAGTGACAAACACTCAGGATGACTCTCCTAATCACCATACAACTGATCGACAAATGTCAGGTACTAGTATGTATACCACTAGAGGTCTCATGATCAGAGACCAATCCCGAAGCCAAATTGAATCTAAGAACGAATCTTTCATTGAAGAATGGCAGAGCATTCCAACACAAGCAGGCAACTCGGTTGACAATGCGACGTCTTCTAGTTTTGCTGCTCCACTGCCTACTAAAGTCATGAATCTAAGTGACCACCAATCTGTCAATAATACTTCATTTAAAGATGTGTCTCTTTTGTTTGGTAATTTGAAAGAAAACGACGAGAACGTCAACGACTTTGCAGCTGAGTTTGATGCCATAGAGGATGCAGCAAATGTCGCTGAAGGAATACCTGAAACCGTTAAGAGTGGGACCGAAAATGATATATCTTTCGAAGTTGTTAAGGTGCAGCCAGAAAATCCACCAAAGGAAACGTCAGCTTCTGATAACATTGATACAAGGAATGAAGAGAAACATGAAGAGAATTTGATGAAAGTAGCACAAGAACCGACAGAATCTGCAATACCACCTATAAGTAAAGAGATGATTCTTGGTCCTGAGGATAAAATTTTGGAACAGGAGCCGAAGAAAGAGGACATTACGTGGTCTACCAACGAGCCAGATGGGGAAAATGGAGTTGCTAGAAAGGAAAGTTTTAGGAACAAGAGTCCCAAAGATGCAATTAAGAAAACAGCCGGTAGCGATGATGCAGGAAACGAGGAAGCCGGAACTTGGATTTCAAAGAAACCACTCACTGAATACAGGAATGATGTAGAGCCAAGTAAAACTGAGGATTCATCGATCAGGCATTTTCAAAACGGACTAGATGAAGTATCGAAAATCGGAAGTGTTGGCAACAATCAAGAGGAAAGAGGATACGGACGTAGTGCTATTCAAAAAGAAGATTTAGAAGGTGGAAAGAATGAAGAAGCATCCTCATTTGTGTCTCATGTAGGCGCAGGAAACACATACATAGTGTCCAGTGAAACCCGGAAAAAGCATGACTGTAGTCCAAGTACTGTACGAAGGAAGGTACTTTTCACGAATGGTGCCAAGGGGAAACAGTTTCACGAGCTAGGAAGTGTTAACGGTCTGCTGACGTGCGTTGAGCTTTGTTGTATATCTGACCATCAATGTGATGCAGCTCTGTTGTTGGATAGTACCTGCTATGCGGTGACATGTGAGACAAGGGAAGCCTGCGTGACAACCGAAGTAAAGACATTGGAATACCAGACAATAATTGCCTACATGTATGCTGACGGATCGTTTGAGGGTCAAAGTATGAGCAATGAGCTTTTAGACGGAAATGATAAAGAGCAAAACAACATCAAGGAGAAGGCAAATGCAGTTGGGAAAAAGAATGTTGACAAGAAATGTACGCGAAATGTCTTCGTGACGGGGATAATGAAAAGTGGCCTAAATGCTGGTGAGATAACAAGACATGGCACGGTTGGTAATGAAAAGGAATGTCTGGTTAAATGCTGTGAAGATACGAAATGCAATGTTGCTTTTTTGCTTAAGACACATTGTTACAGCATAGCTTGCCATGATGCTGATGACTGCATAATAGAACACATGAAACCCTCGTGGTATTCTCCAAGGGTGGCTTTGGTTAGAGGTATCGTGAAGACCAAAGGAAAAAAGCGAATTCAGAAACTGTACAAGAAAACCAGCATACCACAACCAGAAGTGCTGGAAAGATTCTTAACGAGACGAACCCGTCCATTGAAACAGTTGTCTGCAGGTAACGATGATGAATTGTCAGAAATGCTATTGAATACAAGGAAGATGAAATGTCAAATGGCAAAGAAATTATAGATGCTGAGGATATGAAGAAATATGTGGCTGAGAAACAGCTTGAAGTTCCAATTCAAGGGACAAAAACAGCTTTACGGGAACTTGAGCATGAAGACACGGAAGCTCATGAAAACACAGGAAGAACACGTGTTTGGAATTCGGACAGGGATATAAAGCGTTTTAACGAGGAATTGAGTTTAGGCACTAAAGGTCGAAGTCCTCCTAAAAAGAAGATTATTGCAACTGGACATTTACAGCCTGCTGGTCATCAGGATTTGATGGATATTGACTTCAGTAATAATCATAAACTTTCAAGTGAAGTGGATGATGCAATGGCTAATGAGGCCAAATCCCATATTGGAGATATAGGGGATAGTGCTGGCTTTGTTCGTAGCAGTCTAAAGTCACGAAGCAGGGAAAGGCCTTATGATAGTGTCGTGTCTCGACGCAAGAAGATACCAAGGTACCGAACCCTCGAAGATTCACCTTTTGAAAATGATTTCGGCTCATTAGGCGCCACTAGTGATGTCATGAACATAGACAGCCAGGCATCCCTGACCGAAACACTAAAACTACCCCATGTTTCAGATGAAATTGAATATGATGATCACGACAACAATCTTGATGACATAGGTGCCAACCACAGAGAGGCTAGAGTACCAGGTAGTAGAGTGTCATTAGAAGAGAAATCGAAAGCACAGGAATCAGCAGAGGTGAATAGAGAGGATAATGACGATCAATATGAGGAGATGATTAGACCAAAAGGCCACATAAGTCCTAAGCAAGAATATTTAAGTCGAAAAGGGGAGGGTAGACATAAAGAAGAAGAAGCAAGGATAACTATCCCAGTGGAAAGATATGAAAAACCTGTTGCTACCGGAAAACATCGACACTCCACCAGGGGTAGCTCTCGACATGAGAGTTTTGTAGTAGCCAATGAGGCTGATAAAGATCTTATGCACGAATATAGAGAAAACCGCCCGTTTGTAGATGATATAGGGGATGAACGTGAAGAGGTCAGGAAAAATGAGGATTATTTTGATAACGAGTCTCCTATAGTTGTTCACGATGATGAATCGAACAGAGAGAACCACGTGAAAGCGAACGATTTAGAATTGGGTAACAATGACGATACTGAGAGTCAGCCAAGGAGAGGGAAATACAACATGCGGCATGGTGTGAGGTTTCACAGAAAGCACGCCCAAGGTGAAGCTAATGCTGAGGATGGCAGAGAAAGGGATTTGTGGAAGAACCAGCACGAAGATGAAGCATTCCATGACTTGATTGATAAAAATGACGATTATGATTTCATTATACCCCACAAATCTCATTTTACAGAGCTCATAAATCACCATAAACATTTAAAAGACGAACCTTTAGTTGTTGTGCGAACAGCTGGCCATGTTCTTAAAGACACAGCCTTTGATCACAAAAAGCTGAAACATCGAAAACCAGTCGTTATCATGCCTAAAGATGACTATGATGAGCTGAACTTTTATCGCGAGATTGACCGGCTGACAGGAGATTCATCGGACAGCATTGACGGTGCCACCGACGTGTTACCCGAAAGCGGGGATGACCGAAGTGTGGTTTTGAAGAGTAATAAAGATGATGAGGAGCAGTATGAGGTAGTGGAGCCTCATGTTCAGAAAACACCTCTAGGGTTAATCTTCAAACGCCCAAAGCTTGTAGTCAGTCAACCTGTTCATGATGACGTACCTATAGATCAAGAAAACTACCTTTTTATCGATGATCCTAAAGAGAAGCACGTTGTTTCTGCCGTACACGAGGATGAAAGTGCATCCGACTACCCTTATGTTGTTATCAAACGGAAACCTAGACCCCAAAGAACGGTCTTTCCATGGCAGTTGAAAAAAGAATTGGAGGACGATATATTTAACGACATGCTGTCGAAGAATCTAGTCAATACTGATGTTGGAAATAGCAAAGTTGGTGTACTCGGTGACGAAACCTTTTCAAGGAAACATAGTACTCCAACAAGAGCACCATTTGTTGATAAACCAAGTGCTAAGAAGGTGCTCCCAACAAAAGCTCAAACAAAGAAGGCCCCAAGCAAGAGGCATCCAACGAAAAGACCAACAAACCCGTTGCGAGAACGCAAAATTTCTGGATCTCCCCAAACACCTATTATTTTATCAATAAACGTTGAAACTTATCCTGGAGCTCATGACAAGAGACGCAAAATGGATCAAAATCTGGAAATTAGGCCACTGACAACAGCTCTACCGTTATTTCAAGAACACCCTACAAAACCGATGCTGATTCGTAACAGGAGGCCAACTGGCAATTCAATTCAAAAAAGACCAACAACACATACAACTACACATAAGCCCTCTAAAAACAAAATGCCGAGTAAACACCCTTCACCCAAACTTCCAACCAAACATGAACTGCCTTCGAGTAAACACAAAGCTCCCAGCAAAGGAACAAAACATGCCAAACCAACTTCCAAGTCAACGCCAAAGCATCTCTTGGGTCACGGCACCACAATTTCGACGAAACATGAAGAAAAGAATGAGTTCTTCCTGGGACACAAAGAAGGTACAATTTATTGAGTATTTTGACAGATAAATTTGATAATTAAGGTGTATGAGAAATTTTGGTTTTTAACAGAGCAAGGAATTGTCATTTTATTGGTGAATGGGATGAAAATTTCACTTGATATTCATTGATGGATATATAGTGTTTTGTTAACTATAGTGTTTTGGAATTTTCACTTCTAGCTCATTTAGTAATTTACTTGCAATTATGAACTTTTGCAGCCAACGAAACCATGGCCACTGCCAAACCGGTTCGTAAAGATACAATACCAACACTGAAAATGAGACTAGAGCTTGAATCAGCACGGGAACGAGAATTAAAGCAAAGAGTTGCTAACCTTAGTAAAGAAGTCGAGCAATTACGTGATAAGTTAACAACAACAGCGAAAGCAACGAAACCTGTTTACAAAGAGACAGCTGCATCTAAACTTGCACTTAAACTTGGTGAGATGGAGGCAGAATTTGGTCAAGATGAAAAGGGAGAAACAAGACAGAAAATACCGCATATGCGTAGAAAGGTAAAATCAAACGATATTGCGAAAAAGCAGAATGCAATTGAGAGGAGTTCCAGCATCAAACATAGCGGAGGACTACCCAGTACAGGTCTGTCGAACGTATCTGAACCAGAGCTACACGTGGGGCCTACAACAGTAAATCATATGCCTGATCTGGAAAGCGCAGTGCCAGCAAATCAGAGCAGTTCTTTGTCACGTGACGATGGCTTTGGTATGATTGCAGGTTAGTTATGATTAGATGTTGCAATGGATCTTTGTTTGTTTTGATATATTAGGTAGAGAAGAAAACCCTAATGCATGCATCTAGACTTGGTTCTTAGTGAGACTGAAGCTATGATAAGAGGAAAAAGGCAAAATGTAAGTTTGGGAATGGGTGCAAATAAAGAAAGGAGTGGCTGAAAAAAATAAAGAGATAAAATTAAGAGAATTAAAAAGGAATAAATTTCCTATTAAAAAGAATGGCCTTTGCCTGTTTTGTTTATAAGATGTAGTTAAATCTACTTGAAGAACTGTATGTTGTTCTCTAAAAACATGATCAGTTTGACCTTTTTTTTGTTGTGATCGCAGAAAGAACCGCTGTACATTCAAGTGAATTCGTTCGTTTTTTGACTTCTTATGTTGGTTTATCAACAGCATTGATCAATGGACAAAATCTGGAGAAGCCAGATGCTAGTTCTGCTGAGAAACAAAGTAGTGACAGTGCCTCTTCTGAAAAAATTGAAATAACTACGAAAGGTGTCTCTGATAGCGAGAGTATTGGGTCAAACTTGAAAGAGCTGGCTTCTGAAAGTAGCAAGGACATAACACCTAACAGTGAAATGATGGACGGATTTTCATTTTCATTAAAACCAACCACAGGTCGTGTTAAACCAATCAGTCAGATTAAAAAGCAGAAGAAAGAGAATACAAAACCACGATCAAAGACTAAAGAACTTCCATCTCTAGATGACCTTAAAGCCCTGCACGATTTCAAAAGCAACAGAGATGCAAAGAAACAAACAGCTCAGGGTGTAGCAAGTGTGCAAAATAAGACTTTAAAAATAGTTAAAAGTGAAAAAAAGAAAGGAGAGGTAGGAATCCTTGGTGATGAACATTTTGTAGCGTCAAACTCGTCTCAAAGTCAGATTGGTGATTTAGGTAGTTTAGGTGCATCAACAATCTTGTCATATCCGACTAAAGCGTCACAAGGTATTGATGCGGCCTGGAAACGAAAGCTTCAAAATATGGGAATAGCTGAGTCTCCTGATATGCCTGTGGACTCAGAAGTGCCATCGGCCAGTGACTTGGGTGAGATCGCAACCTTCAAGAAAGAGCTGGCAGCTGCAGTAAAAGGCATGGGTCCAGGCACTCTCATGATGAAGAAATCGCGGGTTCCGAAGCCGCATCGTCAATATTGGGGTGTTGATGTAGTGGGTGACAACAATGAACATGAAAAGGGTGACATTAGCTCTGCAATAAACAATAGACGTCGTTACTGGGGCATAAATGCTGCTGATGGAGTCGCCAAGCCAAAGAATGATATTCCGGGAAACCCAGGTATGTTTTATTCCTGTTAGTTTTTCTTTTTCTAGTTAGATATATGCTTTGTATATGCGAGGTAAGTGTGTGCATGCCAAGTAATTCAATGTAAACAACCAAAGGTAAAGAAACAAGAGGTACTCCCATCCCTCCTATCTTCATGTTTGGATCATTAAAACTAGCAGGGTTTTCTTAAATCTGCTAGAAGTGACTTGAAGGCGTAGAGACACTGCACAAGAACAGGTTCAAAGATCGATCGAAAGGTTGCTGCAAAAAAAACGAATGTATAGGTATGTGCGGTTGGTGAAATGAAGAGACCAATTCCAATTCCTGGTAGCATAGCATTGTAAGAGATCGTTTTAAGCGATCCTTGCATTACTATGCTACCAGGTATTGTACCGAGGTTGGAGGTAGAAACGAGGCAAAGTTCTGATCAATGGCTTGAGTGATGGAAAGTAAAAAAATGGAGCTGATCATTTAGACTGCATTGCTCTGCTCGTTTATATACCGAAAAAGCTTGTTATTTCGATGTTAGCGTTGTAAATCGATTAGCGTACCATCTGTCTTTTAAAAATGTTGTTTATGCGCGTGGAGGTGTTGTTAAAAGGCGTCTAATGCTGCAGCGATTGCTAATCAAGGCAAATCAAATGCATCTAAAGCAAAGACGCGGCCACTCACATACTGCTTGATGCGCTGTAACAGGTGGCGGACTAACGATGCATGACCCTCATTGACACGAGCGTAAACTAAGTTAGTTTATAGTTATATTTGCGAATGGCCTCGCAACATGAGCGACTGTTTTCGTGGCGAAACGATCGATTTTACGGTCAATGTTCCTAATGGTTTTGTAAAATTGAAAGGAACGTGTCGTAGACGAACAAATTAGATGCAGATGTCGCAAATTGTTGCTTGAAGAGATCGTAATTTCAAAATTTGTTAGTGAACAAGAGACATGGATCTGATATGCGAAAATGCGATAGCTTCAAAGTAGAGTGTGAATGAGCAATGGGAAATGAAGTTGTCTATATCGATGAACCGTTTAATCAACAAGAGAGCTTTAAGGGCAACAACAAGAGACATTTAATCACAAAGAGAGCATTTCTAAGACACACGGCAATTTGCTGTACATTTTCATGCGGAACAGAAGATTTCGAAAACAATCATGTGACTGGATTGTAGTGGTTATTATCCCTCTCTCCCACTATGATTATCAAAGGATATGTTTAATTACTTCTTCCTTATTATTATCATGTTGGAATCATTTGGTTTTTGTGAAGGTAGGTACCCATTGCGTATATTTTAAGAATATGACTGCCTATTTCTGCAATATGTTTGCGCATATTTGCTCTTCATAGCTCCACAACTTTATCTTTGCCTTATTTTGCAGATATGGTTTGAACATTGCATAGGCTTAGTGTTTAATCTAGGAAACATTTCATGCTGTTCTTTTAATTTGAGCGATGCTTCTCAACATTCAATTCAAGAGAAAAAGGAGGGCCTAAGTTTCAAGTTATTCACCTAACTTTATCTTTTATCAACCCCATTATTTTGTTCCTTAGAGACGCATCTTTGTCAGAATATTGATCGAAGATTGGGAAGAGTTAACGAATATGAATTTTGATCGTTTAGAAAAAGCTATGAAATCCATTCCACTGCATGGAGTTTGAACCAAGGATATGATTTTCTATAATGCCTTGTAACAAAGCTAGTTTCATTATGACTGGTTCCCTATTTATACATTGCAACATCATATTCGTTCAATTCGTTATGTTATACGCCCTCTCTTTAAATTCCTTTCCCTTACTTATTATACGGTATTGTTTCTCCTTGTTTAGAAAGTGATTTGTAGCAACACTCATATCTGCTTTTATAGATGATGGTATAGTTGCTCATTATGGATTCGAGTCTTCCAGCCTGAACGAGGTTAAGGATGATTCTACCGCTGGAAATCATGCATTGCTAGTCAATGGCGCTCATGTGAACAAGCAGGATGCCAAATGCGGTGCTTCTGTTGCCATGGCAGGCGGGGAGGTACTTATGAATGGACAATCGTTTCATAATAAACCCAGCCACGCGATTACAGTTGCAATGTGGGTGAAGCTTAATCGAGATGACGATAATTTATCCTTTTTCAATGTCAAGCAGACATTAAGTGGTAGAGGTGCAAGTTTTACCTTGGAGGTCAAAAATGGTATGTTAATAGTGGATTAACTCACTTTTTTGTTTGAGTATATGCGCAGTTCAATATCGAGTGAATGCCACACTTGCAAGAGACAGAATACCATAATCAAGATAATTTCACAGGCCCGTTCGGCTTTATTGAGGCTACTTCTATTTATACACATACGTAATATTTGCAAGGCTATGACTGGCACACTCCTTTGGGCATTTAGAAGTTATCCTTTCAAAACGAGGGCATGGAAGGCTTGCAATGTTTTGCGAAGTTCTTCTTTCCACAATATTTGAGTTAAAAAATTATGGTTGTTTTTTCTAACCAAAGCATATTGACTTTGACACACAAGAAAATTGATACAGTTTTTAATAAAAGGTAAGCCAATCTTTATTGCTTCAAAGCAAATCTTGAAAAATATTAATTATTCCTTAGTTTGTTCCTCCCCATAATGTACTAGAGCAAGAAATACTTTTTGAGTTGGTTTTCTTATCGATTTACTCATTAAATTTGTTTTTTATCAAGGAAAACTCCACTGGTCCCATACAGACGATAAAGGCAACTATATATTCGACTTACTAACGATACAAAGTGCCACTGTACCACAGGACTTGTGGACGCACATAGCCGCGACTTATAGCGCACGTGTGGGACGTGCAAAACTCTACGTAGATTCTCAGTTGATTAAAAGCGAATCAGGAACAGGTCCTTTGTCAACAAACTGGCAAGGGAAAGTGGCAATTGGAGCAGGAGGCAGTTTGCCTGGGCTGGTCGATGAGTTCTATCTGATGAACAAGGCCTTGGCACAAAACGATATCAAAGACTTGACGGAGCTCTGTAACATAGGACCAGGTATGTATCGGTCCCCTAAAATTACGAAGATGTTTTTGCTGCTGTTTTTTGACTTGTCGCTACGTACCGAGTAGTTTAGCTATCAGGAGAGGTATTCGACTAATGCTAACGGCCTTAGGCGTCCTATATAGGGTTTGGAGGCTGTATATTATTTTGGTCGCAGATTGTAAGTATTATATCTGATGTCGTCTAGCATTGATTATTCGTCAAATAGTGAGTAAAATTTCGATCTCTTCCAGACTACGCTATACCAATGGAGAAGGGTGCATACAACGGGCTTATACCAGAAGAGCAGTTGGTCGAGATGAAAGAGCGACTGACAGAAACCAATGCTCACCGGCATTCAAGCCTAGACACGGGTATGGTGGTGAATAACAATGGTGATATCGACCCTGCGGCTGCTGGGAACCAGAAAAAAGAAGAGGAACATGAAAAATGCTCTAAAAATGCAGTCTTTTACAGTGCTGATTTGAAAGGCGGTCGCAATAGCGGTCTTTTTACAAGATACGGTCACGTTGAAGACATGAAAGAGTGCATTGAACAGTGTTGTCTCACCCCAAGATGTGACCTTGCCTACATGGACAAAAGCACTTGCTACACAGTTATTTGTCATTTCCCATCGCTTTGCCAGCCAATAAGAGCTGTTAAGGCACATACAACAATAGGATTTGTAACAAGAAATGGTGATACGATCTACGATCCAGGTAAGAAGAGCTTCATTTCAATAGACGTCGATATTTTGGCACAAAATTTCACCTTCTAATTCTTTTTTGCAAATAAAGTATTGTGTCGTTGAAGTATGCAGATGATTTTTTAAATAGATAAAGGTTAACTGAAATTATACAGAAATTATTTCAGTTCTGAAAAAAGAAGCTTGAAGATGTAATGAAAAGTCTATTCCAATCTCTTGGTAAGGTTTATAACTTTAACAAAAAATCATTTTTTCATTCTAGCGAGCTATCCTACGGAATCCCCACTTGTCGCGCTAACAACAACACCAACTACAAAACCATCTACAACACCAACAACCCAAGCGAAGCACACGTGTTTGCAAAGCATGGTATATTTCAGTGTGGCGCTGCGCGGAGGATGGACATCCGGGAAATTCACTGACATGGGCGTCGTTCACAATCTTCGCGAATGCGTCAAGCATTGCTGCGACGACAAATCATGTGACTTAGCCATGGTTCTCAGCCGCAAATGCTTTACCGTTCATTGTTATAGTTTAGCTGATTGCCAGACGATACCAGACGGGCATGCGCAAATTGCTTATGTTTCAAGAGAGGGTTTCGATGGTGTTGGTAAGGGATATTCAATAGAATACTTTTGGAATAATTCTCATCAAACATCCAAGAGAACTTGTTTGATAAATATACAACTCTGAATGTATTTTTTTGTAAGCTAGAACCATTGGTCAAAATTTTGGTATCTCTGTGCTATGCTAGGATTATTCACTTATGCATCCTTTGAATTTAATCGTTTATTTCCGGATAAAATTTTCACAGATGAACGCATTGATGGTAGATAAATGTGCATAATATTCTTATTCTGTTTCCTTCTGTTGTGAAATATCTCGATACTATCTATGGAGAAACAGAAATGGTAAAGACTCATTGCTAACAATGAGCCTTTGCGAGCGTGCCAAGTTGTCCTGGCGACGATCCAAACAATGACAGTAAACTTCTACGGATTAACCAGAATTGATTTCAGCTGTCTGAAAATGCATTATGGGATGCTTGCGCAGCGCAATGGCTCATTGTTAGCAATGAGTCTTTAAGAATGATGATTAATTTTAAAGATATTTTTGTCTTTGACTAATAAAATGTATCGATGCATCTATCAAGCTTGCCATTCTTTGTATCTTTCTAAATACATTTGTTCTCTTCTCCAAGTTCCGACCAAACCAACCAAAGCCCCAAGTTTACACGGACGGCCAACTGAAAGACCAGTGTTGACACAGCCGCCCAAAAGGCCAACGCCGACTTTTTCACCGACAATTACCAGAAGTGATCCAACGCTTGTACTTCATTTGTCATTTGATAAAATTGAAGAGAACAGGATAATAGACGATTCTAAATTTGGAAATGATGCTTCTTTGACAACGGGTAATTGTCTTTAATTTCAGTTTATTGATTTGCTTTTGCATACTGAATCTTAAATTCATTTTATGTTTATGATGATCGGAGAAAGCATTAAACTCAGAGTTGTAACTTGACCCTGCCCTATACACCAAAGCGTACTCTGTATGTTGTAAATCTGGTGCCTAGTATAGCTCCTGTTGTTCAATTTGTGCGTTTTTCCTCGTAAGTATTGTCCATCCTGCATCGAATTTTTAGTATCTGATTGTGCAAGATTTATTTTCTACTGTTCATATCTGGAACATTGTATACATCTAAATGAGTAATTCATGATAGAGATAGAAAAAGGCAGGCATAGTATTTTCTGGAATCTTCGCTTTAAGGTGCTAACATATCGCCCGGTGGAGGTATTCGTGGAAATGGTGTTGTCCTCGATGGCGGTGATGTTCTGTTGGATGGCGAGCATTTCACGCCAAAGCCTCGAGCAGCAATCACGATAGCAATTTGGGTAAAGCTCTTGCAAACAGATGGCGTGCATTCGTTGTTTGACACGGTCGGAAGTATATCTGACCATCATAGTGGGCAATATCATTTAGAAATCATCGACGGAAAAGTTCGTTGGTTTCATCGCGACGAAAATGCCGAGCAGGTTTTCTCGGTGATAACAGAGTCGATCGTAAGACGAGACCAATGGACGCATGTTGCTGCAACGTACGATGCGAATCTTGGCGAGGCGAAGATTTTTGTAAACGGCGAATTGAAGACTGTCGATGTTGGACATGGAGAATTATCAATGGACTGGGGTGCGAAAGCCGGCTTTGGAACGCATACGGACGGTCGTGCATTGCTCGGCTATATTGATGACATTTATATGTACTCAAGAGCGCTTGACCGCCTCGAAATACAAGACTACGTAAGACACTTTAAAGAGGTGCTTGAAAAGAAACCCGTTGTTCCTGAAGAGCCAAAGATGCCTCCTACTGTGGTCCCAGTTCATATACATAGGCCACCTACTCTAGGAAATTCTTTAGGAATATCAACAGCAAAGCCCAAGACACCATCCCCAAAATTAGCTGATATTTGTCAACTAGGCAAAGTGCATACGAGTTCTGACTTAAAAGGTGGCCTAAATGCAGGCAACTTCCTTGATCGAGGGCCTGTCACGAACATCCTGCAATGCATGGAAATGTGTTGCCTTTTCAAGACATGCGATTTGGCTTACATGGTATCAGGAAGATGCTACCTTGTTGAGTGTTACAGCAGGGACTTATGTGCCGTCACACAAAAAGGATTGTCAGCTTTGGCGCCAACCGTTGGCCTAGTTGTACGGCCCAGTCACACAAAACGTGAGTACACGTAAAATATTGTTGAAGTTTATCATTTGTGCTCTTTCTAGCCTAGTCAAAAAATGTTCAAGTAAAGCAAAATGATCTAGATTGTACCATTTTTTCTTCCACTGGCTAAGGTTTAAAGTGACTTCTATTGCCTTTTCATCAATTTCAACCAAAACAAAACTTGTTATTTTGCTTATTATCAAATGCCATAACTTTTGTCTCTCATGCTTTGACCAATTTGCCTATTTCTTTCAGTGTACTCGGTGTAACAAGTTTTCGTAACCCAAAGTCCTTTGTTATACTAGTTTTCTGTGCCTTGCGTGTTACAAAATATTGGACTAACCTCTATATAAGAGACATGCCTATGTTCCGTCTGTGACTGGGCCTAGATTTACCAATAAACTTTTTTGCATTATCTTTCTTCCACGTTCGATTCTATTAGATTTTTTCGAAGGCGGAGGCAAGCCATTGTTATTGAGCTTAACATGTTCATTTATTTCCAGCCACTATCAAGACAACGCCAGTTCCGCAAACAACCCGTCGCACCAAGCCAACGACAAAGCGAACGCCAAAAACTACGAAGAAAAAGAAACGACCTCCGGAGTCGTTACAAGAAATCAACGATTTTGAATCCCAGCTGCTACATCCAGACGCTGCTTGGTACACTACAACAATGAAACCAACTCCTCCAACTTGCATCTTCGGGCCTGTACTCAACCACACTACTATGATTGGTGGCCTTCGCGCAGGCGACTTCACACATAAAGGTCTTATTCACCGAATGGACTTGTGTCAAGGGCTCTGCTGCAATGATTCGAGTTGTGACATAGCAATCATGATGAAGGGAGCATGCTTCTTGGTGTCATGTAAGAACCAATCATTATGCAAACCCCGACACGCGGAGCTACCGAACTTCAGCCTTAAACTCTCGTACAAGAAGCGTCCTGGCGTAAAGGGTAAGTCAAGGTTGCGGGACCTTTTAGATCTTCTTCAAAGAACATTTTCTTGTCAAATGTTGTCCCTTTGGTGCTTTTTGTTTCGTATAACGTCATAAGCTCAAGTCTAACTGCAGAAAATAACTGTTGAAAAGAGTACTCTCCAAGACAAGGCCATAATCGAATAACATATGATCGATGAGATAAAAGCATTCATTAATACGTCTTTGGTTTATAACTTTGATCATAGCTGTTATTTTTCTGCTATTAGCTTTTTATGTCGTTAGTTATAAGCTTGTTAAGTGATTTGCAAACGTTTACAACAGGCACTGACATGTTTTAAGCATATTCAGTTTTTGCCTGTTCAAAAAATCTTATTCTGTTCGGCCCATGAATCACTCCATATTCTATGAATTGATACACTAGTTAGTTGAGCTCTTCCATAGAAGGATACAATTGCTCTACGTCACTTTCAATATTTCAAGTTTCAATATTTTTTATTTACAATGATACATAATCAACATTTATGTAATCTGTCGCGGTTTTTTTGCGATATAACTGGTATTGAAATGCAACTGTCTTTTTACATGTCGCGTCCTTTTCGTAGACATCTCTTATGACTATGAGCACCCAACAACGCCAGCGCCTCCAAAACCACCAACAACACCAACAACATCAACAGCAAGGCCTACTAAATCGAAAACAACAGCAGCAACAACAAAACCATCAAAGACCATAAAACCTTCAAATCGAACAACGCCCAAAGTGAAGCTTGATATAGATACTGTGGATATACCAATGAACAGTCATGTGAAATCTTGGTGCTCAATCGACTTCGTATTGGATGGAGTAAGACTAGTAGGTGGGCTTTACTCGGGTACCTATCGTACCATCGGGCACGTTGATGACATGAAAGATTGCATGAAAGCTTGTTGCGATGAAGAAGAATGTACTGTTGCCTATTTAGAACGCGGCACTTGTTATGCAGTGAAGTGCCTAGATAAAGAACTGTGTAAATCTACCATGAGTGATAGCAAAACATCAGTGGGCTACATAGTGCGAGACGGCAAAGGTCTCTTTAGGTCTGCCCAAGAGGCCGTTACAGGCCTTGTTTTAAAGCAGGCAGATACAGTTCATAAAGAAGGAAAAGGAGCAGATCACGTGCTTAACGGAGAAGCAAAGTCAGCCAATGCCACAAAGCCAGAAAAGCCTCCGAACCATCAAACACGAAACACCACCAATGCACCTCCGCACTTCCCTGAAGAACCTAAACCAGAGACATCGCACGGTCTTGACTTTGGCTACTGCGAGAAAGGGGAGACGCTGCGAAACAAAAGGCTTATGGGTGGAATGAAAGCTGGAATCTTCCGTGACCATGGAGATGTTGATGACATGGAAACTTGTTCGGAGTATTGTTGCAAGGATAAGGATTGTCATTTGGCCTATATGATTGACAAAACCTGTTATTCTGTCCGCTGTTATAACTCTGAGTTATGCAAGACTTTTACTGCACCAAACTTCTTCTTGAATCCTGTCATGTCATTTGTAAGCCGCTCAAGAAACTTCACAGGTATTAATACATTAGCGACCATTTAATGCCCTTGACAGTCAAACTACGATTTTATCCACTTCATTTCAATATTTCCACCCCATATTGATTTTCCAAGCAAAATACTAACTCCTGACGTTTAGTACTTAGGAACACGAAAAGAATTTTATTCGCATTGATTTTCGACGAGTAACGTTGATTCACGTCGTTCTCTTTCGTAATTTAGGGCTACCAATGCTTCATTGCATCCATTCTATCGTACTGACACCTTCTCATTTGACTTCATGTTTTTCAGAGTCAGCAAAGCACAAAAACGCTACCCAGGAAACAACGCAAAAACCAGGTTTGTCGATGTTGCTTTTGTTGTTGTTGTTGCTGATGTTGTTGTTGTTATTGTTAATGTTATCATTGTTTCGCGTTCAGAATGTATTTTTGGATTATTCCATTGACTGTCAACGCTCATATTTGAAGTTTCGTAAAATTTGTTATCCAAACAAATGTGGATATTAAAAACATACTTAAGCTGTAACTGACAGAGGTTAATATATTTCACAAAGCAAGATGTTTCTGTTAGTTTGCGCCAAGGACGTCTAGGTTAAAGAATATTCACTTTATGTCCACCTTCTCTTGTTTCATGCTCTGATTGCTAATGGAACAAACTGTTTTATAATCAGCAGAGGCATAAAGAAAACCTCTTTTTTTTGATTTTATCAATTTATCTTGATCATTCAACTGTCATGGAATGAGATTTACGTACGTCAGATATGAATGAATCGAGCAGATCTGTTTTTGTACTTGAGTGCTCTTCTTTTTGACAGATGTGCAACCAACAAATGAAACGTCAGTTTCCTCGAAAGGTGAGAAGAGCGAGCATTCGAAGTCTAAGAAGCACAAGAACAAACCAACAAAAGCACACGAAACACACGACAAGCAAGGTACACATAAGCACAAAACAACTCACAGCCATGATCATAAAACTCACAGTAAGCATTGGAAACACGCTAAAGGAAAAGAGCTGAAAACAAACACGAATGTGCATGATAAACACAGGCCAAAACCCACACTTTCAGAGGAAATGGTCGAAGACAAGAAAATGGCGGATCGCTACAAGCAGCTATTACGGCACCCATACTTGATGAGAATGCTACAGCAGATGGATTCTGAGACCAGCGGGTCTGGTTCTGGGTCAGGTGAAGGGTCTGGTGAGCTGCCCATGTTGACTGAGTATATGAAAATGCAGCGGGTGAGCAAACACAAGAAAAGGCGTCCGGGTTCGAGTGCAAAACGAGGCCATGGCAAGAGCAAACTCGTCGACGTGACGTTAAAGGAAGCAGAAATCACAAAGATTCATCCTGTTCCATTGTCGAAGCTAGACATCGATTTAATTGATGCTCTCAGCTCTGGATCTCCTAGTACGTTTAATTTGTTTTGAAAAATATCTTACTCTGTGCAGGCCTTTTCTCATTGAGAGTTTTCAATGAAAATTTTAACTCAAAAGCAACAATCTATCTTGAATAGAACTGTTATATTTTCTTTGGAACGAAGCAACAATTTTACATCAGTTTAATAAGCTTAGATCATTGAGCGATATTACCTAAGTAAGGAAACTTCCTGAGGAATTTTTTGCCTTGTAGTATATTCCACCTTATTATCGGGTGATTCTTTTGAAATAGTTTAACTTATAATTTAGTTGTCATTTTTGTCTTATCCAAATCAAAATTAAAACACAATTTCTCATTTCCTGCTCTTTCAAGGTGACTACGAGAGTTGTCCTGCAGAAGAATTTGGCTGCGAGCATTTCTGCATAACATTGCTGCATGGCGGGCACAGATGCATGTGCCATAAAGGGCATCGTTTGGCAGCAGATGGCAGAAATTGTCTTGGTAAGCTTAAGCAACCTTCTTTCAGGCATCATATAAAAAAATATATTTTACAAGCTCTTTGAGTCAAAATGTTAGTCTGCGGATGTAGAATAAATGAATTTATCTTAAACAAATCATTACTGAGCTATGAAAAGAGTCCGGCCCTAGGCTTTTGCCATTATCAAATACACATGAATGATTGTGATGACAAATAGTCAGATCTAGGCCAATCAAGGTTTCATTAAATGTTGATAAGCCTTTTTGGCATTCTGTTGGAACATCTTCGTTTATATGATTCCGGAATTATAACCGAACTTTTCACACCATTTTGATTACACTAATGTTTACGTTGTTTACGTTCTGTGAATTGAATAGAACTAAAATTAGTTGAAATGAATTTCAGGAGAGGACCAGTGTGATGCAAGAGCTCATTATTGTGACCAGATTTGTGTGTTCGACCATGGGGAATACAGATGTGAATGTCGAACAGGATATATACGAAGCATTATGAACAGAACTTGTGATGGTAATTGAGAGTTATACTCGTAACTTATTCTCTTATTCTCGTAACGGAACTTCCCAAAAATTGTTTGTGTGCATTTTCAGTCATATGACAAATGAACAATAAAATGGAGAGCTATCATAAAATTAATCACATACACTAGCAGACTGTCACATGCTATAACGTAAAGATTTTAAGTACCCACAAGAGTTGGGTACCCACCAGTACCCACAAAAGAGTTGGGTACCCACCAGTACCCACAAGAGTTGGGTACCCACCAGTACCCACAAGAGTTGGGTACCCACCAGTACCCACAAGAGTTGGCTTTCAGCGTTATTGAAGTAAGCTATGCAGTCTTCAGGAAACGTTTTTCCAACTTTTGCCCTGAATTGATTGATTTTCGCGGATAAACACAAAAACGTACCCCTAATTTTTACCATAAGGTTTTGAATATCTTATTTCTTCCGCTTTTGCTGCTCTTTGCATCTCATAGTTGGTCACACGATCAACAATCGTGGAAAGGGGGGATGAAAGCAAGAAAGGTTATCGAGTCATAACCAAACCCCATCGAGTTTCATTTTATTTTTTTGGAAAGTTTTTGGGACTTATAGGAATTTTCCGGAGGAATGATAAACAATTTTGTTTCTGCTGCATCTATATATTTCATAGATTTCAAGAAATTATCAAAATGTAACTGGTAAAATTGAAGCAGACGTCTCATATGCACGGTTTTATACCTATAGCCTTCAGTGTACTGTTTATACCACATCATTTAAATATATTTGATTTTGTGCATGAAGAAAACTCTTTTAACCACTGCTTAGGACGCTGCTTCTCTGTTTGCTAACAGTTGAATTACTCTTTGCCTTTCACAGACATCGATGAATGTAACTGCTTAGGACGCTGCTTCTTTGTTTGCTAACAGTTGAATTACTCTTTGTCCTTCACAGACATCGATGAATGTGAAATGGGCATCCACGGTTGTGACCAAACTTGCGTTAACACACCGGGAAGTTATCGATGCCTATGCGGTACAGGCTATAAACTCAATGATGATCAAATGACATGCGCTGATCAATGTGAGTTACCACTGCTTGCTGTTCTAAATGAAATTATTATTAGTTTGTCGCAAACTCAAACGAAATGCTTTTGTCTAGATTTTAATTGGCTTTTGGCTAGAACAGTTTGGCCTGACTACGTAATGACGTCATTGTAACAGCACTATAACTGGTTTGAAATCAATTTGGTATATGCATTCAGTTACATGTCTGGCCTTGTAACAATATCTCAATTACAGTGTGACATTGTTTCAATAGCTTCTTGTCAATTGTCTAGAAAGCCTGTTATGTAAGCGCAGCTACCTGCGTCAGAGGGTCTTTCCATGAAACTTCATTCCATCATATAAAAAACGCAAGATGAAACAGTAATATGCTCTCAGTCATTCTATATTTGACAGTTTAGTTACGCAATGATATGCTAGTCTATTTTTAGCAGTAGTCTATTCCGCTTTCCGCAAAAGTTCAGTCATGACGCTTTTTGTGGTCGTATGGTCACTGTAGAAGCAGTTTTAATTCCAACCATAGCCAACGCTAGATTACATTCCTGATTTCTGGTTTCTTATTCCCTTTTTGTAAAGCCATATTGTATTTTAAGTAAAACAGCTGGCGATTTGGCTCGATTTTTTCGCATTTTCATCAATATTCCTCCAAGAGGGTTGATAAATTGATATTTCTCTATCCCATCTCTGTTTAATTACCCTGCATTTGGCTTCAACCATATTGTGATATCAGCTCCAATAATCCTAAAGCTGTTCAACAGAAGATGCTAAATTTTGCTTTTAAATGCTTCACTGGTCTTCAGTTGCTTTATTTAATATTCAAGTTACCAATTGAACGCATTTATTCTCTTAAATGATCTTAATCTGTATTAACTCAAATAGCAGCATTGGTTCAATTGTTGAAATTAGTATCAACTTTTTCTTTTTCAGCTGACACAGCATCTTTGATGAAGAAAAATAAAATCGAGAGAGTGCCGAGATTTTTAAGTACGTATTGAATAAAATCATTTCTATTCGTGGTTGTTAAGCCCAAAATTAGTAACATAGATAATATTTTCAGACTTATCAATGTTTATTTACAAAATAATTGTTTGACTTGATATGCAGTTCTGATATGATTGGGAAACTATCAGTTCATTGATCGAGGAGTTTTGTATCTAAAAAGTAAAAAGAAAGTACCTTTATATCAGAAAATCACATAGCATGACCATAATTTTAAAATTGCAAGTACTGTATTATTTATGCATTTGTGACATTTCTCCTGCATTTTGGTTTTGCAGAAATGTTGCAGAAATTATTGGCTTGTAGAGGTTTCTTCATAAGGCAAAGAAAAAACCCAAAAGTATCAGGACAATATACTTTATCTTTTATTTCTACTTCATCTCTTTAATTAAAGCCCTTTCTTTTTTCAGTTCCTGCTATGATAGTAAGCGGACCAAATGACACAGAAGTGATACAGGGACACAATGTCATCTTGAACTGTGCTGCCCATGGCTACCCAGCCCCGAAATTCGTGTGGTCGTTTGGCATGAATGAAGCAGTGCCACTGACTGGCAATCCACGCATGATCGTGTTACCTGGTGGCAGTTTGTTAATACAAAATGCAAAAATGAGCGATGCTGGCGTCTATCGATGCATTGCATCCAACAATGCTGGAACTGATACAGTGAATGCAATATTAAAAGTTGCTGGTAAGAAAAAAGTTATTATTCATAATGTCACTAACAATTTCTTATGTGCATATTTTATAATAACTTAAGTTTTGAAATATGGTTAGGTGAACAGAACTGGTTTTTTCTTGTTCTTGACAATTTCAACTGTTTTGAATGCTTTTCATTTCAAGCACTTTTGAAGCAATATGATTTTATCAAGAAAATAAACCACGGAAACTTAATTTGTTCTGTATTGCATAACATTCTAGAATTTATCGTGTAAAGAATCGTTTGGTGGTACAAAACTTGTAAATGGTTTTGGAAAAAGCAAATATTTAGTAAACTAAAGCTTTCCTCTGACACTCAATAGACAAGCGGCACTGATTGGTCAACCTATACAGTCATGTGCTCATGTTTCTGATTGGCCTATTTCAATCCACAACTGGGTATATATATTTCCTAGCGTAGAGTTTTCGATCTATGTTTTGACGTTTTAAACGCTGAAGAGTGTCAGACGAAAAGCTTTAGTTTACTAAATGTTTGCTCTTCTCAAAGCCATTTACAAATTTATCGTGTATTAAAACAGCTGTTTATTCATTGCAAAAATGGAGACAATATGATTGATTTGATTCGTTATTTTGAGCCATGCTGTCTACATGACCATTCCTATGATTATTCATTTCAGACATTGATGAATGTAAAAACAAAACCTATCGTTGTGAACATCTTTGCCATAACACAATTGGAAGCTTTTACTGCAGCTGTTATCAAGGATACACTCTCCAAAGTGACTCATACACTTGCCAAGGTACGTTTAAGTACGTTCCTGTTCTTAACCCATTTACAGAAAATAAGATGAACTTTAGAATATATTATTTTGAGGATAAAATGCTAATGTAACTTAATTAAATCTAGCAATGAGTATGAAATATAATTGATCAGATTTTTCTTGGTTCTTCTTGAGAAATGCTTTCACGTTGATTTGTTTACTAGATGAGAACGAATGCACTCGATATCCTGGAATTTGTACCCAGTATTGCTATAACACGCCTGGAAGTTACCTTTGTGGCTGCAGAGATGGGTATAGGCTTCAGACAAACAGAAGAAATTGTACAGGTATTTAAAACATTCATAATATATGTGTCATTGCATACTTGCTTGTTGATAAATAAGAGTTCAAAGTGTTCTTAAAGATTCTGTAGTTTTGCTAAATTTGAAATGTAGTTTTTGACTGTTCTGATATCTTTTTAATTCGAAATTGGCAACTGTTAAGATACATTTTCCAAAAGGGTATGCTGGCAGAAAAAACCACTGGTCAATATTTTTATCTCTCACAATTGATCGTATTGTAAACTCCATCCAAGTGCCATTTCAAATATATTTTTTTGAATTGGAGTTATCTCATCCTCAAGTTTTGTGAACTAGATATCTATTGAACCAGCTGAATATTGTTTTTATATTATATTTCTTTTCAGATATCAACGAATGCGAGAATAAACAAAACCCTTGCAGTCAGCTTTGCAACAATACTCAAGGATCCTACCAATGCTATTGCTTCAAAGGATATAAACTGAAACAAGATAATATCACATGTGAAAGTAAGTTCGATTCCGAAACTTTTATCCCTTTAAAAAACATATAGACGTGGTTTAAATTGTATTTGCTCAAACCCTGTAAAAACACTTTGATATAATTTTGACACGTGGTTAAACCCCGTAATATAATTATGGATGCATGAGATTAGAATAACATCACGCCTTCTGGGAAAGAAATAATGAAAGTCACAGAATGTCTTGAGAGTTTTATGTCATAGAATGTATATATTTGATTGTTTACAAATACATGCAGACCTAAAAAGTTCCATATTTTGCGGGACTTTTAAGTACTTATTATCTTCATGGCCATGTTACAATCAGTGCCTGCTAAATGTGTCATCATCTTGCTTGCAATAAAGTATATAAACAAACTTTTTGGAGACGTATTGTCAGCATTTTCAATGAGAAACGTTTAGACTTCTTTCATTGGCAGGATAACTTTGGTTTTGACCATACTTGAAAAGATTTGCCAATGTTGATTGTACTAAATGTGTTTGAATTTCCTTTTAGAAATCCATACGATTGCATTCTCAATTGCAAATGGCAGCCCACTTTCTGCTGGTGTCGGTGCAATGGCAGCGATAATAACACTTATTTTATTCGCTGGCCTGTCGGCATTTGTTACGCTTATCAGGAATTATAAAAAGAGAAGGAAATTTGACAAGGAATTTGGACGTCAAAATGATGGACGTCCACAAATTAAGGTATGACACTTTTCATTCATGTGATTGCGTGATAGTCATTCAAGGACGTCGGAACCGAGGCTGCTGCAGGGGCACGTGCTACCGGCTTTTGATAACAGGCATTTTTCTAAAAAGTAGCCTCTCGAAAAGTGTCATTTTTCTGTGACATTTCCCCCCCCCCCTGCCTACGTTTGTCTTTCCAATTTTGGCATGCTTCTGACATTCCTGTAGTTATTTGCTTAATTGCTTGAGCTTTTTTCCTCTTTGATATTTTCGGCGATCGAGAAGAAAAAGGAAACATTTTTGTACATAACCATTCAGAGATTTTACCACGTTTTATAATTTGCCGAATGCAACTTCTATAATTACCGAAGTAAAGACTCGACTTTTTAATGGCATTTCCCCTTTTATTTTGAAAATTGGGTAACCTCGCCCTAAAACATATATTTAATGATTAACTTCATGCATTCACTTTGAAACTATGTATTGATTGGAATAGTAGTCATTTTTCATTAGATTTTAATAAATTTCTTTTTTTTCTTTTTAGATATCTAGTAACAGCAAATCCATATTTAGCTGGAGGGACTGAAAGATTTTGTGTAGTATTTAATCTTTTTAAAAATTGTAAATAATTTATAAATTTATATAGCACTATTTTTACTTTTTGTAACTTTTATGTTACTTTGAAATACAAAACTTGTATATATTAAAAATGTAGGTATTTTTTTCTATAAAATGTATCAGTTAAAAATTTTTTTCATTTTTCCGAAATCAATTTTTCTTGATAAAATAATCTTCATTAAAATTTTGACTAATTTTCGTTTGTTGATTTAACTGGAATATTTCTCCGACTAAAATGCTAGAAAAGAAGACAGATAAGATTTTTCTCGATAAAAACTGACATAATTGTTTTTAAATCATTTTTTTATGTATCTCCGTGATCTCCGTGGTTTTCAAGTAAAAGCTGTTTTCGCTTTCCAAAGATTGTAAGAATTTTATATTTTCAGCACGAAATTGGTTTGACTTTCTTTCCATTTAAGCAAAGTAAATTATAACAAAAAATTTTCTTTTTCCTACCTTGGTTTACCTTCAAATTCAAAGCAACAGATGAAGAAGCTCATTAGGTTTAATAATCCTGTTAATATCAAAAGTTGTAATTACAGAGCTTGTTGTTTTGCCATTTTCTCACAAAGTTGCGAAGTTTCAAAGGTCACTATATATAACTTCACCTTTCTCTTTATGTCTAGGAACATTTTACAGATCTAACTTTTCCATCAGCTGTTTTTTCTCACAAGTCGCTCAAGTAAACTTTTTAAAATACCCATAAAGCACTTTGCAATCTTTTGAGTAAAAAACTGACCCATTTTAAGTACTCTGTATCCGGAGAAAAACATGCTTGATAGTTTTATGCAAGACATGTAACTGGAAGTATAGCTAGCACCTTTCAATGCACTCTCTACCAACAAAGAATGTTGTCCTTTTGATATTGTGAACAATTCTCAGGCCAAAACGATTTGGATTGCACAAGTGCTATGCCTTTATAACGTCCGCTAAAAACCGAAGAAACCCCTTATGAAACTAATATAGCTAAGATTAAAAAACTTCTTTCAAAAATATCTTAGTAGATTTTTGAATCAATAAAGCCATTGGATAGCAAACAAACTCTCGTAGCACAGCAAACATACAGTTAGAATAATTTACTTAACACACGGGGGATGGAGAAATTCTTTTCGACCAAAGGATGGATAAATGATAAATTGCGATGGCGTTTATAAGGTTCTATAATCCTCGACAAAACCTCTTGGAGAACAGTGCATATTCACTGCATATTCCCCTTGCCCCTAAACAATGATTTCTAGCACCTTTACTGGGGGCTAGCGTTATAAAAATCCCCAAAAATTCGCCAAACTTTGTAACCTTGGTGATTTTATGTTGGGAACGAGGCTGACAGGTGGTCACCAGTTTGCTGTGGAAACTGTCATCATTCGAATACAGAAATGGCGGGTATTTGAACTCTCTTCTGTTTGATTTGTAAAAGAAAAACGGAAGAGGCTATTTGCTTTGTTGCTTCGCCGTATCTCAAAGTTTTGGATGATTCGTCTGCAAGTTATCGGATAAAGTTTTATATTTTAAAAAGTTTTAATCTTTACTCTTGTCATGATTTAATAGTTTAGGCCACATCCTGGTGTTTTGCAGCGCAGTCAAAACATCTGCTTTTAGCAAGCCAAGTAATTAAGTGACCTGCCTCCTCCTCCTGGAATATTGATATTTATATGGTTCTCTTGCCAATTTGACATCAAGATGGCCGAGTATGAGGGTAAGTTTTTGCAGTTCAGAAAATACGCATTCCTTAAACCCGTTGCTATGTCAGCATAAAAATACATTGGCGACAGAAAATTTCAGTTATATTTTGAGCTAACCTTAAGTCTTGCAAATGCATAATAATTATGAATATGGCTATATTTTTTTGCAAAGATATAACCTGTATCTTGTTTTTAATTCTAGATCAATGCAATAATGTTTTACAGAACCTTTTTAGTCTTTGTTTACAAATGATTTTCAGCTTTAATCCTGTAAAATTTATAATTCAGCCTTCATTTATTAGTGAGACTGGTGATCGATAAGTCCATTGTATTGCTAGATAGTGTAGTAACGGAGAGATTGAAGATAGTATTGCATTATGACGGACAATTTCTGAAATCAAAGGGCTGAAAAGCATGCATATTTTGCCTGTTTTTTGTCAATTTGAAATGCCCAAAACAGAAAGCAAATTTTCAAGGTTTGATATAAATAGGCAGCAGCACCTAATGGTATAAAAATTGGGGACTAATATAGAAAAACTCGAAATCTCAGAATCAGGCATCTTATAGGCAACAAAAATGTGAGATGGCCATCTTGGCTCCCATAGTTGAACAAAAGCAGAAAGTTTTTAATGGATACACCCCCTTCAGCTAGAAGGCCAAGTAAGTTGTAAACAATCATAACATTTTACAAGCAGCAAGCATTATTATTCTCTTTATAGATGATGCAATTAAAAGGTTTAAAAATTGTTTTTAAATTAGCTGATTTGACAGACAACAAGTTTTAATATATAGTAAAAAAATGAAAAGAAGCATAACAGACAAAATCTTAGTGAAAAGAAGCACATACTTAACTTTGAGGCAACTGTAAGAGCTGGTCCATTCAATGATGTTTTTATATTTAAAAAGGGTTTCATTTCATGAACATGAAGCTGCAGTCATGAACTGCATAGCAATGTGAAAATGATGGGTGATACATATTTTCTTGGTTCTAAATCACGGATTTTTTTATCTCACAAATCTGACATTTAAATTTCTCTTCAGTATATTCTTTATGTTTTTTGCTAAATGCATCAAAAATTCCACTTTCTTTATTCAATTAGCATTCAGAGACATAAGAACACCATCAACTTTACATCCATGCTCAAATTGTGGCAGAACATTTAATCCTGAGACATTGGTAAGTTTTTGCATATAAGTTTGTTTATCTTAAGCTTTTTATTAGTTAGGGGAAAACAAATTAAACTGACTGATCAACTTCAAGGCCAATCTCCACTGATGCTTTTTTGCAGCATTTGTCTGAAAAATTCACAAAAACACATGCACAGAAAGAACAATTTTGAGAGAAAAGCGTCTGTGTATTGAAAAATTTGCTTGATGATAGTTGAACTATTATCATCAAGCGATATTATTCGAGGTAAACATAGGACAAAAGAATTACATGATTTTCATAATAGGCCTTTGCAATATGACATTCTCAGAGCAACTGGAACTTAGTAGCAGTGAAACTGACTTGCAGTTACGTACTTTACTGGGTAGATTAGGTAATAATTCTTTTCCACAAGCAGACATAATTTTTCAAATGCCAATTTAATTGGTATTCATCTTTCTGGTCGCTGTCTTTATGTAATTTGCGCACCCAATCTTTACATGCTTTTTTTAAAAGCTTGATTTCCCCTTCAGTAAATATAACTGAATTTCTTGTTTTCTTACATTCAAGAATGGTTAAGACAGCCTGAGACAACATCTTTGTCCTAAGAATCTGTGCATCCTGAAATTGGATCAAAATCAGTGGAGATAGAATGAGCTGATTTTTGTACAAACGTTTCAGCGAACGCTAAAAAACAAGCGTCAGTGTAGATTCGGCTTCATACCGCAAAGAGATTCAATGGTTGTCTTGCTCCATGTTAAAGTTAACTAATACTTTATTGAAACCTCTTTCTCTTTTGATTTACTAGCAAAGGCACGAGAAAGTATGCAACAGTCAAAAACAACGAAGAGTGTTTGATTCAAGTAAAATGCGTTTGCAGGGGACAGAAGCTGCAACTGTCAAAAGGAAACCCAGCCCTCCACCATCAAAAACAAAGGTAAGTAAGTGATACTCTCTTTTTGTTGCTTTGGGATAGTCCCCTATCCTATGAATGCTGAATAAATTTTGGAGAAACAAATTTCTGAAGAAATGCAGAGATGTGCCCAGTTCTCCGTTGAAAATATTTTTTGGAAGGGTTAGGCCACTCAAGCGACTGGGATCTTTTGCATTACCTTGTTTTATGAACCTGTGATACCACTCCCTTTCTTCTCCTAGAAACAGATATCATCATCTTCAAAGGTAGGAGGGATGAAACCCTTTAGATCTTCTTTCCAACACATATACCTGATCATAATTTTATTATATGTTGCAATTATTTTAGAAGATACTAATTCTTTGGAAATGCAGAATAGACTAAGAGTCACAACTTTATTCATAAGGTGTTTTTATTTGCCCTCATTCTGGGATTGCACCTGGGAGTATACTTTCACATGATATATTATTTCTTCAAACTAATCAACTGCTATCAAAAGCATATTCTAGGGTAGCTGGCAATTTAATAGCAATCTCAAAGAAAGTTATTTATTAGAAAGTAGTTCAGGCTGAAGTCAAATAATGTTTCTGTGGAAAAATGAAATAATAAACAAACAGATATCTGCTTGGAAAAAAGCCCAACTGTTAACTTCATGGAAGAAACACAGAAAATTGCATGATATCAAAAGGCAACCTCAGTTTTAGGTAGTTAATTGAAAGCATGTACAGAAAGCATAAAATGAATCTGGTGGTGTCTTATAAAGATTGAAAATAGCAAACAGTCTTCTTGAAAACATGCAATTTTTTAAGACTCACTTTTTCTTTTCTTCTTGTTTTTTAATATGTCCTCTACCATAGTCTTTTGGGTCATACAGGTTACTGTCCAATGCCATATCCCTTTTTAAGATACTTCTATCCAAGAGCTATAATACAACATACCACCTCAAGGGTCTAATTTTATTTTGTCTGAATCCTGCAGACCTGTTTTTCAAAGCTCCTTTTTTCAACCAAATTAACCTAATTTTATTTTGATATGACTAGCTTTGCTGTAAATCAAAGTTCTTATTCATTCGTCACACCATACATGATTATTATAAAAAATGTTGTGAAACTTTTCAAAGGAAATATTATTTTGTCTTGTCATGGATCCAGTGGGGTAATACAGTTTAGGAAACCTTAGTTAGATATCTAAGGGCCCCAATCAAAAGTGGCCCTAAAGTATTGTTCTATATGACTCTGCTCAGAACACCACTGGATTGGACCTTCTTGCAGACATTAGGTAGGGGTCCCATTTCAGTTTTATTCCCAAGGGCCCAAGGTGACTTTGCTATGCCACTGCATGAATCCTTGTATCTTGTTGTTGATGGTATGAAGAGAGATTCTCCAATCAACCTTTTCACTACTAAGAAGTTGTTAATCTTTAATGCCTAAATCCACCTCTTAAGTAAAATTTTAGGTTGTAGCTGACTGTAAGTCAATGCCCATTCATGAATAATTAAGGTGCTCTATTTACTTTAGATCTAAATTGAGACTTTCTCACATTATTCAAGTTCAGCAAGCAGGTAGTGTTTCAGTATGTTTAGTTTAGTCTTCAACTTAAATTGTTGTTACAGTTGTTGTTCTTCATATATTATAATAAACACCTGCAAGAGCAGAATAAACTTTGAGTAAATGGGGTTTTTGGATTTTTTTTTAGTTTGACAGTATTAGAAAGATACTGTGACCAATTCTACCCCCTCGTATCCTTTAGTCTGTCACTGACACTAGTTTTCAGACAGTAGCATGCTGACAATAAAACAGAAATGCTAGCAACAGGCAGGCCCGGTTTCAGGAATTTTTGTTGGGGGGGGGGGGTGCAAGTTTTTATCTACCGAGTACATTTTGGCAGCATTACACTGCGTTAATGCAATCAGAATTTTTAGCATTGTTAATATTTAAATTTCAGCTATTACAAAGCAACTTCAGCTGTAAAACTATTAGTTTTATAAAAGTTCTAAAGTAATCTTTTGTGGCCACGTAGTTTACTCAACCTTTAGTAACACTGAATCGAACTCTTCTGTTCTTCAACTGGACCCACTTCTTGATAAAAGATAAGATCTGTGTAAAGTATTTCTCGCACGAAATTAGTGTAAGAGATTGTAGACGATCCTGGAGCATTGTGCTTTGCAGTTTTCAGAGACGGGGCCACAAAATTGAGACTGAGGAGGGGGTGGGGCTAAGAATCAAGTTTAATGACATATTTGTCAAATTTCTTGAGATTAATGTTCTTCTGTGATGTTCCTAATAATCCTCTTCTGGATCAACGGAAAAATGGATGAAGGAAAATTTTTCGTCTGAAAATTTAAAAAAGATTATCTACCCGTCAAAATCCCAATTTTACTGACCAAAATCCCGATTTTGCCGACTAAAGCACAAATGCCTATTCTTGGGGGTGTTAAACCCCCCCCTCCCCACACACACACACACCCCTCAGGGGACCGGCCCTGGCAACAGATAGCTCACTCTTTTACCAATCCCAGCTTAGTATATCAACAGAATACTCAGGCTAATTTGCCAGGGAAATGGAATGTTCCCGGGGTATCCAGTCTGTAAAAACACAATTCTGGCTGGTGGGACGAAACTGTAATCTATCCACATGTTTTCGCATTCCATAATGAAAAAATGACGTTTTGTGATATCCGGGGAAGCTGTTGGATGGGATAAAAAAACCATAAGCTGAGAAGTGGGATAGAATTTTCATGTAAACATGCAATGATTTCATCTGACTAACAATTTTAGACTCAAATTCTTAGCAGCTCTTATAGTTAAGTTAGCCTCCTTTTGTATTCCTTTGAAATTTTTTTTCCTGGAAATACAGAAATTTGTATCTAAAATTGAAAATTTGGACTGGTAACGAGTTTGTTATATCCGGGGTTCGTCATACCGAGAAAATTTGTAATGATTTTTTTGAGCAGAATCCAAGGAATTGTGTTCGTTTTTCCGGGAAATTCCTTATGTCTGGGGCTCGTTATGTCGAGATTTCACTGTATCTGTCAGGTCTTGGTGAGTTTAAGGTAAGAAAATTTGCGGGCAAGTTAGGCGTGACAGGTTCTCTTTAGATTTTTAGCTGGAAGTAAATCTTCGTTGAAGTCGAGATTTTGCTGGATTTGCCGACTATAGAAGCATTTTGCCGACAAACTTTCTTAAAAGTAGGAGCTGATGTGACGCCCCACGTTGCAACAGCCCGGCTATTGCTCATTTGAGTGTATTTAAAACGTTATACTTCTTTTCAGGATAAATCGAACTGGAGAGCAAAGCATGAGAACCTGATTGCAACCTTGAAGGCAGCACGGGGCGAAGGTCCAGCTGTAGCTCCTACGGTGGATCCAGGTTACGTTGAATGTCCTTACTGTACCCGAAATTTCAATGAATACGCAGCAGAACGGCATATACCCTTTTGCAAAGAGCAGAATGCACGATTGCCAAAGAATAGTGGAAATTCCAAGTCAAAACTCACAAAGAGAACTCAGGTGAGAGGCTATTTTACGTTAGAATAGTGAAGTCCTTTTAAATTTTACACAGATCGCTAGAAAATCACGTGTTTTGATGCACTCTGCCCGAATGCCTGTCATGTTTTGCCAATGCTCATTTATACCGCTTTTATTTTGCAGTATAAGCCTCCTTTACCTGGATCAAAGAAAGGCAGCTCATCATCATTAGCATCAGATGGAGGCACACCCAAACAGAGGCCTTTACCAGCCAAAGGTTTGCTTCTCTATCCGTTCGAAAAATCTGCTCCATAGACCATTCTCCAAAAAATATTTGTTACAGAGGCTTTTTTACAACTATTTACTTTTCGGAAATTTTTAGTTGAAAAGGAAAACATAGCTATTATTAGAATGTATCGATGTTCTTAAACCTTAACTTCAAACTGATGAAACTTTTTACATAGAACGCAAACAATCACTGAACGTGTTTCAATAAAAATTTTCGATAAGCAACTGTCGTGTCATGGATTCCAATTGGACAGATTTCCATTTGAGTTACCACCAAACACAGCTTAGCTAACCTCTCGCTATGCAATCTTAACTGGCTGTTTTATTATTTAATCTTCTGCGCTACTTGGAAAAGATGTTTTCCCAGCAACAATTTGTTTGGATGACCCAGCACAGATCGTAATTGGTTTATTTGAGATTTGTCTGCCTTGTTGTTAACAATAATAAAGTGTTCCCGTGAAGTAACTCCATTTAATCGCCTACCATTGTAGCCAAACTGTTAGACATTTTTACGAAGGCCACCAGGTCATATACTCTCTCTGAGCCATGACTCGGCATTGGCCTAAGCGAGACTTGGCCTACGAGGCTACTGTCGATCATCGAGCTAGGCCCAGAGCTCTACTTCAGCACAGTATCCAAGGAAATGCGTAGGAGCCTTTAGTTGCTTCCCCACTGACTGTTTTGCGACAGAGCATACCGTGTTTACTATAACCCTGTTTTTAACCCTGTTGTGTAAGCTTTTAACGCGCAAAAAGCCGGCCACGAATTGTTTCATCCGAGAAACTTTTTTTAGGCTCGACACAAACACCGTCTTCGGGCGGAATAGCGAAGCGCTCACCTGCACCATCGCCAACACTGCGTCGGAAAAATGCTCCTGAGCAGACGGATTCTCGTGTACTACGGAGGCAATCTGCCGCCTCTCCGCCTCCACAGCGTCAGAATGAGTTTGGTTCTACAAGGGCTGTTGAGAAGAATTATAATTACAATGAGCAGTACCAAGCACGGCAGAAACAACAGCAGGGACAATACAAAGAGAATTATCGAGCGTCCAGTGGCAGTTCTTCTGATTCCGATGCGCATCGTGTTGGTTCAGGGTAAGCAACTTTGCAGATGCAAACTCATTTTTGTAGACTTCAACTTCCGGTTTCAGTTTGTCTTGATCTTCTGTTTATTTCAGTGATTCTCCCTTTCTTATATGTCTATTGAAGTTGTACTTGGCCATATCGGCCTTAATATGTAAAATTACTTCTTTGTTGAAAATTCGTGACCAAAGGTACTCTTTGTACGCATTTTAAAGATTACAAGCTCATTTTGATGAGCCAAAACTCTACCACATTTCTGGTAGTGAAAAAATACCAAAATACGAAGTTTTTAAGTGTGCATTGGAGTGTTAAATTTTTCGACTGCAGTATTTGCCTAAAACGTTATTCCCATGACTCCAAAAAGGTACCAGCCCCCTAAATAAAACTTTTGTTAAATCTCCTCGACCTCAAGGTTCCACTGTTATTTGAAGGAGTGATAGGAGGATGAAACTCAGCTATAAGCACTAAGTAGGGATGTTGCACAACTTTGACAACGATGGTAGTGAATTAAGGTTACGGTAAACGTTTTGAACACGAAAATTGGTTTTTCCTTCCTAAAAGCCAAACGGCTCAAGAAATCTGGATAAACTATATATCATTCGATGCACAAGATTATGGCGTATCTAGCCAGATAACAATTATTGGCAAATAATGTTAAATGTTATTTTCCATGCGAATTTACTGGTCAAAAAGTGTACCACCTTCAAAAGCTATTATGTACCCTTGCGTTTGAGGTAACAAAATCTGACTTAGACCAGCAGGAAGTGCAGGTCCTAAGCTACCAAAGTGTGTCTCAGATTTTTTAAATTCCTCCTCTTTATGAAACTATACCCTGTCAAAAATTGGCAAATAATTTTTCCACCCTCCCGCAGCTGTATTTGGGTATAAAAGACGGACCAGAGAAAATAAAAAAATTTTGAGACACACTTTGTTTGCCCAACGTCTGCCCTGGCCGTGTGCAAATTTTCGAGCCATTCGATTGGTTCCTTGGGTACATAATAGCTTTTTCGTACCTGCATGTAGAGGAATTTCGAGTCCGGAGAAAACGGGATTTTACTTATCGCACTTGCAAGATACACTCGTAAACCACAGTGTAATCCGGGTCAAGTCACTTGAAGATTTAAGATCAATAAGCTTGTTTAAATAGACACGGCCGTACATTGGATATATGGATGTGCCATGCGATATTGTAAATGAGACATGCGACCACAACCGCAAAGCAACGATAATCGGCTTAACAGGTCAAGAGATTTTCAGGCCTCAACTAAAAGTTTTGATAAAGAAATTATGGAGACCTTCGTTTACATGGGATTTTTTCCACTTTCAAAATTTCTGTTTGTTTCAAATTTGGTATCATTGTGTGCCTTGAAAGTTCGGCTACTTGAATGTGAAAAAATCGAAAAAATGATGTTTTCATCAAGAAAACGTTTACCGTAACCTTAAAAGGAAGACCGCAGTATATATGAGTTTGTTAAGTGATTGACCTTAAAAAAGATTTTTCTGAAGATCCTTCCTTGCGAATTTTTCTAGTGGTAAACCTTAAAATAATTTTAAATTCAAAATCAAATTAGAACCTCAAAATTAAAATCATGGACAATTAAAAAAGAAAAGAAACATTAAGCAGCTGAAGAATTGAATGTTGAAAAGAATATATAACAACGATATTTAGAACGATTGCGAAAAATATCTAGAAATATTCTTGTAACGCCATTGAACTTTCTGAGTTCTTTTGGGTGCTTCAGCATCTATTTTCCAATTTGCAGACTATTTCCTTTTTGTAGGCTGCTATTTATGTAAGATATTAATGTAAATTCTCTGTAAAAGACATTTTGCTTTGTCCCAGTGGAAAAAACGAAGATATTTCAGAATTTCCTATGATATTGTTTGGAAATTGTATTACTGTTCGCATTTTTTGTTACAAAAGAAATGCCATTGATTTTGTTATAATTTATGAAAAAAGTGAGAAAGTAGAAGTAGAGTATGTTGCTAAAATCCACTTGCTCTTGGTTCTAATTATTTTAGTGAGAGGTAAAATACGATAAAAAAATTCCAAAATTGTAGGTAAGAAAACTCTAATAGTATTATTTTAAACGAATAGAGTGAAATGTACTGTTCATAAAGGTTTCATAGTCGTCTCAAAATGAAAGCAAAAAGTTTGCTTAGGATTGTTAGAAAATGTGAATATGTTTAGGACCATAATATTTTTAATGATCGCGATTTATGGAGAGCCGCAACGGTTCAAGGCGAATCTCCTGTTTCTTGACGATGATTTCTTTACTGTTGATGTCATGACATTTAATTGATGTCATCCACACTGCTTTCGATAGTCAAAAACATCCTGCATCTGACAGGCTTTTCATTTGCTTAGGAAACAGCCCCCTGCATGGCTTAAAGATTTCAAAAAGACTGAAGATACGTCAATATTGCCAGAAAGAAAGACAGATAGTTCTTCTGCTAGCTCGAAAGGACGCCACAGTGGGAGGCAACGCGAAACTTCGAACCGAGATGTTTTCGATTTCGACGAAAAGCCCATAAAACCAATCCGCCGCAATAGCGAATATGACACTGATGATTTCGGTCCACCACTGACGAAACCGACAGCTGTCGGTGTTGTGCGACCGTCTTCACGGGATGTTTCGGGCAAAGAAGACAGAACACCAAGTGGACGGCGAAAACTTGCGAACTTTTGCCATGAATGCGGGACAAAGTACCCGGTGCAAACGGCAAAGTTTTGTTGTGAATGCGGTGTCCGGAGAATGCATGTGGAACAAGCCTAGAAGAACACTTTATTCCTGAAATTTGAAATGATATTTCGCACGATACAGTATAGTTACGTATTAATGTTGCATCTTTTGTATTTGTCGAACTGTATTTCAAAATCTGACTTCGTTGGGTGTCATGCTTCTAAAGCACCTACTTATCCAAGGTAATTGTACATTGTTTGATATCAATTGAGCCATGTTTTGAATTTCTTTTAATAAACTTTTAGATTTTTCTTTGTTATTCAACACAATAAAGAACCTGAAACAGTCGCTTTGACGAGGAGAGAAACGCTAAAAAACAGGTCGTTGTTTGTTGATCTCAGTTTCCTTTAAAAAATTTCGCTACTTAGTTGTCATGACAAATAAGCTAATTATTGGCATGCCATGTCATCAATTTTTTCTTTCTCGCAAAAGGATACACTACTTAAGTTAAATTGATAGTATAGTTGGCAACCTTGCTTCTCGATTTAAATTTTTCCAGATCAAGATCAGTTTCTATAAAATGGGTAGACGGGCATATTTTTGTTCTGCCAGGTTGTTCTTCCATTGGACAGTAGGGATCACGCCATTCGACATCTGATGATTTTCTTTAGTTGATTAATAACAGTTTCATAGTCTATCCAATGTTGAAGAAAACGAACTAGCATTCAAGCACGGTCCTCCAGGAAGATATGAAGTTACTTTAACTTTGTGTGGATGCTCATTAAATTTATCAAGCTTCTCGATAATAGATATTAGTTTTATATAACTGTTTCAAATCATCTTAACAGCCTCAGACCGTTGTGGAACCAACCTTGGCTTTAAATTTGAAATATTTTTCTTTACGACTGTTAGGTCCCTCAGCATGTGTGGCTGTTAAGAATACCACAGATTTTTCCAACAATTGGGGTTGCCTTTCTAAACCAAACGTTTTATACCTTTAGCTGAGAGGCATTTAGACATAATTGGGACATAATTCTGCCGGACAAATCGATAATTGCTGCTCTTTCCCCCACTAGAATATGTATAGATGTTATTTATGGTCATCAGTCAAGATAGAATCGGAATCATTCAACATATCTCAGTAGACGGTTTTGTTTGCTCGCTGTCTTTTGCACGGAACAAAGACTTACATTTATCTGTATCACAAATTACATCACTGCATATTGATTGTTGATTGACCTTCGTTTGGTAAATAAGGGATGGGCCAAAATCAAGATTATCCGTCATTAATTGAAAGTGACTTATATCCGTCATTAATTGAAAGTGCCCGCCCACCCTTTATATTGTTCTGTTAAATATGGTGCACTCATTTTTTTATAAGAACTAAGCTCCGGATCAGTGAGTAAAAGTTTTTTAAAGATTTCTTAGATTCCATAGTGCTAAAGAGCTACTTTTTAGAATGAAAATCAGATAACAACGCAAGGTTACGAAAGATCTTCAAATATGTATGAACAAGAACAGAACAAAACATATGACATAAAATTTGACTGGAAATATAACATAGAACATGACATAAGATATGAAATGACCGCTAACATAGCACATGACATAAGATATGAAATGACAGATAACATAGCACATGACAAAACATATGGCATGACATGTGACATTTGACTTAACCTGAGACATAACCTATGACATTACGTGTGACATGACATATGACGTCACACGTGACATTTGACTTAACATGTGACATGACCTATGACATTACGTGTGATATAACCTATGACATTTCATGTGAAATAACACCTGACATAACGTGTAACCTGACATATGATGTAGCATGCGACATAAAACATACCATATGACATGATATTTGACATATGACATTACATGTGACATAGCATATGACATAACATGACAAAACGTGTGACATGATATATGACATAAAATGTGACATGAAATTTGACAAAGCATATGACTTAGCATAAGACATTAAGTATGAAAGAACATTGCAGGAAATATGATATAGCAAAACATTAAGACTGAGGCTGATCAGTACTGTGTTTTGCTAATTTTTTGTCATCCTTTTAAAAGTCCTTTCCATAGTGGATCATTCATTATCAAACATTTGTTTATTCGTCTCCCCAACAAACATTTCTAATCGGCGCAGAGAGTCAGGCAACATCCGATCAAGTACACACTGCTTATGCAAAAGCTCCTCCTGAGTATAATCGCTTTATTATTGGCCTTTCTAGCGTCCATTTGAATAATACCAAGTTTGCGTTCTATGATTTCAATTTAGGATCCATTTTTCCAATCACGTTGCATCTCACGATAAGCAAAGGATTATCTGTCTCAGCTCAGTCTTCTGACAAATTGAAGGAGATTGACTCTCTCATTGTCGCCATGATATGCTGTTTCCAGTAATTTTACAATCTATACTCTAGCAGATTACATTTACTCTCTCACGTGACACATTATCTCACATGACTACCTATTGATTCGTTGTTACACTTTCCGTTTTCAGCTGATCAATAGTGCACGCGATGTATTCTTGTATAGCTTGCAATAGACTTTTCTTGTTCAACATTATTGTTTCGTGGTCAAGGATAGTTTTTTGGGGCTTCTTAAGAATTCTGGAGTTGTCTGGAAATTTTTGTTTCCATAATGATTTTTCGTATGCAAAGGGAGGCAGCAAATGTTTTCTGACCATGAGGTTAATTACTGCCAGTAGGCGCTTCAATTATTTATAACACAACTGAGACCCGATTTAATGAACTCTATGTTGCTCTAAAAATTGTCTTTTTGCCGTTTGACTAACCTGCTCTTACGAAGACCTGGAGGTACTGGGACAATTTGCCCTCTCCCCTCGTGTCGGCGGCCCTGATCAGCAGCAGAACGGAATAGCTACTCTACGATCTGAAGTTGGCCTCTTTTCCCTGCATGTTTTTCAAATCTGAACGATGTTAGAAGTGGAAGCAATTTTTTTTATGAACTTTGTTTACAGTTTTGTAGTTCAAAGTCCATTTGTAGCTTAGTCATTTCTTTATCATATAAGCGCGACAGATTTGCGTAGATAAGCCTCAAACTTCACGGATAATGAGACTAATGCTTAGTCTAGGCTTAAAGGTCTGCCGTTGCATAGTTAGGGCTGTTAAGTTTGCGGCCGGTTAACACTGCATGCTTAAAAGGCTCTGTCCAATTTCAGGTTAATAGGTGAAAGATTCTCACAACCTATCAGTGGCGGATCTAGCCAAAAATCTGACTACCGCCGAAATGAGATAGAGGGTTGACCACACCCTTTAGACCACACCCATTTCTTGGTCACACCCGGTTTTCTAAAATGATTATTGCTTTCTATAATTTCTTATGTAGACCATTTTCAAGAGACAAACGGTGCTTTACTGAAATTTCATATATCCTTACAACAAGCTTGAGAAGAAATAAATAATCTTATTCAATATTCTGAGGATGGATATTCTAAAAAAATTTAACGGCATTTAGCCGAGGAACACCATAGAATTAGAAAAAAAGATACATTTGGCAGAATTTCGCCTAATTTCGCAGAATTTCGAAGTGTCGCCTAAAACTCGCATTTAGTCGGACAATTACTTATGAAAATCAGACCTGTTGAAAATTACTAAGTTTAAAAAGCTAGATAAAATTTGCAATTATTGAAAGCAACTTTTGTTAAACAAAGAATCATACTTTTGGCGAATATTGTGGGCCTGACTTTTAATTTAATATTATTTTAAAATATATTCCTACGAATAGTTGTTTATTGTACAGAATAATGGGTCACATCGGCTTTGAAGTTACAGTTTGCCCACTTGCAGAATATGTAGGCATCCCCCCATCTTTCTGTAACGTTTGAGCCGCGTTGAGCGGCAGTACTACTCAACCCCCCATCTGAGCGGTAGTCAACTCGGTTGTTCATTGGTTGTCAACAAAATTTGTATGCATCCCCCCAGGTTGGCAGTGATTTCTGACGATTTGATTGGTTTAGGCAAGCTGACTACCGCTCAGTGCAGCTCGAATCCGCTCTACACCGACTCAACCCCCCTAGCTAGCAAGCCATGATTTCATCATCCCCCATGCTAGCCTTCTATTTGCAAACATGTGGCTCGGCAATTGGCACGCAATTTCCATAGCGATAAGGATTAAACAATATTTTTGTCTCTGTGGAAATTTCAGGCATGTTCCTAGGAAAAAGCCTTGGTTTGCAGCGCGATCAAATATTTTCAATAATTAATTATGGTTTAATTAAAGTAGTAGGATAAACATGAAAATGATCCTTGTTTCTATAATTTTTTGAATAATCTGACTACCGCTCGAGCGGTAATGGCGGTAGTCTGGATCCGCCACTGCCTATGCATTTTGGAAAAACAAGCACTGTCAGATCTCAAGACATGGCCCCTTAAGCTCGACCTGAAATGGATTTTTAATACGTCTGAAGGCCAACACAGTGATAACACTTGGCATGTTATGTTTAGCAAGGGCATTAAGCATGGGAGTCATGGAGGCCTGTACCCAGTGGTGGAGCCAGAGGCGGGCATGGGGGCTAAAGCCCCTCTGTCGGAGCTGCTTAGCCCACCCGTCGGAAGATATACGAAAAAAAGTTTTAATTTCTTCGGAGCAAGATTTTGCTACCGTTTGTAAAAAAAATTTACGAAAGAGAAGGAGTAACTGATTACAGAGTATAAATGTACAGCCAGGTAACTCCCAAGTAATTCACACACCATATCGAGGAACTCAACTTTCTCTTTCGGCATGCCAAACGACAATCGAACTATCAATATAAGGTGCCGCCTCAGGTAGGAACTCTCGTATACTTGTTTATAGCGACACGGGCAATAATCTGCAAGCTAGCAAAGACTTAACCTACCTAAGTAAAAACGGTCCCTATTCTGTTTAATGTTTAAATTACATCTTTTTTATTACTCAGAAAAGTTTACAACGTTTAGAATATAGAAAAATCACAGAAAAGATCCACAAAGAACTTTCTTGATATATGTCTTTTGTCTTTTTAGGGATATTTTGTTATAAAAGTGATTCCCGCACAAAAAAACGTCAATCCCGCTCTAGGTAGCTGCTCTTTCTTGTGTGTTAAACCCGTGTCCTGTCATAATCTTAATGTTTGTGCATCTTTTTGCAACTGGGTTTCCATGTTTTCTCTCTGATTGCCTAGCCCCCCCTCCGTGGGAAGGTCAAGCCCCTCCGTTGGAGAATTTCTAGCGCCACCTTTACCTGTACCCGTCACTCCTCCCCCCCCCCTCCAACTAAACCACGTAGCTTGGGTATTGCCAGTGACTTAGGACCTATGAATAATATTAAACTGTTTTCAAAACACAATAACATTTGATGCCATGGGCAAGCTAGAATGAAGTCGAGAAAAGGAAACGGAAAATACAAATGGAAGATCGTCATTATTATATTAATCATGATCATCTCAATACAACCGTTGTGAGGTGAATTTGAACTACTTCACGCCGTTACAAAATCTCTCTTAGCGATACAAACTTAATACGTCAATGGTTATCTGGAATTTCAGGATACGCTTCAATCCAAACTATTTTGTCATCAGACACCTCTCCTTCAATTAGCTCATATTTAAAAAATTTTAGGAAAGTGAGTATTGGGAAATCTATTAGTGTGAATAGTTTAAAACCACTTAGGGTCTGTTTGCCACCATTTTTGCAAATGGATACTGTTTAGTGGGAGAAGACATTGACCGTTTATTTTCAAAGGCCTGGAATTCTAGACTTAAGTAGTAATCCCCATTTTGAAATCAAATGATCTCTTCGTGATTTTATCCCACTTACTGGGTTTTTACTGCTGAAATACATTTATTCTGACTATCTAGTTTTTTCAGTTAACATGGCGTGGTTATACATTATTAATTACGAGGGGCAAATCACTCTAAGAAAATCTCGTACACCTTTTGTGAAAATCCTATTGTTTTATCAGAAAATCCCCAGAAATCCTTTCGTTTTTGAGTAAATTCTCGTACGCTATTCGCAAGAGTGAATCGCCCCTCGATTAATTACAAACTGAAGACAGAATCAAAATTTCTCAAGATACGAAAAATATTTACAGCAGCTATTCGTCACTCGCAAAATTGTTTGATATTTCGGTCAATGATGTGGTGCCTTGACCATACGTTGTATAAATCTCATAAACTTTACTCTATGAATAACCTTGCTTTTTACTAAATTCTACAACCGGTCTCAGGGTTGCTAATTTCACCCAACGCCGACGCGATTTGAATGAGACAAACTAGTAAAACGTGTAATATTTCATTAAAGGATCTGGGAATTTTTCAAATTGGGCTAGGGGGTTTAGTCGGAAGGAGAGTGAGAAAGCAGAATAACAGTAGTCCTCATTACAAAGATGAACTCTGACTATAAACATTGATATGAAAGAAGTTATTTTTATTTGGGGCTTTAACAACAACCCCAACCTCAACGATGATTGCATTTATGACAAGGTTCTTAGTTGGTCAGAACGATTAACAGCTTTCAGCCATGGTCCATATCACTCACATTATATAGTTCTTAACATTCGCTAGCGTTTTCTACATGTCTAGCCTCCTAATTGTGTATTTTTGCCTCCTTGATATTAATGAGCCTCTTTAATATTCAAGGAGTCGTGTTCGGTATGATTATCGACATCATCCGCGCAACGAAGTTACGATATTCCTGGTTCCAGCTACTTCTACGAATTGTTAACTCCCCCTATGAAACAATTACTCTAGACATTTTTCTAGGGCATGTTTGATCATTAACATGCAAGAGTTATCCACACGCGAGACTGATGCGAGTTTCACGCGCATTCGTCATACCAACGATATTGTACTGGATACCATTCCGTTTGGATGAGTTCTATATCCAACTTCAAAACCACTCGTAAACTTGGGTTCTCCGTCACTCATTGTAATAGAAGCAGATGCTCTTTTCTGCAATCGATTGTTATCTTTTATCACGTTTGGTCCGTTAACGTTATCTCCATAAGGAATCGTCAAACAGCCGTTTGTTTGGTCGTTATCAATCGTGAAAACCGAGCAATTCGTAATCGAGACTGACCTCTTAATCGCCTTAATCGCATGACTTGAAATTGCCCCTTCGAGGTTGAGCTGTGTTAGGCTTCTATTTAGGGCTTTATTTTGGTCAGCTAACTTACTAAAGTGCTTGCTTTTTGCTGCCTTTTTAAGCATCGGTCTTTCTTTACGCACTATTCTTTCGGAACTCCTATAGTTCCGTGAATCAAAAGCATTCCAAGTTGATGCATTCCCATTTTCAGAAATGTGGCCTAAATTGCGGTAATGATACCGCTCTCTTGCTGATAAAGGAGTCTGGTAACCAGTTCTGCTTTCTCCATTAGTCATAGAGTTTACATCTGACTTGAATTGATCTTCAGATTGCGTTCGTCTGTGTTTTGATAACTTTTGCTCTGACCTTGATGACATTTTTCGCGGTTGCATCGTTTGACTTCGTTGCAAAACATGCTCGTCTTCGTAGGCCTGTGAAGTAACTGTCATTTGTGTATTTTTCTCTACCTGTGTGTTCCCTTCGTTTTTGGTCGCTTGCTTTTCGACGTCACTGTTTCTATTCCATACATTAGATGAAGCCACATCGACCATTCTATCAGCATTTACTTTCCCTTCTACTGCTATTTCGTTGTCGAAACTGCACTGAGAGTCTTCACTGCCCGAAGCATTTGAGGCTTTTAACAAGAAGTCATACCTTGAAGACCTCTCTCCATTCCAAGATTGCTTGTTTCCTCTTTTTGTAGGACTCAGTTCACTGGTTGTTTCCTTGCTTTCTTGGCTGATATTGTAGCTTGCATCTTCTTGGATACCAGAGTCAAATCTCTCATGAATAGAATCTCTGTCAGCGTTCTAAAAAGTAACAGTAAAGATTCGTGATTTGCTCCGGTTTTAACGAAAGTTTTGATCGTATAATCTTGGGCACACCTATTGAGATTAACCACTAAACACGCCCCACGTAAAATGCACATACAGTCCAATGCCCCATCCAATGCCGGCGCATGCGTGCATCGTAAAGCAGAGATATCAAAGTTGAACTGGCAGGGGGAGCAAACTATTAACACTATATGCACCGGTTTGTATATTACTCGAACTTGTAGAAAATAACCTCTGGTGATTCTATGCTATACCTTCGTGTTTCCCAATAAACATAGGCATGTATATAATATTTCCTGTAGCTTGAACGGTATGCTGACAAAAATTGGTGGGTGCAATGCATTAAAGGTAGGTGCTATGAGAGAATTAAATTCTAACGCGAAAAGGCGAAGGCAATATAGAGTCTATAAACTGCTTTTACTTCTCTGGGGAGCTGTAGGAGAGAGAGCTTTGTAAAAAGAATAGGTTGCCGAATTGGTGGTAATCGTGATAAAGAAATATAATTAGGCGCGTTTATTGCGTGTTGCAAAGATCGATGTTTAATAGCAAAAATAGATATTTACGCTTGAATTCAATACAAAGCAATAGTGTTTGTCATTTTGCAGGTAAGGAGTCTCGTTGGTCCTTTGTAAAACATTGTAGAAGATTGTAACTAGATAAAAACAAAGCCTCAACAACCAGCAATTATCTACCGAAGCTAGGAATTTAGAGTCAATGGTGTATAGGTATCAAATAGCATTGCACATTCCAATTTGCTCTACAAATGGGCGTTGTCAAGTAATTCTTTGATGACAGAAAAAATCGTTCCTATTCTTTGATTCAGTCTCAAAAGTAATTCTGTCGGTTGGGTGCAAAACTTAACGTAAGCCAAAGAAAGTTTCTTAAAAAAAGTCAAATGAATCAATGAGTCAGCTATAATAAAACAGTTTGCTCTAGATATTTGACATTCGTATGGTTTGGTTTAAAAATTGTGAAAAAATTGAATAGGTAGACTGTAAGTTGCAGGTAGCGCCGCAATTTGGCCAAATAAACATCAAGTGAATATTCACAAAAAAGTATTTTTACCTAATCAAAGCAAAATTCACCGAATGATACAAACATATAATAGGATGTCAAACCCCCGCAACCCTCCCAGGCACGTCCATCCATGACCGGAACCTTTTAGAATTTAAAAAGTTTCAGTCCCACTCTCTTGCTAGCTAAATTTTCAAATCAACTCGACGGAAAGATAGAAAAAGGAAACAGAGGGGCCGAGTTGAAAACGGTTGAGTCTGCACACAGACTACTCTCTTACCCGACGACCCTGCGCCTATATGGGCATGGATCGTCACTCTTAAGAGTTTGGTTACTGCTTAGGCCATCTACGATAAGTACTTATATTTCCAAAATTTACCAGATACATTTACCCTGTATGATTCTCATAGCATGTGTGTGGCTTGCATCATACGTATAATCGCACGACTCGTTTGGTTATGCCGTTCGTACTGATCAAAGAACAACCCACAACACTGTAACCAAGGTCTTCTGACGTAATCTAAATCCTCAAACAAATATCGTTGTCCCAATGATTTAATTTAAAATAGCATGGAATATTAACCTTTGATATTTTTGTGCTTTAAAAGTTAAGCTCTACAGTGGCCTGGAGGAGGTTTCTAAGGAACAATAGATAAAAAACTTGACCTAGGTACTTTTTCACACTACAAAATTTTCTTTAATGTATATAATATGTTTGCATCTGTGATAAACCAAAACGCTATTACATCCGTGTGTGTAGTTTTTGTAAAAGGGTTTCTATGTTCTCGACGCCTGTCGAGGTTGCATTGTGTGTCAAGAATTTTCTTCCTTGAAAAAATAATTCAAAAGTGTTCAGGTAAAAAGGATAGTGTAGCGAGACAATTTTATAGGTATGGCAGTAAATCTGCTGAGGAAATTTTAGAAACGACAGTACCGTGGCTTAGACGAGATCAATATCTCAAAGTAGGTCAAAATTCCTTCTTGCACTATTGCAAAAGGTCTGAAATTTCCCCATTTTTCTTTTAAAGCATTAATAATAAAACTGTGAATAATAAAATTACCTCTGTTAAACTGCTCTCTGTCATTGATAAATTTGTCACAAGTTGTTTGATTTGTGTGTCATCCTCCTCGAAATCACTTATGTCGAAATCGGAACAGCTTTCATCAGAGTCGAGGGAATCATAGTCATACTCAAGCGCCATGTCATTTTTTCTTTTCACGTCCTCTTCTCCTTTAATTTCTTTTTTGAGTCGCGAAATGTTTGAATTCAAAGTCATGAGCTGACGGTAAATTGTCTTATCCTGCTCCTTCATTTCTCGCTGTTGAGACAAACAAAATATTCAATTTTATAACAAATATCTTTTTGCCTCCCATTTTCATTTGTTATAGCTAATGCATAATAATACATAGCCAATTTCCTTATATTGTGCGCAGCTGGATAGTTAGTTTCCTAAGTTAAGAGTTTAGTGTTGATTGCGTTTGTATCAAATCAAGGAGATTCAAAGATTAGATGTCAAGTTGACGGTTTGTTGGCTTCGTTTAGTTCTTGATACCCTGGGTACCAGACCAAAATTCTCTGAAGGTTGCCGTAATTCGGGTAGTGGACGTGTTGCAATCAAGCTTTCGATACCAGTGAGTCTGGTACCCAGGGTAAATGCTTGAGTATTGTGCTGTTGCAAAGTCACTGTGAAAATATGGAATGAAGATTCAATTTGTGAAGCTGAAAAAGGATATGAGCTGGCTGATTGATGAAATACGAACGATCGCATTTACTATATATAAAGTTGTTAATAGCAATTTAATAATCGCTTGGTATCTTTGGTTTTCAAAGTAATTTGACGAATGCCCGCATCGAACATGTCATGACAATCATAGTTTGCCTTCAAATAAAATATTATCTTTTAACCTAATATTATCTATATTAAATATTATCTAAAATATTATCTAGTTAGGGCTGTTGTATTGTTAAATGCAGCGATTTTCGATTGTGTATTGAATGCAACAATTCAAAATAGAATTTTTTATAGTTAAGTTAAAATAAATTCAAATTAGCTACGTATGCTAGAGCTAAAAATGATAATCACTCGCCGCAGTATCAGACGATTTAAATTTCAACGGGGGATTATGTGATGTTTGTCAAACTACTCGAACAAAATTCACTTGTCTTTCTCTTTAGTAACATTTCAGGTTTACTAATATTTGATTCGTGACAAAGTTTTTCTAGACGCTTTAATCTCTGAATTGCGGGCACCAATATGAGACAAAATATTTCCTTTTCTTTCCAGTCGTTTCCTTTGCAACACGGCTCAACTACGCCCACAAGGCTGAATAATGTATGCGACTGATTCTTAAGAAACAGTAGCTAACAACCAATTGTTGAAATTATTTCACTAACTAAACATCTACCGGTACCTTAATAGTCTAGGTTCTTTAGGGAGCAAACATTTTTAGATCGAGAGTTTTAACTGGACTGGAGAAGAGCTTAGCTATAAGCTTCAGTATTTAACTGCTGATCACCTAAGAACACATTTCATCATTTAGAGCCTATCGTAAATCGTAACCTTACTGCTGCTACAAAAGCTCTTTGTATGAGGATGGCGGATGACTTTGCGGCATGTTTTAGTCTCAATTACAGAGTGATAACAGAAAGCCGTGAAAAAATAGAAGAAAGATATTTTTAAACTCAGGAAAACATGGCAAAATCTTAATTTTGACAGCACGAGCCGATACCCTTATTCTTGTGGTATTATTAGATCTTGCGCGTGCTCTAGAATGAAGGCTTAAAATAAGACTATGGTCCATGAAAGAGAGCGCAATTGATAATCGGAGAAGCGTTCTAAAACCAAGATACAGCATCAAAAGTTAACAACAAAAATTTGATAAATTCTGACAATGATAAGGGTGGGGAGAATATTGCTGCCAGTATTTGACTGGATTTTCCAGAAGCCTGGAAACGCCAACACAACTACCACAACAACATTACTTTTGTACTGGCATGGTAAATACATTCTGGCCGATGGCGTTTACATATTCCTCTCAACTATTCAAGGGCAAGCTCCTATAATCCATTTCTCCCAAGAGCTTACTCTCTTATCGACTTTATCTTTCACACATCCGAAAACCTGAATACACTGTAGGACCTATAGTAAAAACTAGTGTTTTGGCTACAATCTAAATCCAACGATTTTAAAACATCTTTGGCTGCAAACCAACATCCAATACGCTGTATCTTAGATTGAAACAGTAGTTAAGGCAAGAATCTTTAATAAATTTTACAAGAATCAGAATTACGTCAAGAGTAATTGCCTAAAAGATTAAATTCGAATTTCACTCCGATCAACTAAGAGGGATTTAAGATTAGACTAGAGACAGTGTAAGCTACTCAACAAAATTTGAAGTTTTTTAATAACCTTTAAGAAATTAGCATTTGTTTATATACGTGCCTGAAAATTGTTTGAAACATGGTTTGAAACATGAATTTTTAGGTACGACAGAAGGAACTAACAGCTCACAAAAAAGTTCTCATAAACGATTCTCGTAGACGTCTTCCTTCAGTAGTCTCTGTTACTACTTTTTCCTGTATATTATTGTATGTTAAAAACACTGACCCCTTTAATTTTCTTAAAGAATGTAAGGGTGAATCTTCTATAAACAGAGCTCTTACGAATGGTTGAAAGCTTTAGTTTTTGGGAGGGAGCAAAATAATTTATGGTCCTGCTTGTAATATTTATTATTTCTTAACATTTCGATAATAAGAAAGATAATAAAGGTATATGTGCATTCTTGGTAAACACTTAAGTTTCTTTTTGTTAGCTATTGGTGACATGTTGTAAAACTTGTAAAGAATTTTTCAATACTTAAAAGAATGACAGCCCAAAATGGAAAGGCATTACTTCAAAATTAGAAGGAAGTTTTAGAGACTGGTCAGTCAGGAAATTGTGTTTACCTGACCACAAATGCTCGCTTCAATGCCCATGAATTTTTAAAATTGACCATACAAGAAATTGTGGGTTTGATACTAGACGAGCATGTTTTCCTTCCTTCAGAATGACTTGTTTAATTCTCAGAATACTGGCCATACAATGGCGGTGCCAGCCACTACGCTCTAGGGGGGGGGGGGCAAAACAAAAGATTTCAGACCACGCCCCTTTTAGCACCAGAAAACGCTCTTTTACTAACAAGCTTTAAAATTTAATTTTTACGTTACTTTGACAGTGGGCCCTATTGTAAAGAATTTTTCTCTTCGTAGATAAATTATTATAGGCTACCCACTTTAAATATATCATATTATTATTATGATTATTATTTAGGAACGCAATTTTTACCTGAAGGGAACGCCCATGACTTACTTTTGGCCATGTAAAGGCAGTTTGAAAATCATAGGATTACATCACAAAAAGTACGTTGCCAGAATATTACCCCTCCCCCAACATTTTCTCATCGGATTTAGACGAAATGCAAAATTGATCCTGCCGAGAACTGAGGGGGGACGTGGACGTGAAATTTGCAATAAATTATATAACTTTTGATAACAGTTATAAACAAACTTTTTTTTCTTAATATTATGTTGAAATCCTGATTATTTTTCTTTTATTTTGAATCATCTGGAGAATTGTCGGATTCGATATAATTTTTCGCACTCGTGGCAATTGTCACTCAGTACCCATCCGAGATGATGCACATTACACCTTCGACAAACGTTTGCCATCTCTCCTATGATTTTTTCTTCTGATTACAATTCAAAATGGCCCTTCGCAGATTAAACTTTTTTTATAATATTTTTAACTTTAACTTTTTTTATAGTATAGATTAAACTTTTTTATATTATTATAGATTAATGTGCTAAACAGGAAACGACAAATACAGTATGACGTTGAGGGTTTTTGAGAAATATAGCATATTAAGAGCATTTCATCTTCTCCATCACTGCGCATGCCTAGTAACGTAAAACTTTCCAATTTTACGTTAAGAAAGTGTTGGGAAAGTTTTAGTGCTGAAATTAGGAATTAACCAAGAAAGTCTGAGGGCTGGGCTGGAAAAGCTTTCGTATAAAAAACGTGTAACAGTAGAACAGGAGTTGGAGACTTTTTTTCAAAGAGACGTTCTTCTTTCGAAACAAGGGCCACGCTTTGAAGATTAACAAACCCAGCTAGTCGACATAAGAGAGTTCTCGTCTACTCTTTTTGCATCACTTTCCTTTAAAAATATATGCTATAGTTGGTATACAGTGTTGCAATCTCTGTTGCTTTGAAAAGACAGTATTAAAAAAATTTTGGTGGAAAGGAATAAAATCTTTTAATCACTATGTTACCCTTTTTAAAGAGTGATAGAATGATAAGTAGTAGTGCGACAGTGCAAAAGAAGAATCCTGCAAAAAGACTTGAAGGGGTAACATGCATAGACGTGAAAACTGTGGGAACATGAGGCACGTGCCCACCCACCCTATTCAATATCAGAGACAGAGGCGAAGTGTCTATTTGCAGCCCACGGAGATGCCCCTTACACCCTTACATATGTGCCCCCTACCTTAGAAATTATTTACACTTTTATGGTAATTTGCTATCAGAAAGCCATGTCTCTGACTAGTGAATGTGTTTCTTATCATTTTCTTTTTTATTCTGTTAATAGGGCAGAGTGGCAGAGAGGAAGATTTAGCGGGAAGGCAGAAAGAAGGGGGCTTTTCGCCTTCGTAAAACGATTAGAATCCTTTCTGTTTCAACAGTTTGCCTTTAAAAGTTTAACTCTTTTCTTGTAAGTGGCAGTTTGTAACTGATAGTAGTATCTAAATATATACAAATGTCAGATTTCAAAGCCTTGACTGCCAAATACGTAATTGCGGGAAATATCGGATTCTATGAAAGTTGAGACGTTTCTTAGTAGCAAGATATTTTATCTGTGAACCAAAAAACTGTATCATTCGATAGCCTTGTATGACATCATAACCTTTTCAAGCTCGTTCCATTTTCGAGAAAACTGAGCTTTTGAAAAGCAAGACTTAGTCAGTCATGTGCTCTAACATTCAGGTAAACCGGAGACTTCGGAGACCCAATTTCAAAGCAGTCTGATAACAGATTTGGGTTCTAAAATGATTATTGCTCGAGTAGAGTATATCGAAATTGATATCAAGAAACTAGGAGTTATTATGCTTACCAAAACCCGTCTAAGTTTTGCTATCGCCTCGTCCATGGTGTAGCTGGTCTTTGCAGCACTATTTACCGGGCTGGTCTGCCCAACCCTGATAATTCCTCCCTCAATTTTGTAAGACGACACAACAAACATTCCAGACTTCATGCTCTGCAGTTGCTCCCTAAACTGCTACAATCTTTGCCCATAAAAAGAAATGTCGATAATTGCTTCACCTTTCAAGTCCAAAGCAAGTGGCAATTTCCAAATTGTTTCAGCATCCAGACCTGCTAACACGTACAATCCGAACAGGTGGCTTCAACCGAAGTCTGTGAATCGAAGCCAAGCGGGGCTTGATAAGTGCGAAGTTATTTGAAACTCGACGACGTGGAAATTCTTTATTAAGTCCTCATCTCTCATTGCTTTTGCCAGAATACATATTTGGTTTTATTTTACATAACGTCATAACGAGGAAACAAAAGTCCGAGCCGGCTGACTCTCAGAGGGCCTGTGTTTTAATCCCTCAGACCTGTCTGAGGTCAGAACATTAATATTCTATCGTACACAATTAGACAAAACAAGACAATAACATGAATAAAAGAATGAGTCAATAGTTGTGATAATACTTTGCATAAATGAAACTAAAACGTAACGAAACACGAAACCATTTTCCTGCTTCGTCAAAATTACTTGGCTGAATCGCGTTCTGAAGCACTTGTGGTTCACGGTAACAAGGCAACAGCAACGAAACATAAAGCGTCCTACGAACAAGAAGCGGCAACAGAGGCGTCGCCAAAGGGGGGTACGGGGGCTACAGTACCCCCCAACAATTTGTCCCTCGGCACATTAAGGATTCTTGCCGGGTGAATGATGTAACTCTTGCACTCGCTTTGCAACTTTTTTGCAACAATTGTGACATGACATAACATTTCTGTGCAGTTGAACTTTCAGAGTATGGCCCTGGGGCATAAACTTTTAAACAGAAACGAATCAAAGTAGCATGCAAGAATATTTATCTTTTGACCCCACCCTTAAAGAGTGAACACGCCCTTTTTGTCGGCAAAAATCGCCTCTTCACCCCTCCAAACAATTTTCTTGGCTCTGCCTCTGATCGGCAATATCGGAAAAAGGGACACCAGAGAGGGGATGTGGGCATGCAAGTCCCCCATTTGCTCCTTGATAGGTGTTTGGAAATTTTTCAAGATACTTGCGTCAGATTGTAATACAAATCAGTATCAGTTACAAAAGAGTTAATGTAAGCTGGCAATAACGTTTCAATTGCTTGCCCCCTTTGCCTCTGGGTCGTTGCGACACCCTTATTCAGAGCCGCCATGAAGTTGTGGAGGCAGGGAATGGCTTTTAGAAAAAAAGGGGAACTCTCCAAGTACTCAAAAAGCTATCTCTAAGAAATTAACAACAGGCGGCCAAAGTGCAGCAGCTTGTTTAGAAGAGTGAAAAGTGCCCAGAACACTGAAGAGAAAACCATTTTTTATTTAACAACGTTCAAGTAGATTAACCATCAAAGTCTTGGCCCCGCCTCTGATCGTTTGCTTATAATCGCTTCTCTTGCCCAGCCTTCAAATCACTAAACATTTCAAGGGTAATTAAAGTTTCAGGGGGTAAAATAAATGGTTCCACAAATTTATGCCATCCTTTGATGAAAAAAGGCAATATTTTGTGCTTACATTGATTTTATAGTCATATTTAGTTATAAAACTAGATTTCTGAAAGCCAGATTAAAGATATCAAAGTTTTGTAAAAATTAGATTAGGAAACGTTTGAATTCTCTAGGTTTCTGTACGCTTTTACTATGGTTCTAGCAGAAGAGCCCAAACTGTTGCTGCTGATTCATACGACATTATCATTTGATTTAGTTTGGCGCAAACTTCCTCTACGCAAGCCCAATGAGTTTCAGTGAGTGGGCTAGCCCACTTGATTGCGTTCTCATGGATAATTTTCATTCCACCTGACGCGGATCCTACCTGTCCTTCTCGCGGATCTCACCTGAGCGGGCTAGCCCTCTTCATGTAAACAGGGCCTAAAGGAAACCAAAAACTATAATTACTTTGATAATATAGCCATTTTTAGTATGGTCCTAACATAGAAAAGGAATTGCTCGTTTGAGCCTGTGGCACTAAATCTAACTGAATGATTTCCAAAAAATTTCATAACATTAGCTAAAGATTAATGGCATTTCACATTTCTTGGTAAAAACAGATACGCTGAATTGTTCGTGAAGGTGAGTACTACAGAGAAGGATCTTCTGAGATCAACTTTTGATAAATCACTCCCTTTCAGGACACAAGCAATCTCTGTGCAAAAAGGTTCCTAAAAACTCGACCCTCTTGTCCTAACTTTGTTGCATGAAAACGGAAAAAGAACTGCAGTGAGCAGTTAATGGAAGGTTCTCTAGTAACTATACACTTGTTTGGGTGTTTTTCGACAGAACCTTAAACGAGAGACGGAATCATTTTCATGAAAAGGCATTGTACATTGTTTACAAATGATTCTGTTCTTCCCTTGGAGCAAACTTAAAATATGGCGTCCATCCATATAAGAAACTTGCACCGGCTCATGGCTAAATTCTTTAAAACAAAATCTGATCTAAATTCATCTTTTATGAAGCGCCTTTTTAGAGAACGAAATATTAGCTACAAAGACATGGCAATGACACCCAGTTCCCAAAGGTTCAAACCACGATCTAAATACCCCCAAATTCTGCTTGTTAAGTATTGGAGTGTGACAGAAGTTGAAAATAAAGATTATCACGAGAAACTTCACACAAACACTTTCAGTAGACATATAGATGAAATTCTAGGCGCTACTTCTTCTTGCTGATTTGGGTAGACTTGTTGCTAGGTAGGCTTGCCAGGAAGATGCAGCCTTAAATGGAATGTTTTTTCTTATCCGTGTAGTATGGCAAATATGCAAACTCCTACTAAAGTTTTCATTAAGTACAGCCATGACCGCTAGGATAGTTCAAATCTCTATGTTTCAGTAAAATTCCGGTTCAAAACACAGGAAATTGAAAAAAATCAGTGACGTAGAAAACAGATTAGAAATGGGCGAGAGTCCAAACAGAAAACGGCACTGGTATTCTTTAAAAATGAGAAGCCCATTAAAGAAGTGGTAGAAAAGAAAGTTTTTGTAATTCTCCGGCGTTCCATCTTGCTTTTCATTAAGAAACATAATTTAAGAAACAGGACAGTTTATTCTGAGAACAGGGCCGCATTTACGTATGTTGGGGCCCTGGGCCCAAAGTTGATTGGGGCCTCTTCAAATATACCAACAAATTTGTGTCACGTGCACAGTACGTGGCTAAACATAATAAAACATAATCAACCAACTATAAGACACGAATAAATTTGTATCCATTTCGCATTTCAGTACGGACGCATTTCAAAAAACTACCCAACTGCTGACAACTTTTCGATGAGTTTATTGTGGTTTAAAACTCCCAGGACACCAAAATCTGCTACTGTGACATTGTGGATTTTAGTTCACACTCTATTATTTACCCCTTTTCAGCATTGTGAAACATTTTTCACCGGAGAAACCTCTGTATGGCAAATTGAGCAACAAACTAAGTGCAGTCATTGCATTGGGGAAGCTCCAACCAGGACAAGCGAAAGTTTCAAAAGCCCTGAGATAAAAACAAAATATGAGGCCCCCTGCAAGCGGAGCGAGCTGAAAATTCTTGTGACCACGCCCTTTATTCCATTCTTAAAATGGAATTCGTTACTTTACAAGGTTCCAAGCGCCAGTCAAGCACAAGATTGAAATCAAGTGCATTTATCTTTTTTCAGCAGTTACTGGACAGATTTTCCTGCTTGGATATGAAACGTAAATTTTGCCCGCAAGTGGCTGTGGGGGAGCACATAATACTTTGTGCATATAACACAGAGTAATATGGCAGTAGATGGTCTGCTCTCTTCAGTTCCAGTGGAAGAACTAAGGGGCGATAAAGAAGAGTTATATAAATATCAGTTGGTTCCTACGTGCTGATTCTGTTATATGGAAGCATGAAGAGTTGCACATTACTTTCTCAAGCGCACAAAGGTGATAAATATATATTTCATTGCAATATTCTTTGCAAATGTATACCAGACTTTTTTATTGGCCTAAATCGTAAGTGGTTACATAACAACTTTAAGTGTCTCTTGAATTTATAAAAAAGGATTTTTAAACTCATTCTTAAGAAAATCGCTACTTCTAAAGTCATAACTTAATTCTAGGTTTGGAATTTTTTTAAATCACACGTTTTGTTGCCACCTCCCCATTCTCGTATGCCGTCCAGTTTTACAGTTACAGTTGAATCCCATCATTACAGCAAAGCAAAGATTTGTTTCAACAGTAGTGTTTCTACCATTACGTTAGTCAACGAGTACTACTTTGAGACTATATAAAGTAGGTATTCAATGAATATCCTAAGTTCTTATGACAATTAGGTATAAAACCAAATCAAACTGTAGCTACAAAGTGTGCAATGAAATATTGCTAAAAGTCATGTATTTCAACCAAGAATTAAGGGTTGACTTACGCGCTGGTTGTCTTTTACACTAAGAAAGATGCACTGGTAAAAATACAGGACTTATGCACTGGTGACTTTTATGACTAAGTCTTCAACAATAATTGCAAGCAATAAGAATCAGGGTGGAATCAATTCAACCTACACTGGAGAAATCTGGCATAGACTTCATAATTTCCTTGGTATACTGGCATATGGAGAAAAAATAATGTGCTGGCGTAAAGGGATATTGGTTTCCTGCCTGTGTTTGGGCCAGCATATGACTTACAAGCAACCAGTGGTGGTTAAAAAGGATAATTGATAGTTTCTATGATGCATTGTATCATTTAAATTTTTGGCATAAGCATTTAAGATAGAGCTGAACTGGTTTCCCAAACTCTCCCAGTTTCTGATTTTATTGATAAGTTGTGTTGCCAGCTAGATCAAATAACCAGCCATTCGTTTATTGCAAAGTCACAAGCTTCATATTTGAAGAGGTTAAAAGAAACTTTGAATCAGGACGAAGTCATTGTTTTACTAGACTTTGCAGAAAACTTTAAATTTGTGATCCAAGATGAGGTCCAGGGCTATCACTGGAACCAGAAGCAATGCACATTACATCCGGTAGTCATTTACTACAAAGAAAATGATGGAGTCATTGGATCAACATCATTATGCTTTTTATCCGATGACCTGGAACATGATGTGCATTTCGTATATAATGTGTTGAAAGGCACCAGGGAAATGATATCAATGGACATAAAGGTTGTCCATTACTTTTCTGATGGTTGTACAGGCCAGTATAAGAACTGCAAGAATTTTTTAAACTTGTGCCACCATAAGGAAGACTTTAAAATTAGTTGTGAGTGGAATTTCTTCGCCACCAGACATGGTAAATCCCCATGTGATGGGATTGGAGGTACAATTTTAGCGTTTAGCTGCTCAAGTCAGCCTGCAACGACCAATGAAAAACCAAATTATTTCTGTTGAGGCATTTTTTCAATTTTGTAAAACAGAAGTCAAAGGAATCAACTTCTATTACATTACAAAGGAGGAAAACAACTTGACAAGAAAAGATCTTGAGAAACGCCTGACAGCTGCAGAAACGATTCCAGGAACTAGGGGGTTCCATCAATTTGTACTGCAATCCAAAGCATTGATTGGAGCAAAAACAATATCAGAAACCCCTGAATTTGATGTCAAGTTTGATTTCGATCTAGCTGTCATTGAACCTCATGACGATATTGAAATCGGGGATCTTGTGTGCAGGTAAGATACACATTGCTGGATTGGAGAGACTATTGAAGTCAGTAGTGAGAATAAAGATGTTGCCATAAAATTTTTGCATCCACATTTGCCATGTGTATCATTTATGTGGCCAAGGCGTGATGACATATGTTGGGTGCCAACATCAAACATTCTGAAAAAGGTACAACTACCAAAACCATCAACGATGACTGAAAGGCAATACACCTTTGAACCAAAAGATGCTCTTGAAATAGAACCGTAGATAAAACGTATATAATTGAGCATTTTGTAGATTCTAATGTACATAATTTGTCAAATAACTGAAAGTTTGTTGCATTGATATCAATTGACACTCAGTGAATATGACCTTTTTGAATCATATATTTGTAAGATGTTGAAGCCAGAGCTTTAAAAGATGCACAACACTGTTTTTTTTAGATTTACTGAACACTCGTTGCTTAAAAGAGAGAAAATATCTTACTTCGGTTGTTGCATGAAAATGCTAATTTTGGGCAATTTTTAACATGCCATAATTCAATAAAGGAAGAAAACACCCTAACAGTTTTTTCTATTTTGCTTGTTCCTTTAGTACTCTAATCAAATTTAAAAACTCAAATCATTCCAACTTAAGCAACATGATGAAATTCACACCATTATCCTCACCGGCCGTTGCCATGGCAACAACTTCCCCTTCCGTTTCTATATTTAAAATGACTTTTGTTTGTGACTGGAAATTTTTGATCATGTTTTTTACATCTACATAGTTGATTAGCTTGTCTGGTTTATTTTCATTTTAAATGTATCATTTCTTCATTGGTTCTAATTTAAAGGGCCACTCCAGCCCAAAATTTTTTTTGCATAAATTGGTAGTTAGTCAAGAAAAAGAAGCTATCGTGAAATTTTTTTTTCGAAAAGCTTAACTCGTTTTCCAGATATAGACGCTCAAAGTTGAGAATCACCGTAAAAATACGACAAAATTTTTTTCGGAAAAAGCACTTTGTGACGTGTGAAAGGGCTATTGTTTCAATATTCGGCGCTATTGTTATACGTTCGCACTGAAATTCGCACGACTCGGTAGAGGCTCAGAAGAGGCGATTCATGTCGGAATCTCGGTTGTCGTTTTATTTATTTTCCTTCTTTGCGATTGATGTTCAGCGGAGGCTTCCAGCCAACATGGACTAGTAATTCGACAAATCAAAGATGGAAGCTTCAACCTGAACGCATACCCTCATCTTGGCAACGCAGCAAGCTTTTTAATATGGAATGCTTCACGAATTTTCAGATGTGAATGGATTTCTGACCGAAGGCATTTCTTATCGTCGTGTCATCTCAGGAATTTCCAGGGAGCTGAATAATAATTGATGTCTCACCGCATTAGAAGAAGAACCCCATTCACAAAATGGAAACTTTCCCGTAAGTCACAATTCAATCTTATTATCATTTTACTATGTTGAATGTTAGGCGAAACTGCAGGGTGTAGAGGTTTGGAGGGGCTCTAAATACAGGTTTTCTAACAGCCAGTCTTGTGAACTGTCCCCCAAATGGTCAGAAATGTGGTAATATGAAAAGTACAACAGGGGCTCTCAAGCAAAATGTCACATAAAATATTACCAAAAGTAGAAGTTTGCTACTTTTTTGTACCAACAAGGGGGCCTGAGCCTCCTAGCACTACATCCCTGCCAATGATCTGTGCACTACACCTTTGCCCGAGGTATAGATGTGTAAAATTTCCCAGGGTTTGTCTCCTGAACCCTTCTTCTTCATGTTCTACCTTGTTCTGCCTTCAATTTTGGAATTCTGCCTATTTCATCATAAAATTGATGCACAATTTCAAAATTTTGCCAGATCAATATCCAGGGCAAAAGATCTACTACCCAAAAGAAAAAACATGGAATTTACACCCTTGGTCTTGGAAAAAAGATGTGTAATATCCTCATTCTAATGTTTTAAAGGCAGAATTGTTTATATTTGTTAAATTTACCTTTGCTATTCTAGCATTGATTCATATAAGCATGGCCTATATCATTTAAATTCATCTTTGTGTTACTTCAAGTTAATATCCTTAGATGCTATTTGCTATAGTAACAGTGGTTGCCCTTTCACCCCTAAATTTCTCTTTGATCCTTCTAAATATCTATACTCTGAATGCCCCTGAGTGTCCAAGTTTCTTTGATCATTTTATGTTTTAATATGACTCAAAAGTAAATTTCACTGGTATGTTAGTATTTATCCCTGTCAACCTTATTATTCTAGGCATAAAAAAGGTAACAAACTCTTTTATGGATCAGCAGAAAGGATCTTGCAAAAAAATGCTAGATGAAGGTTGGAGATTACATGCATTCTGTTATCTGGCTACTGGCTTTGTGGGAGTGATAACTTGCCCCTCTCTTCCATTCAAGAGTTACCACAAAGACCTCAACACATTATTCTGTTTTTGTATTAACATTTTTACAAAGGAGACTATATTTAAAATTATCAAAATTTTATATATAATTTGGTCATATATAATGTTTGCAAATTATTTAAAGCTAGTAACAACATATAGGTATTTTCTAGAAGTTTTGCAATAGATTATTGTTTCATGATACTTTTATAAGAACATTTCTCATGTGCAATAGAAATTACAAATTGCTAGCTAGTTCACTGGCCTGATTGTATAATTCAATGTAGCCAAGTATTTAAATACATCAAACATGTATTTATTATTCATAAATATAGCAGGTTGAGATTCTGACAGCTTAAAGGAGCCGACAAGGCCCCTGTAATAGCTTAAAGGTTAAATACAAAAATTATATTTACAAAAGTATATTGAAAAAGTTGAATTATTAATATAATCTCAAATCCCTTTTTGGTTTGTATAAAAACAAATTTATAATTTTTGAAAAAGTTGTTTGACTCATGACTAATGGTAGGTTTTTAGTCTTGTCTTGAAAGTTGTATACTTTCTTGTCCATGTCCTCATTTGTCCTGTTTTATTTCCAATAAGTCATGTTGATATGAAGCTCTTTATCCTAATGAATATGTTGTATCAATTCATACAGCTTTCATTCCCGATATACTGGTTTTGTTTTCTTCTTTCCTCCCGAATTAATTGCGCGATGGTTTTTTAGCTGTTGCACTAAAGGAGGGGCTGATGAAAAAGCGCGAATCTTCTTTTTAAAATCAGGGAACTGGCCTGCCAATACAAATTGCTTCAAAAGCAACATTCCATGAAAGTCTGTCAACATCCTCATGTCTCTGTCTCGCCGGCCTACTTTGCCAATTCGACTTCTCTGTCAGAAAGATTCGTGCGACAAAAAACTTCCATATTCGATCAGAGTATCAAGACTGATGAGCGATACTTCTCTCTTTATATCGATTCCAGATAAAAGTCTGGCCTTCTAACAAACATGCCGCTGCTAGGCCCTGTCTGCCATTTCGCTAGGTTCTCGTTGACCCTTTGGACAGCCGATGGTACTTGCCGCGAACTTACCGAGGCCGAAAATGCCTGTGACGTCAATCCGAAGATCTCCGATAACACGGTTGAAAAACAATTCAACTCAATGACCATTTTACAAACGCTAATAACTACAAAACGGTTAGAGATATGAAAAAAATAATAACAGATTCGTTTTCAGGAGGTCTGATTACATCGTGTTCTGAAATAAAAATTTTGGGCTGGAGTGGCCCTTTAAGTAAATAATAGCAAAAATTCAAAATGGCGGATCATTGAAAAATGTGCCAAAATTATTGAAATTTCAAACCTGTCTAACTTTTTAATAGTAAAAGACATGAAGATGAAATTTTCAGTTTATGTTCATGTCATGGTTTTCAACATGTCCACCAAAAATCATCAAAATCTGAGGTGGTGGGTTATGTGACTGTTTCACATGGACATGGAATGATCCATGTAGAACTTTCCGTGCAGCTTCATAATTAAATGTGTACCTGTTTGCTAAGTAGCAAATAATTAACTAAGTAGCAATTTGTGTACCCAAGAAACAAAAAATTTACGGGGCCTTTTCCAAAAAAGTTTGAAAATAAGAATTTTGATCGCTTGCTTCTTTCAAAGAGTTCAACCAGGGGGCATGGTTAAAAAGGTAAGTGGAGTAGCCTTTGGCTAATGCAGGCCTGGCCGTTTGAGGCGAGCGATAGCCAAGAGAAAAAACAATTGGAAAATTTATGCTTTCCCTCTGTATATGACAGAATATTCTCTGTTTTGTTTTCAATGTGTTTTCTTAGGGCTGACAACATTGCACACTTGTGTAAACATTTTCTCAAGAGCTAGATTGCAGAGTATCTCAGGTTAAAACAATGAAGTTGCATGTCAAAATTACAATTGCTCAATGAAGGGAAGTCTTGTGTTTCTATACCATATAATAAGTGAAAAAGTGCTTGCACGCTAAAGATTACAGTGCATGCTAGACTTAGAGATCTCTTTGAATGCCACTACACTCTGCAGACTAGTACAGTACATTCTATTGTGTCAGCTTAGTCACAAATAATCTAAAACTAGCATGCTGTTTCTGTAGATTTTTGAATAATCTGCTTTGTTGTGGTTTAAAGGATTGCCTTTATTTTCATTTTTTATAGGTAACTTACTGCCATCATGTGCTGGAAAGTTGCTTTGTGCAAGATTTCAGTCTACTGATGCACCCAAGGTATAAACTTTCAATCAAAAGCTGCTTTCTAGGTGTAGAGTCTCACTGTCCTTTAACATTTTATGGACTGGGTCAAAAACCTAACAACTGTTTGCCAATATTTTTAAAAAATGTGTTCTAGATCTTATTGTTTTGATCTTTGAGACTAATTCCCAAAGTATTAGCCGAATCTTGCTCTAAATTTTTTACAAGGAATGTAAATAACATTCGTTGCTACAATATAAGTTTCTAATAGCACAAGCAAAGTTGTGAGTTATGAATGAAGCTCCTTTTAATGACAGTTAAGTCAGCCAAGTAATTATTTTAGAGATATTTTGATTATACTTTGCTGTATTGGCTGGTATTTTGCAATGTCAAGGATTTTGTTTTGCTTTGTTAAAAAGTTTTCCTGCTTCTTCATTGAAGCCACTTGAAAATTCAGGATTTCTTTATCAAATGAATATCTGAATTGCACTTTTGGCATTATTCTTTAAAAGTTTTAAATTTTTATTGCCTGTCAGTTTCATTGGGGACTCTGTGACTCATTAGAATACTTTTGACTAAATATCAAATGCTTATCTCGAGAAAATTTATATGGTCAAGCTATGCATTGAATTGATATCTAGACAATGAAGTTTATTGTGCTACAAAATCTCGAAATATTTCTCCAAGCTTAATTATATCATGAACCATGAAACTCTGTGTTGTGTTGTTCTGTCTTGTAAGAATTAGGAACTGTCTTGTTCTACCCCCAGAGGTATAACAACACTACCTATACAACATCAAGCACATGAATATGATCAAATAGTTAACATGATCTTTATTTTTTCTTCCAGAAAACGAAATTTGGCCCTCTTAAGGTATGAATTCATCTAATTTTATTTGATTGCCATTGAATAATATTTTTAAACATCTAAAGTTTTTGTGAAATTATGTAACTGTTGATTGACCAAAGTTTACACATGTCATGACTGAAGAATGAGTAAGATATGTCAAAATCAAGACAACAATCTTAAAACTTGGAAGGATACTGTGAGTGTAATAATTAAAGCTTTTTCTACAGCTGTACTGTACACTCATAAATGAAAGTTCATTATATTTGTAGCTTACATGTTTTTTGTTGAAGTATAAAGGCAACTTAGAACTGTCCTGTTGTATACACCTAAGCATCTACAACTGTGCACCTTATAACAGACCAATGAAATAGTTGTTTTCATAATGTTGAAGTATATAAGGATGTGATTGCTATTATGATAAAGAAGATAGATTAAATATGATAAATAATTTTTGACATGTTAGAGGAGTTGAGTTAAAATTAGTACCCTTATACTGTGATATAATTTTCCTGCATCTATTGGTATGTAATGCTGCAAAATGTAATACATTACAGTGACACATGTCAACTGAAGAAAGTGTCTGGTCTAATTATAATAATGGTCAGAACTCCAACTGATAATATAGTTTTGCATACTTGAATAATGCTAGACATGCACTTTTGTAGTAAGTTTTTGTGCTTCATAAGAAACAGTGCGTGGTTTGGAATCTATAGGCATGAAATTTGGAGAGTTGTTTATAATCTTCCCCCCTTTTAAATGAAACAATCAAGTATGACATCAGATTTGATTATATCGATTTAGTCTGGCTCTATCGAAGCTCAAGGTAAATGCAAAGTTTTACTTTGAGTCAAAAGGCAGCCTATAACAAATTCAATCTACAGGTCGCTAATCAGTAAAATTATTGCTCATTAGCATTACCCAAGATGGAAACAAATAGTTTGTAATCCTCGTTCTCCTAATAAATCTCTGGATAACAGGGATGAGTGCCTGATGCTACTAAATTTCCCTAAGGGGTTTTTATTGCAGCATAAGTTGATAAGTGTCCAATAAACGTTCTTTCATCCAATTTAGAAAACGAAAATTTCCCATCCAATTTTTTAGTACCAAATGTAGATTTGCAGCTTTTAATAAAAAGGTAGATTTTTTATAAATGTTCTTGTGAAGTATGTGTTTATGGTTATGAATGGTGTTAGTGTTTATGGTTATGAATAATCTAGTTTCAAAGGCATGGTGCCAGCCTAATAGTTTAATCACATTCTAGCAATTACTCCATTGTCTACCAACTTCTAATGGCTAAGAACATTAAACCTACTATCTGGCAGATCTTTTTGTTATTCTACGAAAGGTTTTCGTTTTTGCCAGACAGTTCCTTAACTTGAAACCCCAGTGGCTGAAGTTTTTTTTCAATGCCTGTCAAAGATCTTTTTAAAAGTTTTATTTTTAACATCAAAGATATCTTACTTTTAGCTGTACCTATGTTTCTATCCATTTTAAATTTCATAAATTGGCCTTATTTTCCCTTCTAGGATGATGATAGAATCTTCACAAATTTGTATGGAAGACATGACTGGCACCTTAAGGGTGCTCTTGCAAGGGTATGATTTTTCATTTTGATTAAGTAAAGTCTCTTTTGAATAGTTTTTTATATACAAATCAACTTTGGAAGAGTTTTAGGCATTTTTAAGGAAATTATCTTTCATATCTTAATTTGATATTTGTCTTGATATCATACTCCGGTTTATTATTTGCTTGCATTTGAGGCAACCTACGGTGAGGAATGTGGCGTTTTGTTTAATGCTGTTGATATTTTCAATGTTATGCAACGGCTAATCGACCTTGCGAAGTACTGCTTGGATTTAAATCAAAGTATAGTGTATAGTCAATATTGATAAGCATCTTTAAAAACGCTAGACGTGTAATTTACAAATATAACTCAATCAGCCTTTTGTGCATATATTCTTACGCTATTTGTTGTGCTTTCTTAGGGTGACTGGTATAAAACCAAAGAGATCTTGTTGAAAGGAACTGATTGGATTCTTAAGGAAGTAAGCAAGTCTGGACTCAGAGGAAGGGGCGGTGCAGGTAAGCAGCACAAGCATTTTCCCACAATTCTTAGTATCTCTGCTTGTTGAGAACCATGCCTAAGCAAAGCATTATTTCTGTTGTTTCTTTTAATGAAGCTGCAGTGGTCTACAGTTAATCACCACGAAGAAAGTCAAATTGCCCTTTGATCTTACTTCAAAGGAGTATACTGGAGTTGCAGGGTTAATGATTCCTATCTGAAGAATATTTGACGATAAATGTTATCAAATTAATTTTTTGTCGGTTGCCCAGAAAAACTTGCATTCTTTATTGTTATATGTTAACTACATGCCTGCCAAAAGTCTTGGAACATTGATGTCAGCTTCAAAGGTCAAATTCAGCCGTCCCTCTGTTGGTTGTCCAAGGATAATGTTTGTTTACTTTAAACGGTTTGAGAAATTAGGAAGTACCTTTGTTGATTCTTTACCATATTTGTCTAAACTATCAACATTGTTCTAGGGGAAGGGGCGAAAGTAGTAATATATTTTGCAAAAGGAATAAAAGATACAGCACAAACTGCTGGGTGTTCCATGAACCTTTGGCAGACATTGTATGTTGAACACACTTCAATTTATGGGCTAAGATTTGGCGCCTGTCAATTAGGTCGAGCTGCTTTTTATTACTTTACTTCATAATTTGATCTTTCCAAGGTTTCCCTGCTGGCATGAAATGGGGGTTCATGAACAAGCCATCCGATGGCCGTCCAAAATATCTTGTCGTCAACGCTGATGAAGGTGAACCAGGAACTTGCAAAGATCGAGAAATAATGAGACATGATCCTCACAAATTGATAGAAGGTTGTTTAGTTGCCGGACGATCGATGGGAGCAAGAGCCGCTTATATTTACATCAGGGGAGAATTTTACAATGAAGCCTCCAATATGCAGGTTATTATTGCAACTGTCATATTTTGATGGTTTTCAATTTCATCCACCACCACTAGCTGTCTTTGTTTGTATGCGTTGTAGCCCTTTCAGTTCTAGTTAATTGGATAGACAGTGGCAAAAAACAGAAGAGAGTGGCAAACTACAGAAGAGAGTGGCAAACTACAGAAGTTACTTACCTCTGTTTGCTGAAATTTCACTTAAGCGCGCTGAGCTTTCATATATACTCAATACAAAGTCAACTTTGAGAACTTGAATCTTCATATAGACAGAATATTCCGTCTCAAGTTCTCATGGAATCTAAATTTTTCGGGAAAATATAGTTGTCATATACAAACGTTACATCATTGATATTTTTCGCGCCCTTCCATTTTAATTCTTTTGACTACTTCACTGGGCCTGTTGCTCAAGACATTTTCTCGTACTTTTATAGATAAATTCACACTGAGCACAATATTTCAAGATATTTCTTAAACTTGGATTGAAACTAATATAGTTTAAGAGCAAACAAATTTTTTGTAGTGTAACTGAAATTTCAGAAGGTCTGTTTTCTTTGAAATTTACCTCTATAATTTGAATTTTGAAAAAAAAATTTTTTTAAATCTGAAAAAAATTATATATATACTTTATGTATTTATTGAAGATTACTTCATATACTACACTCAAACAAGTTCAAATCATTTCTCTCTTTTTCAATAACCTTGATGAAGAATTTTAAACAATCCCTCTTTCTGAGCTTTTGCTTAGCCAGCCTCTATTTGATGACCTCCTTTCTATCTAAGGTGGCAATAAACGAGGCTTACAAAGCTGGGCTTATAGGAAGAAACGCCTGTGGTACTGGTTATGATTTCGACATTTTCATGCATCGTGGTGCTGGTGCATACATTTGCGGAGAGGAAACTGTAAGTTTAAACATTACAATATTATACACATGATATAATGTACATTACAATACCATATTCCATGAATAGGCATTTGTGAATTGCAGTATCTTGATGGTAATTAAATGAAAATTCATCAGAGTTACGGCCTTCTTTTCAAAAAATTCTTCAAATTCTTTTGTACAAAAGTTTTGACCTCAGATTCGGATTGAGAGCAATGATTTTAATCTACTTGGAAGTTTTCATAATGTTATTGCTCACGAAATTGATTTTATAACGACCTAAAGATGAAAATTTTATAACGGATTTGACCGTGATTGGCAACTAGGGGGGTAAAGTCCCCCCCCCCCGAAACGATTTTTGCGGTCAAATCCCTTACAAGTTTTCAAACTTCATTTCTCCGTAAAATCTAAAATATAGGCTCAAACAATATGAAAAATTGTATTCAGCCTAAAATTATGGCGATAAAACCATATCTGAGCTTAAAAAAGTCGTACAATTAAGTTTGGAAAAATTTCTAAAACGAGGTTGTAAGTCGAATTAGTGTATTGATTCGCCCTGAGCTGTAAATGTTTGTTATCCGTGATGGTTTTTCTACTATACGTTTTGTGTACAATGCTGCGAAGTCCTTTGGTCTCATAATGGTCTAGAGATAAAATTATTTCCTTGTATGAATTAAGGGCATTTAACCATCAGTATAGCGCTCTCACTTTGCTTGTTCTTCCCTGGCCCTCCTTTTGTGTTTTTATTTGATTATTGGCTTTCTTTAGCAAAGTCTGATATTTTAAGTTTCTTTTAGGTTTCGTTTCTCGTACCTTTGGGCATCTTTAAATTCTTTCGATATTTTAATGCTTTTAGGTATGACTGATGCACCGGCCTATATGGAAGAAAGGGGATTCTATTTTCTATCCCCTGTCAAAAATCTGGGCAACGATCTAGGCTTAATCTTCTGTTTTGCAATATTATTCCTGCTAATTTGGGAGCGATTTAATTTTTTCAAAAGTCATCTTTACAGGAAGATATTCCTTCTTTCCTGTTTTATTCTTTTTTCTTTTATCGTTAAAGCTATGTTTATATGTTACCCTTGAGTCAAAGATGAGAATCAATCTTATTTCAATATCCTTTAAAGCTAAATTCTAATTCAGGATTTTTTGCATCTCCCAAAAAATTTATTTGACATCGGATCTTTTAATCTACATATATTCAAGTAATCCAAAATTTCAATAGCTAACAGATTTATGATCAAATAGGCCAATATGCCCTTCGTTTCTTGGCATGTATTCCAGCAGAGCCTCTTTGATCGTTTGATTTTGTGTATTCTTACTGCTAGGCCCTAATTGAGAGCCTTGAGGGAAAGCAAGGTAAACCTCGAATGAAGCCTCCATTCCCAGCTGATATCGGTAAGTGTACTACAGAACAAAATTGCGTCACTTTATCGTGCTTTGCATAAGGAACAAACCCTTGGGCAAGGTGTTACCACAAAATGTGCCTTTCTCCACCCAGGAGTATGATTTGGTACCTGGTCCGTAGCCGGAAGCGCTTGTTTACAGTCGGTAGAATAGCCTACCAACTATTCTACCAAAGTTGGCTAACGACCACTTCACTTTACTTCAATGCTAGATTTCTTCAATTTTTCAAATACTCTTTTCCCAGTGAAGGTTATATAAGACAAAAATACCTTAACCTTTGGCTGGTAACGATTCTAGAAACAACAATTTTTATACCAACGTGTTCCCTAAATTTTGTTTTTCATCCCGTTCAATTCGCTAATGTGACATTCAATAATGAGTCAGGATTATAGGTTATAAATACTACGTGCACAAAACCATATGCGTTCTGTAGAAGTTGGGTTCTCTTTACGATTCCTACGGAGATGGCTGCCTTATTCAAAGGATGTTTTTTAATAAAAAATCGTAATGATTAAGCTTTAAAGCTGGTTTATCTCCCTTTTCTTGTTCCTGTATGTCACTTTTCATGTGCGATCCGTAATTTGAAGTGCTTGTTGCATGGGGAAAATTTCAGAGTCAGTAGCACAATGACTCTACTTTGGTACCCATTCCTGCAAGTTTTTCTGATACAGTATTACTCATTGTTATTGTACCTTGATGACGTTAATAATTTTTTCTATTTACCTTGTCATCTGAATTTTTGTTAATCTGTGAGCATCTAGTCTTTATATTTACGCATCTTATATGGAGAACTGTTCATGTTTTAGGCCTATTTGGTTGTCCAACAACTGTGGCAAATGTGGAAACTGTTGCAGTAGCACCGGTATTTTACTCGAACCTTTATACTAGCTCAAAATTGAACCATCAAGTGCACAAACTTAATTGTAAACAATCTTTTCGTGGTACAACATTTAAAGTTATGTTTTTACACATACATTGCAGCACCCCATTAAATCCATTCATTGTCCAGCAAAATTATGCCTGAATTGGAGCAATATTTTATGATGTATGATGAGTATTTTTTTGTCATATTCTCTTAACTATTGGGCTTTGTCAGGTTGGACATTCTAAGATAGTGTGAGGACCTTTGTCGACTGTTTCGATTAATGTCTTTTTCAGTGGCAGAATACTATCGCAATTGTTTGAAACATGGAAATGAAAATGAATGTTTGTTTTTAGACAATTTGCCGAAGAGGCGGTGATTGGTTTGCGTCATTTGGAAGAGAAAGGAACCGTGGAACGAAGGTCAGTGGATTTTTGCCATTGAACTTGGGCCTAAATTTGTTAGGAATGTAAAGAAATCTTTAATACTAATGGGTGTAAAAAGTTAGCTTTGAAATTTCTAATAATGGTACAAGTATGGGGGAGACGACTTGGGACAGTTGGGACATTGTCAAGATCCATTTCACATGTTTTTACAGACGAACATTTAGTTAGGGGTCTTGTGTTTTTGTTGCTTTAGAAGGCAGGACGCTGAATACATTCAACCGCCCTATTCCTTACCAGGCCATTGCATGGCTTAGAATTCTAAGGAATATGAGATTCTTGAGTGACCATGCTGTATTTCATAGTTACAGGAAAGCCAGTCGAATGGATTAAAACCTGATCAGATTTGAGCCGTCTGTTTCAATTGCCAACTAGAATAAGTATAGAAAATTTAAATTCGGCATACACATACAGTTAAATTTTTAATTTCCGTCGTTGAATGCTGGTATATATTCTTTTTAGCTTTTCAATATTTCTGGACACGTGAATAATCCAACAACTGTGGAGGAAGAAATGTCCATCCCTCTGAAGGAGTTGATTGAAAGGCATGCTGGGGGCGTTATCGGTGAGTCTCGGTTAATACTGAATGGAATGTATTGATTTGCGAAAGCAATAAGCATCCTGCGCGATCATAAGCCTCCACATGCCAAAATCAATAGGTTAAAACTATATACATTTTTATTTTAATGCGATTAATCACGGTGCAAATATAGAGATTTTAGCCTCCTCTATTACTGTTAAATGACGTCAAAGTTGCCCCCCCCCCCTCAAGCATGCATGTTGTTGGTCTTTCGTTTGACGCAGTTTTGCTCAGTGCTCGTCATACTTCTTTCTGCACAGGAAAAGACGCTGCTCTTGATTATCTTAATTGGCTTTCTTATTTAACATAAACCTTACGTCTCGGCCCAACAGTTACAATGATTGGAATAGCGTGAGTTTGCAAGAGATTCGTGCAAAATATCCTCTCTTATCAGCTCATATACCCCACTCCCTGAATAAACCAGACTTTGTGTTCGCAAGCTGACTCCAATGTAACAAAAAGTCTTGTTAATGCGATTAGTTTTGAGAGAGTTTTCATTCAGCAGACAACACATTTAAGAGCTGTTATGAAATGTGTATTGTATATTAAGTCATTTCTGTTAAAGGAGGTATGGGTAGTTGCTTTAACAGGCCTTCCAGCAACCGGCACATTCAGTGAAAAGAGCTTCATTGAGTAACTCTAGACTGCAATTTTTTCATCATCGTTTAGAGCGACCTTAGCTTAATTGATATCAAAGGTCTTTCTCCCTATCCTTGTTCTCTGTACTTTGCCCTGTCAATGGACTGTTTCCACAAACACTTTCTCGTATTTAGAATGAATGAATGATTCGAGAGTATATTTCTCTTATAGATTTTTGTCTGGCTCTTGTTCTTCCTGGGGAAAAATATTGTATATTTTTATCCATTCTTTTTTATCAAACGTTTGCAGAAAATAAATATTTTGGTATTTTGATAAGTTTTCTATTTTTAACAAGGCTGATTTTCAAAAATGCTCGTACAGATTTTTCAAGTTATATATAAAGTGTCAAAAGTCTGTGTATTTATGATATTTATGATAGGCAATCAGTATAACTGGAGGGCGACGACTAGGTTACATTGAATACTATTGATTATAGTTAAAGCTATTAAAATATATCATCATCAGGTACAATCTTCAATCAGAAGGTTGGCTACCATGACCCTCCAACTATCCCAAAATCTGAGTTTTGGTTTGTTGTCATGGTCATAGATAAAACTAAGGGGCTAATAGTAGAGATGGGCCCTCCAGAACCACCTCTATTAAAATATATATATAAACCATGAATATGAATAAAAATTTTCACTTAAAGCTATTAAGGTATATATAAATAAATATATATAAACCATATAACGACTTACTCTTCCTGGAATGTACTCTTTTTAGCAAAGACTTTTTAGGTGCAACAGTCAGAGATATTAACAAAAACCCAACGAATGAAATTTTGGTATAGCATCAAAGCCATAGGCAACATTAGAGACATAAATGCCTACCATCCCAGAGAAATATGTTTCACAATTAATCTCTCGAAAGCGGACCACTCATGATACTCTCTTCATCGAATCTCTCTCATTTTCACTGTTTCAATTCAACGAAATTCATTTGACATGCAATAGTTCAAAAGAATAGTTCAAGAGGTAATGAAATAACAAATTTGAAAAAAAGACTCTGGTTTGAAGGTAAAGAAGCCTATGTGTTTGTTTACATTTGCAACCAATCAGCTAGTAGAAATTTTATTCATCACAAACAAAATTCCCTATTTTGATTTTTTTATAGATTAGGCTACCTCAATGATTAGAGAAAGATTCTGAACAGCACTCGTAAAAAAAGACGTTTTATATTTCTAGAATATACAATATAAATAATTGCAAACCATTCTCATTCTTTTGCTTTGCTTAGTGAAATATTTGCTGTCGCTGGCTTTGTGCCCACATTTGAAAAGCTTGTGTGTGTATGAATATGAAATCATTAGAAAAGTAAAAAATCATTGCCGAAGTTTTTGAGGTCATTCTTGCACAAGATTCCTTTCAGCCGTGAAGTCAATCTAAATTAATATGTAATCCTTTTTCTTATAGCGATAGTCAGTGTTTTCAAGGCAGGATTTGATTTTTCAATCCCCCTGTGAAGTTTAAGTTGCTTGTTCTGACTTTCATTCAGTGCATGCAATTGGGAGCAACCACTGAAAGAAGGGGCAGGGTTAACCGACGGAAAAGTCCTTTTAATACTTTTCGCAGAAAATCTAGAAGAAAAAGAGGCGATTTGCTTTAGTTTTGCGAGGTTTCCTCTCTATGTTTAACACAACACGGTGGTATTAGCCTGCGTGCCGCCTCTCCGCTCTTGAGAAAGAGCTACCCTCTACCTTTTTGTTAAAAGCGTAGAGGCTGCACTCAGGCTACGGTGGTATATATTGAAAACCTCTCGATTGTTGCAGTTATCCGTTGCAACTCCCCCCGTATTTCTGTTCTGCAGCTCAGCTCCTTCGGTGTTGTGAACAACAGTTTGCCCCGATAGTTTTGGCTTATACCTGTTTGCCATAAGTCTTTTTTAAAGTATTAATCCTCTTTGCCTTTGTGTTTTCAATAATATTTTCCTTATAATCTTGTTTCGAAAGATTGCAGTTTATTTCTAAGTCGAATGCTAAAGTAAAGAAGTTTTTAAGGGACGAGGAATTCTGAAAAGTGATCAATCAAGCATAAGCCATTTACTGAAAACACGAAAGACATAATGCAGAATAGAGAAAAGATTTGTATGTTTTGATTCACAACGTCTTTTAATGTAGGTGTCTCGCACTCAAATGAATTAGGAAGTCATCAAATTTTATAACAAAAGTTTGCAAGAATATACAGTTCAAATCCCTTCATTCAATTGCCATTTCTTTTCTTATGCTTGATTTCTCCTTGTTTTTGCCGTTCATACTTGGCCATCGTTCGAATAATGCTGTGATACACTTTGCTGTGTGCGTCTTCTCCCCATATGAAGTCGAGATGGTTGTATTTGGCAATCATTCGGTGCTTTATTAGATGTGGGACCTGTGACATGAGCCATTTCACATCTTGAGGGTCTGCCAACCAATCTTGGCCACCAGAGTATGCATAAACAGGCGTTTTAAGATCTTTCAGGGAATATTGCCTGGGGCTTGTTTTTCCATACTTCACCAAATTCTTCTCTGTCCCATAATCGTATGCCTGGAACTTTTGACTCAGTATCATCTGACCATAATGAAGGATATTTTGCACAGAAGTGCCAGCAGGGGTGTGGCTGAAATAAACAGGAACTCTTGTTTTGTTAAGGTTGGATATATCGTATCCACTGAGAAGAAACAAAATGTTGTCACATACTGTTGCCTCTTCGGGGCACATCTTTTCAGCCAACCATTGCACAAGTTTTGTTGATGGCATGAAATCTTCGACGCCCAACTCTCCAAACATTATCTTGATGAGAGGTGTAAAATAAGCAAGGTATCTTATTGGGCTTTTTGTGTGAGCCACTTTTGCCACGGGTGCTAGGGCAAAGAAGATATTTACTTTGTCAGCAAGCTCTTTGTTCATCGAAAGCCCCGAGAAGGCCATCATTGTCCCTTGTGAATGGCCGACATAATACAAGCTTTTTTGTCCGGATATGAAAAGAGCATGATTTATCATCGCAGGTAGATCGTATTTGGCCATTTCATCCCAGCTGAACGCCCAATAGCGCGAATCGTTTCTTGCGTACTCAACGTGAGCTGTCGAGTATGTATTGCCTCGTACATTTCCCATCCAGACATCATAGCCAGCGTCAGCAAGCATGAAGGCCAGAGACTGTTCAGGCAGGTTTGTCACCCAGTTGCTCGAAGAACACAGTAAACCATGTTGCAGAAACGCGACAGGGCGATTAGATTTTCCACGACCAGCCTTACCATACGGTATGCGATGCATCGTCAACACGTAGCCATCTTGTGTTATAGTTGCATAGGTTTCTGCTGGGTAGCCCCAAAACTTTATTATTTCTGGTACTGTCATTTTTTCCTCCGGGTCTTCGGCAAGGCATATCGCCGTGCAAAGAACTAGAGAAAACAGCAACTTGAGTGTCATCTTGTCAGTTGCCATTCTCGCAACTCAAAACTGAAATAGCTCTACCAGAAGCGAGTCTAATCGACAGTCCTGTCGATTTCCGCGTGATCGAAATGTGATACAATATCCCACACTTGACCCTTAAACATAGACGGGGGTGAAGAAATTAGCTGCTTATCTCTTTTGTCATTTCAATGTTCCAGTGAGCTGGCGGAGACTCCAAAAATAATGCCAGGGGAAGGGCTATGCTTCCTTCGTTTTTCAAGCAATGGTATTGTTGGTAGACAAAACCTACCCTTCTGTTTTTCTCGTCCCAAAAGCCTTTAATCTTATGAGGAGTTCAAAGTTCGACACATTTATCATTATCGAAACCTATTCTTTGCCTTGAACGCATGGCATTCAATGTAGTTATTTTATAACCAACAACCGAAACTATATTACTATTCTGACTAATTTTTAACAAAAATTTGCCAAAATTTGGAGCAAATTTTAGCCAAACAATATTATTAAACCAAGTTGGAGATATTGGAATGCAAAATGCAACTCTGTTGTAGAGTTTCTTGCAGCTTTTTATCGAGTCCTCAAGCTGCTAAAAGTTGTGTGACTGCAGCCCTTTTTGCTATTCATTTCACCTTTTTCTTCGGTTGTTTATTCCATATTTAGTGCAAAACTTTCTATACTTGATAGTATAAATCGCCATCTTGAAATAGCTGTGCGTTGTGTATGAATGACCCCCCGTTCACCAGCATGTAGCCACTCCATGCTATGTTACCATTACCAACATCTCCCGTGGTTAATCGCCCTGATAAAATATTTAGCAACCGTTTTTATTTTTTTCATCTGTGGCGTTACCTTGCCATTGTTCACTCATTCATTCGAGGCGCCTCGTTGGTCCACGGTTGTGGGGAATCAACAACCCTATAAATTCCCTTTTGTTTAGATTCAGCTCATCTATTTTTCGACAAATACTCGAATTACTCTTCCAGACCGTAACTTATGAGCTAATCCTTCGCAATAAAAGAATTTTAAACTGTTTTAAAATCCAATCTATTCTCTTTGACCCACTTCATTTTGTCCCTTTCATTTTTATCTCGATTTGTTAACTTTGCTTTGCTCTGTGGATTTGATGCTATCCCGCTCTCTCATACAATTATTTTAGGGACACGGCGTATTTAAAGTCATTTCCTGTTTGTGTATTTGTTTAGGCTTTGTTTAATTCACGCTATCTATAGGCACAACTTTTCAACAACGATTTACTATATTTAGTAGCAGTTCTCTGTTTATCCTGGTGTCCCAAGGTGGACCAGTGGCATGTGGCCAAAAGGTTTCAATGGTCACAGTTGGTGTAGCAGTAGTGAGAGAAATAATTCGTGCCTGGTTATAATCCGTTTTCATTTTATACTCCATCAGCAGGGGCGTAGCGTGCGGGGGGTGTGTGTGTGGGGAGGGGGGTTGTACACCGCCCAACTTTCAGAGAACTCGTCTGTAGAATTAAATTTATCACAAAATATTAATGTAACTAAATAATTTCTGTCGGTAAAATATGGTTTTGCATCTTTTACACCCCCAGCGAGAATGGCCACGCGATGCCACTGCCTATCAGGTTCTCCGTGTAGGCATTCGCGAAAAAGATTTGGGGGGGTGGTCAGCGGGGGCGAAAGGCCTCTCTGTGAAGCTAAACAGCTCTTCTGTCGGAAAATTTCTAATTTTGTCGGAAATATACCATGATTGTCTATTTGATATCTAGATGAAAGATTTAAGCTGAATATAGCGATTTCTTTCGTTGTCCTGAGCAAGATGGGCAATTTCTTTCAATAAGGTATATGGCACTTAAAAAAAGTAGTTTGGTCTATAGCGCTTTAATTTCAGTAAATGATAAAGCTTGATCTCCTGTTTTATTTCGCTTTTATTGTCGTTATTTAAAGTTCAAATTTATGGAAAAAATGAATTTTTTTGTTAGATTTTTGTCGGAAAATCTCAATTTATCGCCCCTCCCATGAAATTTCCTATCTACGTCACTGCATATAAACGAAAGATCAAACGGTATGATATCGTCCCTGTAAATTTGAATACGGTTTTGTTTATACTGGTCTTAAGGAACTAATCGCAAACCCCATAATCGCACAACCTAGCTTCCGAAAGCATCAATTTTATTCACTGCCTTATGCCTAATCTGGGGCAGCCTGCATAGAGTTTTCGCTGTTTCTACTTCTAATGTCATAAAACAACAGCGAAGATAGTTTGTAGCCTAAATTAGTCTGAGATTAATTAGATATCATCCTTACCCTTCATCTCTGAGTCGAAATATACGCAAGCCTTAGCCCCACTTTGAGTTCTTTATTTTCCGCATACGAGTTACCCTTTTTCTCTACCCTTTCGATACATGCGTTTGTAACAGCTATAAACAAAATTTTGTTTTCGATTTCAAAGTGGCTCGCTCTGTTCAAAAGATTAGGTATGACTATCAAGGCTTAAAGGCCTTCAAACTTTGAGCCACAAAAACAGAGAAAGCAAGAAACTTCTAATAATCTAAATCACAAATCTAGAATCGCAAACTTTTGCTGTTTTTCGTCTTTAGTTTTAGATGGGGGCTCTCTCTCGATTAGTTTATCTATTAGAGAGCTTCTCCTTAGACTAATATATCTAAATACATAATGTCTTGTTATGTTTTCCTATTACGTTAGTTTATTTAGTGTATGTCCATGTTTCTTGTTGTTGTGTAGTATGTATTATCGTCTTATGTATTTTAATTTAGGTAATGTTAGTAATTGTATTGATATATACTTAGGTATATTTGTCAATGAAAACTGAAAGCTGCTGCATTTTACATTTAATGAAATGCCAATATGATAATTCAAACTATCGCTCTAGGTGGATGGGAGAATCTAAAAGCTGTTATCCCTGGTGGCTCCTCTGTCCCGTTAATTCCTAGAAGGTGAATTTTTTATGCTTTCCGTTTGTTGATTAAATAGGCTTTCTTATCTAGAATTGTCTTGTGTCTTCTAAGTGCTAGAATTTATCTGAGAAGCTGCTGTTGATCATGTTTGGTCTTCAGTTATTTTTGATCGATCGATTTTCAGTGTTGCCGAAGAAGCATTGATGGATTTTGACTCGTTGATTGCTTGTCAATCAGGACTGGGAACAGGAGCTGTGATTGTCATGAATCAACAGGTTTGACTCATTTTCACATTTGTGTGGTTTTTCATTCATTTAAGTAGCCTATAACATAACAAATAAGTGTGTGAATCATTGATAACTCAGTGATCTGGTTGATCGATTAGTTGATAAAACCTATCACCTTATCGCGATCTACAGCCACCAAAGTTGTAGAGCCTGTTCCTATAAGGATCTAGAAAGCAAATTTTTGGAAACAGGAAATGAAATTATTAGGCCTTTTGTAAGTAATTAAATGATCCATTCCTAGGCTGATGTCGTCAACTGCATTGCTCGATTGTTAAAGTTCTATCAACACGAGAGCTGTGGCCAGGTAAGTGTGCATGATGACTGATCATTTTTTATTGCATTTGACGTTTTGGTATTGCAGGTCTGACTGAGTCTGTTAAAATACTTTCTATGATCAGTATTCTGAACTGAAGCGTTAGCAGAATTAAATCTAGAACAAAGCAGAGTTTCTGTTCCAATTGGCAATATTAGTTTCGGAAAATTGAATGAATGCTATGAATTCATTACATCATATGTATATCAAAAGTGGCTTAAGCCATCTGTTATTCAATATAAGCCGATCAGTGAGGGTGTGAGTGGACTCACAGTCATGGTCAATTCTTGACTAAATGATGGTTCAAACCCGTTGAGTATCTATCGATTGCTGTTAAGTTTATTTCTATAACCTATAGCCTTGTTATTAATCAGTTCACTATAACGAACTATGGTCATTTATTCTTTTCGTTTTTTCTATTCTTAAATATTTTATGAATCTGGTTCATAACATATTTTAAAGCTTACATAGCTCCAAAAGTATTGATGAAAGGTTAAGTTCTCAGTTAAGCCTAAATACACAGGTACTGTTCAGTTCCACTAGAAATTCGTGTCTGCTTTTCACAGATTTTAAATAGAGTCGACTTGCCTCGTGTTTTTTACATTTATACATTTCCCTTTCAATGAAAATCATCGGCACAGTGTACCCTAATCAATTGCTCTTGTATTTCCCCTCAGTGCACTCCATGTAGGGAAGGAACTGGCTGGATGACGAAAATTCTATACCGGTTTGGTAAGTGAAGTAGACCACATAAATGAGTCATTTTTGCCATGTGTTAGGTACATTCAGTAAAATCAGTTTAATGTTAAAACCATTTCTTTTGCTGGGCGTTCCTCGAGGATTAGCTTGTCATAGCCTCAGTTTTAATTTCTCTTTTGCGTCAGTTTTAATTCAAAACTCAGGGTGTGATAAGACTGTCCCAATTCCGTGCTGTGTCTGTTCCTCTATATCGTCTATTCTTTCTCTTAATCTCATCACAAAATTTTACATAGAAAAGAGCAATGCTCCATTATTTTCGGAAACATCCCATCATCAAAATATGGACAGAAACGAATATGGCTGCCCATAATGGCTGCCCATAATGGCTGCCCACTACCCTGTTCAACTCTTTATGAAGGACTTTTTTCCATACGCCCACATCTGGAGTTTCATGCTCTTACGAAAAGCCAACAATGAAAAACGGATGCTTTTTTATATGACAAAGATGATTGACTCTTCCCCATGGAACTTGCTGCCTTTATCTTGCTTCTTTGCCCTTCAGTTTTGTCTTCCTCCGTTCTATCACTAAAATATTGACATTGAATGCACTGCTATCCGACGAAATTCGCTTATGTTTTTCCGTTTCAATTTAGAATTTTTTGTTTATATTTTCACAGTTGAGGGCAAAGCTAAACCTGACGAAATCGATATGATATGGGTGAGTTCTGTTTCAGATTTTCAGAGAGAGTAAATTTCAGTTATCAATTTTTAAGTTTGTGCAGTAATATTTTTAATCTGTTTTCTTGCAATATGGACTTGTTTGTTTGTATACTTAGAATTCATCGATATGTTAAATCATGCATGTACGATGAAAATGCTTTGTACGATTAAAATGATACGTACAATAAAAATACTATGTCTGATGGAAATGAATGAGATCAAAGTAACAGTAGATTTCATTAAGTATGTTCCGCGTTATAGTTTAGATGCCCAGATAGAAAAATCTAGCTTTTTTAGTCGAGAATGGTCATTTTTCATCATAGAATGGTTTTGATTATAGAATTTCATCATAGAGTTTCATCATAGAATGCTTTGCATGCAATGATATTTTTCAACTCTTCTGTGTTATTCTCAAACCTGATACCTTTGCTCAAGAAGGCTTACTTGTAATTGTTTATGATCTTCTGGAATTCCATTGTCTATAGCCTTTGTACCTACTTTCTCACGACTTTGCATTCAACAATTTGAACAGGAACTGAGTAAGCAGATTGAGGGTCATACAATTTGTGCATTAGGTGATGCCGCTGCCTGGCCTGTGCAGGTATGTCTCATTATCAAAGTACTTTGTTTTGCATCAATGTTTGCCATATATTTGAATGTTTACAATCAACACCATTGTGTATATAAACATTACCTCATGTCTGGTGCGTAGCTTTGAAAATTTTCTGCGACACAGGACCCCGTGTATGGTAAAATGCTTTGCTTTATGGGATGAAATATAGAGATTTAGAAGCTAGTTACCACTATTATTATATTTGAAGTGAAATATTTTAGCTGTTTTATTAAACCTGAAGGTTTTCTGATGCATTTGAATGTAGTCATTCTTAAATCAAGGGTTTGTTGATTGCAGCTAATATTAAATGAGAAGCTAAAATGCCAAGTCATTTTATGTGTAGTATGAACGAAGACGGTGGTTATATAGACTGCAACGGAATCGTGATATTGTAATATTAAAGAACTAAGATTTGAAGTGTAGAGGCATTAAAAAGTTTCAACTACATTTGAAAATTAATCTAGCATATCTGAGCTGAAGGGTTTTATCCATCAGCTATCAGATTATCGTCTTAAATTATGCTTTGCGCCAGAGGATGCCTTTAGTCGAAGTGGTTCTTGTTTTTTGTCTATTTTCTGAAAAATGGTTAAAATGCATGAATACTTAAAACTGATCTGGTTTTTAGCTTTAGTATATGGATTTATATTTGAATGTCTGTTTTGCGTTGTTGATCCATGCTAATATCATGCCTTTGTTATATTAAGGGATTAATTCGACACTTCCGTCCTGAACTTGAAGAGAGAATGGCGAAATATGAAGAGGAACAGGCCAAGATGGCTGCCACTGCTTAGATGCAAACATTATGTTTTAAAATGAATCTGAATGATGCTGTGTGTACATGGTAAAATCTGGAATTATACATGCGCTGTATCTTATGATCTCAAGTGCAGCAAAGAAAGTTTCATAATTGTAAAGAGAAGCGTGTTATTTGAAATATTAATTAATGTACTGTTCTGTAACAACGTTTGGTTTTTGTTGCGTCCCTTGATCATTCTGTTATTTAACCAAAACTGTTTTCATATCTTATTTCTGCATGACGATGCTCGATGTGAGTTTAAGTTATCCGTTTTTATTTCTTGTCATCATTTTCTGAAGCCCCCTTTGATAAAAATTTTTCTAAGCTAAAGTTTTCGGTTTTATGTCTCGAGAATTTTTGTTAAGAGATGTGTTTCGTGGCATTGATAAGTACGTTTTGCTAAATACGTGGCATTGATAAGCTGCGTTAAAAATCAATTGTTCTTTTCAAAGAGCTTTTCGTGGAAAGCTTTAACAGTTATTTGAATTGAAGACGAGTTCTAGGCTTTGCCTTATTTAAACGTTAACGCTAATACTGACCATCAATCTAAAGCACTTTGCTTCAATAAGAGATCAACGCTGACTCCTTAAGATTGATTCTAGAAAGCATGTGGTAGTATTCAAACTGCTGTTATGAAAGGAAAATAATTTACAATTGCAATGCAGTTCACAATGCTTAAAATGAACGTTTAACCAGAAGCGATTATCAGCTTTTTCCTTACTTCCTCTCCTCGTGAAAATCATGTCGATTTCTTTTAAGAAAAAGAATTTCACTAACAAAAAACAGTTCGTTAATAGTTCATACGTGTTTCGTTAAAACAGTTGGAAAATGATGGCAAGTTTGGAAAAAATATAGGAGACATGAACGAGAGAGTGAGGTTTCCATTTCCAGTAACAATCGGAAAACCGAATTTTCATTATAACTTTCCAGGTCAGTGTAAGCCAGTGGTGTATGGGTGTAGGGTGTAAGCATATTTCTTTGGGTGTAAGCCATCAACTATGAGAAGGAGGCAATTTGTAAGCGAGTCTAATTCGTTAGGACGGTAAAACATGGCTGCCATGAGAAGCATGAACACTGTCATAAAATGTAATCGCATTGACGCTCTGAATTTGGTGAAAACAGTAACAACTGGTAATTTTTGCAGACTTTTTGTTTCCAAAAGATTTCTAATGCATTTTCATTTAATCTAAGGAATAACTTCTTTTCAGTTGGGTTTGAAATGAACTTGTTGTTGTTCCGAGAAGCTTTTGCTCACAGCTTATTGGCCAGTCTGCAGAGCATGGCAGTTCTTGACAAGATCAGTTCTGTTGATTTTCTTTTAAGAATTCATGCATTAAAATCTTTAGACAAATCTTTAGAACAAACAACAACAGGTTACATAAGATAAAGTTACATACAATGAGAAAAATAGAGAGCAAAATAATTGTTAAAAAGCAAAGCAAGGAGATTTGCATACAGGAATTTCTTTAACGAGGAGCTCTCTCAATAGATAGCCTAATTTAGGAGAGAGCATCACAAAATAAAACTGACATTAAACTCACGCTGGTGTTCCCAAAAAACTGGGATAAGTTAGTCTATAGGTCTTGAACATCATTGGTTTTAGCCTGGGCATGGGACATTTCAAAATATAAAAGAAACATTTTGAGATATGAAATAATTTCAGGTCCATTCTCAACAATCTTAGAAATACCCTCCCTCAATATGTCCAAATTTGAAAATCCTCATATCAAGGGATGCATGCCTTGCTGTTTAGCACAGTTGTGTAGAGCTAATTTGAACACAGATTTGTGTAATTTCTCGTTTCAATATTTGCATGAGAGATCTTTCATGTAAACAGGCCATTGAACAGGGAATTGGTTTTATTTTTACACACAATTCTACAGGGCTGTCAAGTTTTGGAAAATGAGATGAGGGACAAATACGCATACACTTACAAATGATAAATAAGAAAGGCTAAATGTGGCAAAACATGAATTGTTGACTTCTGTCGACGTTGCTAAAACGAGGAACAAGCGGAACAACCCAGTAACAAGAGGAACAACCCAGTAACAACCCAGTAACAAGCGGAACAACCAAGGAACAAGCAGAACAACCCAGAAACAAGCGGAAATGTGAATTATTGTTTAGTAAATACCACATGGGGGCGTTTATAATCCAACTCTCTGAAGTTCGTGTGGGCTAGAACTATCAAGAGGTCGTCAATCATGTCTTCGTCTGTTTCGGAGGCTTTGTGATTTTGCCAACGGACAGGGAGAATCTATCGACCCCGGATCGGGACGAAAAATAAATAGTAAAGCATGCGTATACATTCGATCACAACAGACACACTGTTGCAAATAGATGTGCATGCCATAGTGTAAATCTGTACATGTAGCCCTGTTGCAATCACATTTTTCAGGCCCGTCGGAGCCGGGGGGCTGGTGGGGGGGGTTTCTGAAGCCCCACCAATAATTGTCTTACTGTAGTATGTTTCCTTTATAACAATGTACTGCATGGGAAGGAATACAATGGGCAGCCTCTTACAACTTATAATTTGGATTAAAGAAGAGGTTAACTTTCCGCCTCAATAAAAATGATTCTAGGCAAACCATCAGTTTCCTGGTTCCTGGATTTTCCGACTTTTATCCCACGACAGGTTATGATTTTTCTTGTAGGCACATCAATGTCATTTTTCTCCCCAGGCGATTGAATGGCGCAATATCGTGAAATTTTGATGGTAGGGTGACAAACACGCAACCGATGTTTGGCGTTTCCATCATCATCATCATAAAAAAATTTATTTATCTAAATAGAATTAGTTGAAGAGCCATAATACACTCTAAATACAATCATATCTAAGTACACAAAATATAACGACATCAGAACTGAAATAAATAAATATTTTGACATATTCAGATATTCTTATTTTCATTGCTTTAAATTCTTTCCTATAAAACATGGCAAGTAGATAAACATAGAAAATTTCCAGAAGACCAGAGGTTTTCCGACAAAATAGGAGTCTAGCTCGAGGGGCAAATCACTCCAAGAAAATCTTGTACACCTTTTATAAAAATCCTATTGCTTTATCTGAAAATCCCTAGAAATCCTTTTGTTTTGGTAAAATCTTGTACGCAATTTTCAAGAGTGAATTGCCCCTCGGTCTAGCTCTACAGGGTTTTGTTGCCCCCCTCTGATTCCCTCTATCTTAGCCACTGCCGCCAGAGCAGTTTACCCAGCATAGCTATTTTAGCAACCAAAATAGCCACCAGAGCAGCCACCATTTTCAAAAAATTTCTGGGGGAGCATTCCCCATACCCCTTTAGGCATGCTTTACTATTTATTTTTCGTCCCGATCCGGGGTCGATAGATTCTCTCTGTCCCTCGGCAAAATCACAAAGCCTCCGAAACTGATGAAGACATGATTGACGGCCTCTTGATAGTTCTAGCCCACACAAACTTCAGAGAGTTGGATTATAAACGCCCCCATGTGGTATTTACTAAACAATTAATTCACATTTCCGCTTGTTACTGGGTTGTTCTGCTTGTTCCTGGGTTGTTCCGCTTGTTACTGGGTTGTTACTGGGTTGTTCCGCTTGTTACTAGGTTGTTCCGCTTGTTCCTCGTTTTAGCAACGTCGTGACTTCTGTAGCATGGGCTGCTTGTCTACCATTTAAGTGCAAAATTTAAACGTTATCCAAGATTGAAACCACGACAAAACAAATTTGAACTATTTCATAATAAATCTTGAGTATATATTGAATTTATCTTTTACAAAACAATGAAAGTTTCTCAGTTTATTAATGTTTTTCTAAATGTTCTTTGTTGTACTCCCAGGTGACTTCTTTATTTATAGCATGGTTCTCCTTGTGCTCTGTTAGGCTGAAAGGCAATGATGGTAGACAAGGTGCCATCTAGGGACAAGCTTGCTCTCTGAGAAGCCACATTTTTTTTCTCACTCTGGAAAATAATGACTCCTCTTTTGCATTGCTATGCACTATAGTCAGGACAACTTTTGCGAACTTGAATAATTGACCAAACTTAGGCTTTATATAATACCCATTTGACAAGAAAATGCATGCAAATCCCGCATGATGCAGGACACTTGACAGGTCTGATTCTGAGTGTGCACTCTGCAACAGTCTAGTTAACAAGCTTTACTTATTTTGTACATCTAATTTTTTTTAAAAGTGGCTTAAGGGCAGAACAATATGCTAAATGAAGACAAATGAATTTTCAAATGTAATGCCTTTATTTACATTGCAGATGCTTTTATCCAACAAAGAAATTTCAGTCTCGCAGGTAACCATCAGATATTAAAATCAGTTCATTTGATTAAAAACCTCATCAGACAGTATTATGATGCAGGCAAATTCTGATACCTTTTACAACCTATGTCAAAATCACCTCAGTAAATTTTAATGTTGTAGTTGACTGGGCAGACATTTGTATTACCCAAAAGGGTTGTTAAATGTAGATGTAATGATGATGATGATGATAAATATAGAGCCACCTTAATTTAGTCTGATTTTTATGACAAGTTATTTCTGCATAAACTCAGCCTTTATATAAGCATGAATGAGAATTAGTATTTGTAATTTTTGAATAATGAATTAGGCAAAAACAGACTTTTCTATGCATTATCTTCTTTTGCTCAAATTTTCCCGTCAAAAAGAAAACCCCATACATATGCAAATAAGATCAAATTATATTTATTAAAATTTTTAATGCAGACAAGCCTTTTCTACGCATATATAAAAGTTTGCATAAGAGCCTGGTCTATTGTTAAATTAAATAAATTAGAATGCATATAATTTTTTTCATTAACATGTTTCATCTGTGTTTGTAGCAATATTAGAAAAGCCAAGAAAAAGATGGCAATGGAGGAGAGATAGAAAGCCAGCAAATACACAGGTGGCATAATCAAATATACTTTATGTTCTGTCTTTTGTGGTTTTGATTTTGTTCTTACACGTTAAATATGTTTTTGGTTTTGACTTTTCTTTTCAATAGGAAGCTAATCTAAACAAATTTCTAGCTCATTGCTTTTCTTGATATAATACTTATTAATTATGAGCTAGAAATGAGTGATGGGTGAAATGATTTGGGTAATTATTTTGTATATCCTCAAACATGTCTGTAAATTCAAATACAAATACAAGAAAAAAAGATGACACACCAAAACATTATTTAGATGGTACAGACTGGGCATTAGAAAAGATACTATTTACAGTAAATGATTAATCATGAGGTTCAGTGATATTTGATTTTCCGAATATATACAATAATTTTGATAAAAATATTTGTTATTGCTCATGAGAAACTTATATTAATAGATAATGGTAAGCTCGCACATTTGGTAGATGCAAAATTTTTCAGCATGGCTTTTCAGATACCGGGCCTTCATTGCATTGTCATGTCATTTCTTATTATTGTTTATTTTCTGTTATATCATGTTATTTTTTGTTATCAAGCTGGCAATAGATGGCGATGAACTTCTAGAAAAAAGAAGAACATGTGGTGGAGGGTCTAAGGTGAAAGCAGTCTCAAAGAACAAAGGAAGCTACCTTCTGAAATCACAAGGTACCAAATTTCTCTTTGTGGTAAATATCTTCCATTTGAATGTATCAGACCCCTAAGAAATGAACTTATGTTTTTAAATATTGTCTCCAAGTCTAGTATATGAACTTCTATAATATTTGTGGACAATGAAGGAATTGGTAACAATCTGCAAGCTCATGGGCTTTCATTTGCTAGTGATGACCACACATTCTTGTTTGGTATATTGTTTCACTACTACTGTTCGAAACATTGGCAAAACCTGAAATTTCCCAGACCACATGCAACCAGCATGCTTTGATCAGCCATATAACAAATGAGCTGATACTTCTTTTGTTACTTTGCACTGTCTATGAAATACTTGTCTGTAAAAATTGAATTAGCACAGAAAGACTTTTTTCATACATCCTATTAATAACCCAAAAACCAATTGATCTTTGAGCAATTTGCATGTCCACTGAGAAACATGTCAAAGGAAAGCCAAGAGTTTGGTCACTTGTTTATCAATCGCCAATAGATATGGTGAACCTCTTGGGTACCTCTTCCAAACAGAAGCATATAAACTTATATACAGTATGCATACACTTATAAACATAGGTGCAGACCAGAGAGCTCCAGGGCTTGAGCCTGCTCATGATGAAAATTTGGGGGAGGGGTGCTCAGTCCCCCTGGGTAATGAGAATGCTGGCTATTGATTGGTCGGACTTATTTTTCGTATTCCTGGATTCACACTTGAAAATCATCTCAAGAGATTTAATCAAGATCATATACAAGCAATGACAATAACAATGTTAAGGAAAATCGTCTTAGAACCCCCAGCTAGGCCCCTTTCTACCCTCTGCTGTTGGCAGCCTCTATTAGCAGTTGCAACTATTTTTGCCTTCAACCAGTTTGATAGGGTTTAGTTTGACTAACTGTTATATTCAAAATGACTGAAAGTATGTATCATTCTGTCCCCAAAGGCTTAGCATTGGATGTACCAATTACAGATGTTATCCATTCAGATGCAAACAAGGAACACATAGAGAAAAAAATAATGACAAAAGGAAGTATTGTACAGATAGATGCAACTGAGTTTAGGAAAATGTAAGTTAGCTATAGATGCTTTGTGTTGTTGGCAAATGCTCAACTAACTCTATGGTGTTAGATGTGAGTTACTGAGCTTTGTGTGTATTCACACTTGTACTGTTGTGTATCTTTTAAATGGCAGTAAAGTTTGAAATTTTTCTCAAATTTTATAAGTGATATCTGCCAATACCCTTAGGAATGCAGAGAAAAGTATGAATTATTTGTTACAAACTCTCTTGTAATAAAAAAGCAGGCAATTGTTGTTAAGCATTTAATGTAAATTATTATACAGATATTTCTTGTGTTTGAAAAAGTGGGCAAAACATGCCTCCAGTGCCCTCAAGCTTCAATGTCTTCTTGTAATTTAATTTAATTTGAACACTTCCTGGATACTTCAGAGAACTGATTAATTACATCATAACATTTTTAACTGTTTATAGTTATTTTTAAGATTAAAAAGGCAAATCTGTAATCCATCAATTCAAATATTTTTTGTTCACTCCATCGCACCTCAAATTGAGAAAGATACCTCGTAATTAAAGTTGTTAAAACAAAATGGCAAATTTTGAGTTACTTGATATCAAAATTTTTCTTTGAAATTTATATTTTTATTGACAGTAATGGGATTATTTTTAGCAGTTTGTTTGAAAACAATCTACTTAACTAAAAATTTGGCTACTTTAATTTAAATTCGGATTATTCTCAGTGGTCTTATTGTTAGGCTTGAGTGTAAAGAAGAAAATAAAGTTGAAGACACCACTTCAGTGGTAAGTGAGTCTATACACTATGTTTTTAGTAGACTTGCCAGACTATTAACAAGTTTGTACCAAAATATGAAATTAACATGAAAACATATGTTTGGTACTGCCTTTTCAACTGGTCGAAAATACCATTTTTATATCTGTACCACCAAAAAACAGTATACCTTTTTTTATGGTAACCAATTATCATTCAGCTTTTATTGAGTATGGTGAAAATAGCAGGCTTGCATTATTGACAATAGAATATATCAATAAGTATCCTAAATTCAAAGTGTGCAGTTAGTATGGAATGCAACAGTTGTTTATTAACATCCTCAACTATGGTACATAACAATATTTTACGGACCTGTACAAAAGCAAGAATATTTGAAAATCGTGTGTATCAGACCGTGATTTGGAACGTTGTGGCATTTGTCTATAATGTCATTTTTACTGGCACTTACTTCGTACTTTTTCTTTTTATAATTCATTCTAAAGTAACAGTGTTTTATAGGATGATGCAACAAAGACAGATGATGATAAAAGATCACAAGAAATTGACGAAAGCCTCAAAGAACTTGTTAAAGCTGGCTATTTATATGGTAAAATATTTACGTATCTGTATCTTTGTCTAAACAGTAACTTTTCAAGACTTTGATTCGAGGAAAGGAATTACTATCCTTAAGAGTGGAAAACAAGCTTAAAATCCTGAAAAACAACGTCAGTGGAGTTCCTTAAAGTCTAGTCCTTTATCATTTCTTGTTTTATGGTTATTTTAAGCCCTGGCAACGTTGGCTCCCTAAGCGTTCTCAAGCCAATCTGATCCGATTTTTTTTCACTAATTTATGGCTTGCAATTTTTGAAATTGTGTGCTAATCATTTCGCTGTCCTTTGGAGTATTTGATATAAGAGTCAATAGGAGACATGTTAAAAATTTTTAAGGTTTGTGTTCAGGTATTTCAGTTCATTGTTTCTTGAAAAAAGTTAAGTATTTTCATAACGATATTTCTAGTTGAAATCACTCTTAAATTATTTACTAATATTGACACCATTGCACATCGTTTGGTACTTTTTATTACATCAAGTAATCACGAATTTCAGGTGATATTTTTTTAAAACACATAGAACAAGGAGGTCATTGAGTTTATACGTCAGAGCTATGTTTTGAGCTCTTACGAAATGCCTGCTTTGCGCATGCTACCCGCATCTGCTTATACGAAAATTGAAACAAACATGTTTTCTTGTTGCGTCATGTCCTTTGTTGTCAATTTTGAGCATGCACAATAGAAGGCCTAGAACTGTGTCTTGGAGACCTTAAAATCTATTTAAGTTTCTTGGAATTCTTGATCATAACTCTACGACAATCCGATTGTACAAAATCATCAATGCCGTTTCAATATGTTTCCCGTTATTTGTTTTATTTGACAAATAATTTATTGTATGTCACTGTTTCAAATATTCTCGAGAAATCTCAGGGAAAAGTGATGTTTACTTGTCTATCATGTCATGCTTAACTCCGAGATTTTTAGTAATCTTATATAGTCGCTCTTATAATATTTTCTCAGCATCTCTTACTTTCTAAGATTTTCTGCTCCTCTTTAAAAGCCAGGTTATGATGGAAGTATTGTATCTGGAATGATGCATAACTACATGTTTATTTTCCAAGACATCAAAATGTTAATCATTTTTAAGTTTTCTATCAATCTGTAGCATTGAACACGTCCATACTTTCTAATCAGTCATAAATCTTATACAGTAGATTTCTTGTTATGATGCATGCAGTAGATTTGCTATCACCATCAATCAGATTTTCCACCCAGTCGATGTTTTCTTAACAGTTCAATGCTACATCTACAACTTATTTGATAAAATAATACGCGCACTGGATTTTGAAACTACTAAACAGTTTCAAAAATGAAGAACCGCTGGCGTTTGAAACTTGTTCTTTCATCAATTGCTACCTGAAATGGCCGTATAAGAATAATGTACGAAAAAGAAGGTGCTTTTTTGTTTTCACTTTTTTAGTTTTGTAGCCTTAGTGCTCAGTTAAAAATTTGAAAATTCTTATGTATCTAAGTTTCTTTTAGGCAAAATAACAACAAGGCCGGGTCAAGTAGGTCTGTGTGATGGATACATCCTTGAAGGTGCAGAATTGCAGAGCATAATGGAGAAGCTGTCGTTAAGTTTGCCCTCACAAGACTCGTGATAGTTGGCTATTGTTGCTGTGTGTGTTTCCAGAAGCAGGCAGTAATAAGTAACAGGTTGAACTGAAAATTTATGTAATCTCCCATACTGAACTGGCTGGTAACGAGAACATTTAAATGGTTATATACAAGATAGGACCAATTTCCTAGCGCAATAACAATTTTCGAGTTAGGTGGTCTTTCTTATCGCCAAGCTCAGTTAGAAGGGGGAATTTTCTAAATTTTTTTAGTCCGATCACAGTTGTTGCTGATTCGTCTTCTTGAATAAAAATTCGCAATATTCTACTGAAAATTTCTGTGATTAAAAGTGATTTAAAATTATTGATATGATGGGTTAATCAAACTTTTATAGCAGAGGGAAATCAGTAAGTCTGAAGTATCCTTTTTGCATCGGGAGTTATAAAAAGGATTGTTTTGAACGATTTCAATCAAATTTTTAAATTGCAAGCCCGAAAAGACACCCATTTGATGTTGTTTTACTTTTTTCAACAAACTAAAGATTTATTCTTTTAAATTTCGCCTGTAGGATAAATTTAGAAGAAGGTAATTAATTGTCTGGCGATGTATTGAATGCATTTTCCTCAGTACAGATTGTCTAACAGTGTGTTAAGAAATCTCTGCAGTCTGCATGTCAAATGTTTTTGTATCTTGTATGGTAAAGTTTACTCTTTAGCAAGGTTTTTACATCTCCCTGGAATGAAGTTTTTGCGAGGACTGTGTTGCAAGTAATTGTTGGCAAGAAATTATGAATTATAAATTTTAATGACTGATAACGAAGTGCAAAGTTCCACAATTGCGAAGGAGCAACCGGAAAAATAGTGAGACAAACTACTGATTCCTTACTTCTTGCAAAGGCATTCCCATTTCATTTCAGTTACGATTTCATTTCTACAAAATCAAAAATTGTGGCGTTATCCAAGAACTTAGTTGAAAAGGCCACATTTCTTCTTTAGGGGCTTGACCGGTTTTGACCACCTTAGCTGCCATAAGTTGAGAGTTTATTTTCTAGTAAATCTGAAGATTTCTATTGAAATTACAGGTGGTTTGTGTACGACTGTAGGCTGGGAAAAGGAGCATTTTGCAAGAGTGTGTTCTTCGGTAATTGACCAATCTATCTTCATTATAAATAATATACACCAGTCATATGCTCAGATAATTATTCTGAACTAAGATCGATACAAATAGAGCTTGCAACAAAAATGACATAGGACATATCGATAATGTGAACTCAGAAAGATGACACTGTCTCGAAATACTTAAAAAGTTCTTAAATAATACTGAGGCCCATGCCTGATAAATCCGGCTGCCTGAGAATTCGAATTTCTCTTACTCGAGCAAATCTATTTTTCGTCATACTTATCCCTGTTTTGGCCATTAATCAATAATCCGAAGAATTGCTTTCTCTGAAATTTTTAAATTTTCGGTCGTTGATTGGAGTTTTGGCCTCAACCTCCGTGTCTGGATTGGTTGACCATCTTTCGCTAGTGGAACAATCAACAATGGAATCCTGTGTTTCCTAGCCTGCACGCAGCCTCAGACACTTCTATCCCGAAGAGTAGAAGTATCTACTCTTCGGGATAGAAGTGTCTGAGGGTGCGCGCAGGCTAGTGTTTCCTCAAGGTATAAGACAAACTCGAAAAGGACTGGATCGAGCTTCTTCTGTCACGGCGTTGTTTCTAGTAGTACATGCCGTCCATGCTGGAACTGGAGTGCGGTGGTAGGACATTTGGCTTTTGCTAGATTGATGAAAACGGTTGATGAGATGCCAAAAAAAGCTTCTTACGCCGCGAACAGTGCCACCAAGGGGTCTCCAATGCCCTGGAGCAAAACCCTTTTTTGTAAGAACACGAGCCTCAAAATTGGTCAAAAGTGAAGAACAGTTTAAGGAGGTCGAGGCTGACTACTGTAAAATGCAATTTTGAACAACGTTTTATCTCAAGTACCAGGATGCCATGTTTGGGTTTCTTTTTAGATGAATATTAAAACTTGCAGGCAAATGAAGGTTGTCTCACTCACTTCCTTGGCAAATGAGGCCTGAACTCCTTCCTAGTAATCCTTACACCGGCTTTTTGAAAATATTAAGAACAGTCAGCCTGAACTTAAGTTACTGGTTCTTCTTTTTACTTTGTGGAACAAAAATGCAGCATTTTACAATCTAACGTTATTTTCCTGGCTTCTTTATTGCATAGACTATGTTTATTGTAATAGCTTGAACAATAGGATACCCCTACCTGGCCATGCGTGTCGCACGTGGCAAAAACAGAAGGTCTGAAGCGACATAAAAACAATAGTATTCTAGGAATTGATACCAGCGTGAGATCGGCAGGGAAAAAATTCATGCATGTATTCTATTGCAGCATTGATAATTGCAAGTACTTTTTCAAGATAGAAATAGCACTGTTGTTTTCTTATCTCCAAAAAATAATGATAATAATGTTTTTACAGGACCCTCAGTGATAGCAGTATTATCTTTACTGAAAAGGCTATCCTGTATATATATGGTAGATTATTATTATTATTATTATTATTGAATTTTGGTTTTACATTTATTTTCGTAATCGTACAAGTAAAAATAACTGCAAAAATGTCATATCATTCTTTAAATTCAATTTGCGATCCTTTCAATGAATATTACTGTATTATATACCTGTTGAAAACCGACATTTGTTCTGAACATGTCCCGTAAACGTGGTAAGGCCATGGAATAAATGAACCATTGTCTGTTTAGCCAATCATCGTGACGGATCTGGTCGTGTCTGAATTGTTTAGCCAATCAAATTGGCGAAGACATATCAGCGGAGTCATATCGGTGGTCAAGCAAACAAATTAGAAAGCAGTGACGATTGCCAGCAGGCCTCACTGAACGTAATTTCTCAGGAAAAGTCCTCATCCAGGTAAACATGCGTATTTTTTAATCTCAACTATAGATATTTGGAGGTTTTGAAAACCCATGCTCTTTTTTCAACAGTATCACGCTTTACGCGTGTTGAATGTAGCACCTGGTTCTAGGCTGCCTACGGCCTTACCGACATAGGATCAGTCGACAGCACTAAACAAAATGTCTTTTTACACAAAAAAGGAATCACCATTTGAAGTTTCGTTTTTATTTTGAAAATATCAAGATCGTAATCTTCTGCTCAATTAGATATAGTATTGATTTGGAAATATAGAAAGCAGTATATCAAACTCCTTCTTTGGCAGCAATCCCTGAGGTTGATTAAGAGGTCATTATCATCTGATCTCAGTCCTGCAGGGAAAGGCGCTTGAGTCAAAAGCTTGATGTGCCAAAGTTTATATTGTAGCTCTGTATTTGAATTTCGACAGAAAAGCATGATTAAAAAAGCATAAACCAATGTTGAAGGAATCTCTCAGGATCTTTGGAGAGTCTGTATCCTTAGAATTGTTATTTGCGAAAGTACAAAGAAAAGTAGGGGCAAGGGGCATTGTCGACATGCAAATTTGTAAAACCTACGTTTCAAGCGTCAAAACATTACTTCAATAAAGATCAGCAACACATTCTGTCTTTAAGATGCATAATTGATTTGAAATAGGAAGATCTTATTTTTCCCCATATATATACTGTTAAACTTCAAGACTTTTACGCACAATGGCAAGCCATTTAAGATGAATCCATGCAAAACATTACGGCGATTACAACTTGAATGAAACAAAGTATCATTTTACAGCTCACAGCATGAAGGCATGCAGTGAAAACGGGAGTAAACGTCATTGCTCGTAACTCTTTGTTAATAAGAACCAATATATTTAAGTTTATGTTGGCTGTTCTTAATTTATACAAAAATCTGAGGCTGGATCCTTCTTAGTTTGTTCTTAAAGGTGTAAGCTGTGCAATTAAAAGCTATTGTGCTCTGGGCCAGGGTGCATTCCATGTGCTTAAACCCGAAGATCTTAGGCATACACTCAGGTTTTTTTCAGTGTTTAGCTTGCAAACCAATAAAACTTTTTCAGCGTATATAAAACTTGATGTAGAACAAGAGCTACATAGTTAACATGAAAAAGAAGAAAATAAAGTTTACAGTTTTACTAATTGCTCATATTTTTGGTTTACCTAAACAAATTCCCAAGCTGTCCTTCAACGTACAGGGCCTTGTTTGCCATGCAGACAAGTTTAGAAATCCACACAAAAAATCATCCCTAGATGGCAAAAAACTCCTCGTTTTTGAAATGAAACATTGTTCAAAATCATGCTTTGCAGCCCTCAGCCTTAGCTTGCTCAGCATGCTGGTAATCACATGCCTTGAAAAATTTAGGCCTGCCTTGGTATGCGATGATGTGCGGTCCATTAAATTGAGACCTTACGATTTTTATGAAGACCTGACATCCTCTTTGTATTAGAAGGTGTGTATCACTGTTTGAAAAAAATTGTGAGGTTTTCTTAAAACCAAAAAGTTTATATGGAATTTTATAAGAAGTTTCTTAAAAACAAAATAATTTATCAAAAAGGAAACAATTTTTAATGCCCTGTTGCCATTACTTCATTTCTGTATAGAATATATTTGAGTGCATCTGTTTTACATTTTGAGATTCATTGATACACTCAAAAACAGAGTAATTTGATGCTAAAACCGAAGTTATTCAGAAACTCTGTATAAAGTGGAGTCATCTGAAAATGGAATCATTTGAATAAACATCGTTTTATTGGGACCAGCAAAGACTTTTTTATAAAATTGTTCTCATAAAAAAGAGTGTAGCTCTATTTTTGTATATTCAAACACTTCCACTTGAAAATAGATCACAACAAATATAAAACAAAAAAGTTGTTCATGAGTCTCTGCTCAAATTCTGTTTGTAATGTTCATCAACATTTGAAATTGTAATGTAAGATAGGGTTGACAACGTGCCAAGTTCTCCACTTATGTTAGAACTAAATTGATTGATTGATCCTAAAGCTTGTGCAATGTCCAGTCTTGTTGCTGTAACTGCATAAGTATGCTTATGAGCAATTTTTGCTTATCATCAGGATCACCTTCTTTTGCAAGTACTGTTGAACTTGTAACATCTGGTTTTGGAACTGCTCTACAGTCTTTTGGAAATGAGTTTATTGTTCTTCAACACAAGCCTCGCAATAACTGCATATCTTTTCAAACATTGAACTTTAGTCCATCAACTAGTTTCTCATCTTTTTAAAGTTTTCATTCTTCACTCCTAAATGGCCAAACCTCTGATGCCATAATTGCAAGGAATCAGCTGCACTTTTAGCTTCATGCTTGGATTCATTTATCGGCAGACAGTCAAGGATATAAACAACTTTCCGTCTTTTCTTCCTAATCTCAAGATTTCTCCATCGCCATTCAGGATGAGACATTTTTCCTCCTTGAAAACAACTAATAAATTCCTTTTGACAACTGCCTTGACAGAGAACAAGTTCTTTGCCATATCTGGAAGGACCAGGACTTTGGTCAGTTCGACAGGCTTCGTTTCCCTATGACTTTGACCTTTAGCCAAACTGACCCTGTACCTTATGCCAACAACCCTGTTTTCATTCAAGCTTATTTTCTCTGACACAGAATAGTCACAAAAATTCACCATCCTTTCTTTGCACCATGACATGTGCTGAGATGCACCAGAGTCAATAATCCAGGTATTAGCTTCCTTCTTGCATGTACTGGCTGTCAAAAACAGTGCATGTGTATCTTCTATTTCTGTAACATTTGCCTGCTCTCTCTGCCCTTTTGCTTGACTTCTTAGGTTTCTCACACCCTCTCGCCACAATGCCCTTTTGAACTGAAGTTGTAGTGTTTCCCTTTCTTGTTTGTTGGTTTCACTTAGTGTCAAGCAATTCTAGACTTCCCCTTTGACGTATCAAGCGCCTTTTCCATCGTGATTCTGAGGTCAGATGAAACTTCAGATCATTTTCTTTCTTCATGTAGCAATCTGACAATAATGAAGTCTAGATCAACCCATGATTCATGTGCAACAATAAGGTTATCATAGGAATCTGGCCAACTACACAAGAGAGTGGTAACTTGATCCTCTTCTGAAACTTGCTCCCCCACTGAAGTGGCTCCTTCCTTGTTGGTTCCACTTCTTCCCCAGAAACTATTCTCCCAAAGATCTTTAACTTGAAGAACCATTTACATTTTGAAGTTCCATAAATGAAAATTTGTTCCATTGAATTTATTAATGTGCTGTGACATACATGTTAAAACACACTGAATTAAATATTGTCAAAAGTCAGCTTTGTGGCAGTCTTTTTCTCAAATTTATGAAAACTCCTGAGCCTATTACCTGTTAAAATCAGGGGTTTTAGGCACAATAACAAGCGATCTAAGATAAGTTCATCCACAACTTAACTGCAATTAAGAATTGAACAAAATGAAAGTATCATCTTACAGCTCACAGTATGAAACTGTGCAATGAAAATGGAGGTAAACATCATAGTTTGTAACAAAACTATAGCCTTCATCTAATATATACATGGTTTCTGATTAAAAAAATAATGGGACTGCCCCAATCTGATCTATGTGTGCTCTACTCTTCCTTTCATTTTCCTATCAATTTGGATTGGTAGTTGCTACTACAAACAGCTCTCTTTTTATAAGGGTGTCTATTAAATCAGCATAAACACTTCATTATATAACTTTGTCTGTTGTATATTTTTATAGTTTTTGTCTCTTTTAGGGGCAAAATGGTTGTTAGCCACGAGTACCGACTTTCAGAGCTTGAATCACATGCCTCATCATGCAATGCCAAGATGGAAAAAATTGACAGCATGCTTGAATCACTGCACAAACAAGCAGTTAGTATTGAAATACAGATAGATTCAGCTGTGGAGATTTTGATTGATGCTCTGCAGAAAAGAAAAGGGGACCTTCAAGAAACACTGAGAAAGATACTAGCCAAAGAGCATGCTGTTTTGACTGCAAAGAAGATTTTTATCAGTGAGCATTTGAATGATCTCTACAATCTGCAAAAACAAGGAAGTGAAGATGTGTCACAATTCAGATGTTGCTATGACAACCTGGTTGATAAATTCCAATCCTTTTTTATTAATGCGGATGATGAAAGTGAACTATATTTTCATGATACAGGTAATAATGTCCTGGAGGAGATAATGCAATTTGGGAAAATACATGTTCAAGCTGAGAAATTAGAAGATGCAATGTCCAGCTGTAGTGGCTTTTCTACTCCAGATGATTTTGATATTTTGTTGAAGCCTGGAAATGATTCTAATAAGTTGACTGAAGAGAGTACCTGGGAAGTTACTGGTGGTTTTGGTGATGACAAGTCTCTTTGTCAGTTTTCAGGGTGTTGCAACTGTATTGATTTGTGTGAAGAGCTGGCTTTGCCACTCGATAGTGTGCAAGGTAGCCAAACATCGCAAGATCAAAATTTCGAGTCCTGGTTATTGAGGCCTGAACCTAAAGAAAAGCAACAGACTGATGGCCATAGTGCAAGTGTATTTGACATTGAAGAATGTTTTGGTAATAGGCTTGCTGAGAAACTAGAGGCATTAAGTCTTTGTAAAATTGATGGAAGCAGTGGAGCTGAATTCCAGGGAGATGACCCTGCACAGCTTCCCAATGACCTCAAATTTTGGTTGGTAAAGGAAAAGAGAAGACCAGCTCCTGTTGCCAATGACCAAATTTTTATGATCAAAAAAGAGCACCACTCCCAAGTCAGCAAAAAATGGGATGAGATTAGAGCTGTACCTCTATCTGCCTGGCTCAAACGAGCTGCTAAGTTTGAAGTCCAGCTTAACACTAATGGAACTTTGCATCCAAACATCTCACGATTTGAGGAAATAAGTAAAGTGCCTCTTGAATTTTGGTTAAAAGAATCATCAAGATTGGATTGTGGGGTGGATCTGACTCCATGCAAACAAGAAGCAGTGGCAAGTGTCAATGAGGAAGAGTTTGTCCTTGGTAAATGGTTGAAAAGGAAGCACCAGGAAAATGATTTAACAGAAAGTGATTTAACTGAAACATGCAAGAAAATCAAAAGCATTTCTCTGTCAGACTGGTTAAAGACACCATTATCAGAACCAAATATAGGAGGAGGTTCAACCAAAGCACAACTTGATGAATTAGAAACAGAGAGATTCAGAAGTACTAGTACAGTGCAAAGGTTTGATGATATAATAAGAGAACATTGTGAAAAACAATCACTTGGATCAAGCTTCAAGATGGAGTGCCGTTACAGTAAATGGCTTGCAAATCCCAGCAAATCTCTGGTGCCAAATTTTGTTGATGGAAAGGTGAATAGTGTTTCAAAGCAGTTTGATGAGATTGCAAAATCTGACCTTTCATTGTGGATCAAGAGAAGTAGTGTATCCATGAAAAAGCCAAGCCATGATTTGTGCAAATGGTTACGTTGTGGTGCATTGAAGAGTTGTAAAGAATGCAGTTTTGCTTTTTGATGCACAACAGAAACATTATTCGTTTAAAATGATTTAACCTTTCTTCCTTGTTTAACCAGACTAAGGCTTGAAATCAATGATGCATTATTTTCATACATGAGTTTCAGTTCTTCCTGCATGATTATTATTATCAAGTTGGTCTTTAAAATCATTGTAATAATGTTGTGGTTTTAGTACTGTGTTCAAGTTAACATGTCTGTGTCGATTATAGATAAGATAGAATGAATTACTATGTTTTTGTTTTTGCAAATGTTATTATTTAATGTAAATTTATTTTAAAATTTCAACTCCAGTGAGAGTTAAATTTTGTACATTCGACTTTTTGTAGCATATTGTAGATAAGAATAATTTCAACTCCAGCGCGGGTTAAATATTTGAATAAACATATCTAATTGTTAGTTGTTATTGTTTTTGAGTGTGTCCTTCTAACAATTGACAGCTATTGCATGTTCAATGAAACTATGTGAAGATTGAGTCAGATTTTGCAAAGGCAGTGTGGGTTTAGTTACTCTTAAGAGATGCCGCAAGATATTTGGGGCAAGGGGGGAAAGCGCCAAGAAAAAGGGCAAAGTAAATTGCTGAAATACTTTTCCAGGCGCCGCCGTCTCTGGTAAGGGGAAAATAGTAAGAACAGGCATAATTAATAAGAATAGGCAGAAATGAAATGATGTAGAAAACCGCATTTGATTACGTCTAAAAAGTTAGAATTGGGGAAAAATTCAAGAAAAAAACGGCAACAATTGAAGTTAACAGGCATGAATTGTGAGCAGACAAGTGGATGAAAGATTTATTAGAAAAATGTTAAAAGTAAATAAAGACGCGGATGGCCAGAAAGAATATAGGAGGACATTTAGAATCAATACAGGGGGTGGGTTTCCCAAACTAAGCCATTGGCTGCAAAATTCACGGCTGCCGCTAAAGATTCAATTTACGTTGACCTAGGTTTACGGAGAAAGTATGCCGAATTTTTTCAGGATTTGACGCCTGCATTTAAGCAGTTCTTAAACGATATCTCAGAGTCATGAAAATGAAAATATGCCTGTTTACACAGGGACCGCGGAAGCACCCCCCCCCCAAACAATTTGCTTAGAACCATACAAAAAATTGTCAAGCATTTTTAGCTCCCAAAAACGTTTAAGCCCCTTCAATCTGTAATATGCTCCGCGGTTGATGGGCTGATGTTTCAAAAAATCGATGAACAAAGTCGATGGAGACTCTTGCCAAAATGCGTTTTTGTCGCTTTGCGTTTTAGTCGATGTTAATCATATCATGTATACCATTAACAATTTTGAGAATACCATTACCATTAACATATTTTCAAAAATAAAACTTCTAGCGAACATCATTGATTGGTTCGAGAACAACGACTGAACGAACGCGAATTTCATTCAGATATTTTCTCCCAGCTTCAGAAAGTTTCTAATCGAATTGCTAGTTTTCACTCTCCATTTTGAAATCAGAATGTTTGATGAGATATACTTAAAGACAACGCACACCGAATGACTAAAATAACAGTTTTTCTACATTTCGTTTGCATTGGACACAGTGCCTTGGACACTCCTTTCCCTTCATAAATTCTTCAAATTATTTTGAACAAAAGGACTGATGGCAAAGGGCTTATTGTTTTTGCAATGGATTTTTTCCAAGTGAATGGCACAAATGGTGAGGAAAGAAAAGAGTAAGAGAACTGTTGCCAACTGGAAGCAAGACTTGAATGAGCCAGTCTTGAGTCTTGTCTTGGATTGCTGAGCAAATCAACAGAAACGGCGATCTTTAATTTTCTCATGGCTGGCTTGCTCAGGAAAAAATTCTAGAGAAGGAAGATATCTCCTGCACTTATCGCGTTAGAGATTTGTACCAGAAGAAAGGTACCAGAATTTCCTTTTGGTCGATAGTTTCGGGTGCTAGGATAATGTTTTTGACTTGCTGTCGCCAAAATGGAGAAAATATACGTTCTGTTTAAATTTTACAAATAGTATAATACTAGTATAATTGTTCTGTATTGGGCGGGAAGGTCTTCTGCATCGTTAAGAATTACCAGAGGGGTCTCGAGTCCCCATTTCATCGTCGGTTTTTGTTCAAGCGAGTCGCAGGCACGTAATAAGCTGTTTCAATGTGCAAAGAGCTACAGGTGGGAAGATAACAATTATCTTTTTCCCGGAGTTGAAGCTTCCGCAGCCCCCCTTTGCGTTGCCCAGAATTTCTGAAATGATCCCTGTTACTTGGCTTACAAAGACATCATTTGGATACTTTACTTTCACTGCGGTTCCCAATGGTTCCGTCAAAGAAGTTGATATTAACAACGGCAACCACAAAGTGAGGATAAGTTTCCTTCATGACTGGCAGGTACATAGACTGAACTGAAGCATGGAACTTGACGATAAACTAGAGCAGTGGCTTGTGCCATACAGTGGTAATAACAACAGTCTTCCGCCTCTTGAGAACATATTCGAAAGCTTGGGTCTCTCCACGAACTTGAAAGACTGGCTTTTGCTTCCATCGAAAGAACAGGAATTTTATCAGCGAAGGCAACCACCGGTAGATTGCAGTTCAGATATGCAGAGCCAGTTAAACTGCATCTCGAATGAAAATTCAATTTTATCCAACAACAGAACTTCTGCCCAGGTTATTGATGAAATCATCAGCAGAGGCAGTAAATTTTGGCTTTGTGAACCAGATATGAATAAAGACTTGGACACCATTGGTCCTGATAGCCACAAAAGTATCAAGAGAAAGTTGGAAAATGATGTTTTGGAGTTGCGCAACTTCAAACAGCGAAGAGTATGACAGCATAACTGTAATAATTTGTTTTCCAAATTTCTTTTTTATTAACTTTTTTATAACCAGAGGATAATTTTTTTTTTTGGGGGGGGGTGTTAAGGGAGATTTTAACAATCATAGCAAAAGATGTTTAAAAAAGCTTTATTATTTTGCAAAAAGTGAGGAGGCCATGGCCCCTTGGCCTTTGTCAGAGGCCCTGATATGTATCGTTTTCGTGCGGGTATTTATTTCTTAAAAAGTTGCTCTAAGCACTCGGTACTTGAGAAACTTTTAAGAAACTTTTGAACAAAATCAAAATCACAATTTAAGAATGCTTTTTTATTTTGCTTTTGCGATATTTTTCTCTAGTTTATCAAAAGAATTTTTCAGACTTGCCCATTCAAACTGTATTTAAATTGATATGAAGATAATAATTCAATTGTTCAGAATTATTTTTAACGCAAATAATTTAATTTTTTGATAATCTCTCCCAAACTTTGCCAAGATATTTCTTTTTACCTCCGGACCATAAAGGTCTTCTTTACGCATTTTAAATCACATTACATTCTACATAAGACAATTGTATTGTGTTTTTATTTATATTCTCAAATTCTTTGCTCGTTTTAATCAAAACTAGCGTATAAGAAAGTTACAAAAGATTTTCACAAAATTATCTTTACTGCCATTTTTATTAAGTGTATAGAAAAAGAGGAAAATACATACAGATACTATTTTGTAGTATTTTGTTTTATTGATCGCATTTTATTGTTTTGTATACTATTCTCATTTTTTCACAGACTCATTTTTTCAAACGTTGCCTTTTTTGTGAAGGATGTCTTAATGTGATACTAACATATCTTCTCTGAAATTTCATTTCTTCAACGCCATTGATCGAACCTCTATGAAATTAGGCTTTTGAGATTCTTATTTGAACGAGTTTTTCTTGTCTGCCCAGACTGGCATGTGTGGCACTTTTCGACGAGATCTAGGGTGCGGCAAAAGTTCTTTATCGCTAGTAAGCACGGTGCGGAAAGTTGGTTGGAATTTCTTCAGGTGCAGGGGGATAGTGCGCTACACAATTTATCCGAATATATTTGAGCTGGAATGAGCACCAACTAGCTCAGTTGCATGATGAATTGGTAAATTTTTTAAAAAAATAAAGTAAAGAGTCATAGCAGTTCAGGAACTAAATTACACTCTTTTTTATGAGAACAATTTTATAAGAACACGAGCCTCAAAACTGGCCAAAGGTTAAGAACAAATTAATAACAAGCTGAGGCTAAGCTTCTACAACGTTTTTTCTCAAAGTCGAAGATTTTTAGCCATGTGTGGGTGCTTTTTCGGTGATTATTCAAACCTGTCGGCAAATGAATTTGTTTCGCTCACGTGTTGGCAAATAGGGCCTGACTACCTCCCCAAAGTGAGAAAGCTAGCACTCGCACTGCTTACACCCTATCAAATTAAGAACAAATTAAGAACAGTCCAGCCTCAAATTTTCGAAAAAATTAAGAACAGTCAGCCTGAACTTGAATTTAGTGGTTCTTATAGAAAAGAATGTACTACCTTTTATAAAGTACGTTCTTTAAAAAGTAAAAAAATTATCCAGGTAAAGTGCTGCAAACTTCTGTGATGGTAACGATCTCAGATGCACCCCTGGCGCACTTTCTAACTATTTGGTTTTTGAGGTCAGTTTCAAATTTGGGGGTTGGTCAGTTGCGCCCGATAGAGTTCTGAAGTGTGACATCAAAAAAAGAATACTTTTAGAACTTCTTAAATTTGTCCGCATAATCTGAAAGAACGGCATAAAGTACCTCTCAATGTGAAAAATTAGTTAGATATGTTCCAAATTGGGCGAGATTTATGGCCAATGAGAGATTTCAAGTTTGCTAACGGATTATTTTTATTCTGGCCTGGTTTATAAATTCATGAACCAAGACCAAATTACAGAGGTTTGATGGGGCAAGAGCCTGTGCTCAAGTGGTCATATATCCGCCAATTCGTAATGCCTTGGCTTCAACTGATTTTTCATATTCAGAGGTATTTCATGATGCTCTTTTAGGTTCTAAGATTAAAATTCAGAAAGAAATTTAAGATTAAGATTTTTATGACGTCATCACTTCGGTACTTTATAGAATTTTTATAATAATTTTATCTGGTTTGTCCATTTTGATTTAAATATTAGCCAACTCAAATCCAATTAGAACTTTGGAAAATTATTGAGAAGGTAGTTGTTAACCCTTCATTTCGCTACATTTCTATAATTAACAACGTAAAAACTGCTGCAATCCTTATATTTTTAGCTTGTATCTTTGTTATCTAATATCTTCTAATTAAACACTAAACTTTTTCTTGGATGTATTTTGTAGTAGATATAATAATGTAAATGAAATTCGACACTTGTTCTTGGTTCCTCTATCATCCTCGTTTACAATTTTGTTGAAAGGAGAGGCTGAGCCACATCATGGTTTTAAAACCCTTGTTCCCAGTCTCTCTTTCTCTCACCTCGTGTCACAACTTGAGAAGGGTGCAGTGAAAAGATGGGCACTTTTTACGGTGAGTTGGTCGCTGTTTTGAAGCTTTTACAAAATAAATTGATGTCTAGTTCCTTTCAAATGTACGTGTTATTGATTTTTGTGAATATTTAAGCTGAGATTTTGACCAAAGTGAAGTAGAGGATATAAGGTGAACTGGTGGTGCAGAAGACAATTTAGCTTGTCATTCAGTTTCCTGTCACAAGTTTATGGTTGGACCCCAGGTCATTACCCCATTTAACTCCGCTGTCTAAGAAATTTGTGAAATTTCAAGAAAGCTGGTCTTGCATTTGCAGCTAATCCCGGCATGAATTTTATTTCCACCAGAGTTGCAAATGGCTGCCATGACCGCCGCTCCTATCTGCAATGCTCACTTTTATTTAACACTGTCCACAGGACTCCAGAGCGCAAAATTATTTTAAGTCCGCTGCAACTTTATTTAATGGGGGCAAAAAACAGTGCTTTAAAATTTAAATCAACTCTTTGTAATATTTTTGCATTTTAATATATCATTAGATATTGTTGAAATATCATCATTTATCCTATGTTTAATGATTTTGAATAAGAAAGTTGACCTGAGCTAAGTATCAGGTTTTTTGTGAGTAAAGTATGTGTTGTCATTTTCTTGATGAGCAAAGCAGTGCTTCCTTATTGCTTTAACTTGATAAGGATAAATTTATTTTCAGATTTCTTTCCCAGGCTACTTGCAAAGCATATTGTGTCTGTAGATGTGGATTTTGATAGTTAACTTTTTATTTCTTTTTATATCTTTAAAATGTATGTAGCAAATAGTTGAATAGTTGTGGTTTAAATACATAAAACTTAATGAATATGAATTTGAAGAAAACAGTTGACACTGATGTAAAAAAATTAGATAAGATGTTCCTTTATGGAAAAAACTTTTTTCTTCCAGCTGTTGCAGTTTTACTGGCAGTCTTAGCCTATCAAGCAAATTGCTTGCAAAATGCCCTTACTGTTGATGAAGCATACAGGTTTTCAAGTACTCTACAGAAACATAATGCAAAGGATCTGGAAGAAGCATATCATGTTGTAAAAGCACTTAGCGCACTTGGAAAAGGCGTTGAAGAGGTTCTTTTTTGTTCCTTTTTACTTTTATGTCTAAGAAATCAACACGGAAAGGCAGTAGTTAAAGGTTTTTGACACAGATAAAAGTGGCTTACAGTCACTCGGCCATGAGTGGTTGCCCAATCAAATTGCACACAGAGAAAGACATGAGAACAGTTTCTGCCTTTCTGCAAATCGGTTAAATCCTAGAGCAGCACACAGTGGTTTCACGTGAGCAGTTTCCAATTCCTTTCTTGTGTGCTTGTTCTGATCAATTTGCCTTAAGTTATTTTTAAATTCGCTGTACTTATGCATGTCAAATGCCTTTAAGACTACATTTGTACACTTTTTGGAATCCAACCAATCAGAATAATTTTTTTTTTGATTCAGGATTCCCTTGAAGATCAACAGAAAAAGTTTAGTCCTTTTCAATGACGTTTGGGGCCATAAACAGTTCCACATTCAGCTCTTCCAATCTTAGTGATTGAGAGCCGTTGTAAATTATATTCCCTATTGTGTAAATTATGTTAGTTCTAAGGTCCTTGGTCTGCAACTTTGAAATCCTGACAAAGTTGGTCCCTTTTTTGTCTTACAAAAACATGATGTGATAGAAGCAGTGCAGTGAAGCCTAAATCTTCTTAGCAGCAAAGTCTCTTTGTATATGACTTGAGGTCACCAACTTTAGATGTATCAAATTTGTTTTTTAAAATAGAAAAATAAGACCTCCTTTGTTACCAAATGAAAGCTCCCTATAAATTTATTCTTTGCATCAGTAAACCAATTAATGTCATGCCACACTTTATTTTTAGCCTAGTTGTTTCAAATGATTCATGTTCCTGGCAGATATTTTGTTCTGTTGTTTTTATGTCAAGCATGTATCTTTTCATTATGCAGGATTATTGCAGCTTTGCATCAAACAATTTGAAGAAAGATGTTAAATCAATTTTCTATTATTCAGAAATTGTGAAGTCTCTAGGTTGCCAGGTAATATTAACATTTCTATCAACATTATTTCCCAAGCAGATATATATCTCAAATTGGATCAGTTGGTTGAATGAAATATTTAGGTTGAACAAAAAAAAGTTGCAAGTTTTTTTGTAATTCTAAAACTGATCTCAGTCAGACTATTTTTCTATTCCTTTTGGATTTTTCTACTTTATTCAAGTCAATGGTTGGTTATCTTGGATGATTTAAAGATTTACCAAGTTAGACCGTTTTTAGCCCTCATAAAGGTCAGACAGATTAGGGTTCAGCTGTTTGTTTTTCTCATGTTACAGTTTTTTTTCAAGGTAGCCAACCAAAGCATTACACTTTTATCTTCTCTTATGACAGATATGCAATACCATAGGAATCCATTTTACTTGAAAACTAACCCAAAACAGATCTGTAGTTTAATCAAGTTTTACAGCTATTTGGATTTTCCCAATAGACTGCTCTGGTATATGATATGCATGCTGTTAATTCAGTTTGTATTTGCACTATGATGCTTTTGAGCTTTTTTTGATTATTAATCATAACACTTTGAATTTCTTCTTAGAATGCTGTCAAAAGCATTGATGGCGTAGATGAAAAGGACACAAACAGTATCTCTTTTGCAATTGCAGCACATGCTAATCTGGGTTTGAAAGGTAAGCTGCAATTAAAAAATCTGTTGCTTGTAGGTTTATACTAAGGCTGTAGTAATTCCTTTCTTTATAGTCCATTCTTTATATAAATATTGTATTTATTCCCTATCCATTTAGAGCATGCTAAAGGCAACTGCAAAAAATAAAAGATTTATGAAAACGTTTTTTAAAAGGTGGCAAGATTTGTTACAGTATTTTGAAATGAAAATATCCAGTTTGTGGGAAAGTCAAGATGAAAGCTCAATGTCATATGTCTTCATTGTCAAAACTGATCATCAATCTGTTAGGTTATTTGTCTTATTGCAGCAATTTGTAATGAGAGATGCACCCCTCTAACTCACTTCAGGTTTTGTCTAAATGAATGACATTATTTTATTAATGCTTCTAAAATGGATTTTATTTTGATTTATAGTTCAAGATAACTTGGTAAAAGCCCTTGAAAAAGCTGTCAAAAGTGATGATTCACCAGCCAGTTCTGCAAATGCTTTTTATGCTGCAAGTCTGCTTCCCAAAGAAACCAACCTGAAGTTCTTGACAGACCTTGTTGAAGATATTGTTGCTCAGGCTGATGAAATCGACAATACAATTTTAAAGTTTGAAGGTGGATTGCCTGTGACTGCTGCTGTTGTTAGAGGTGTTCTTGCTTTGGCAGATTCACAAAACAAAGCTTCTTCACTTTCTGCAGAGCAACTGACAAAGTTTGCCCAATATTTCTTGCAAAGAAAATATGTCATGGATGTCAAGGGTATCTTTGATGTTGCAACTGTGCTGTCTAAATTATCAAAGAACAAGGTATGATTATAATGAAAGTTTTTATGTTACAAAACCAGGAGTGCCAAATCGATCACAGAAATCCCCAAAAAATATTCATCTCTGATTTATGTAGTCATGATAATATTAGGTGTGGGATCATAGGTGTATGCCAGGCCTCCCCACGGAAAAAAATAACTTGGGCTATTAAAAGCCCCTGCCAGTTTGGCTCCGTGGGCTACTTAGCCCTTACAAAACTGTTGTTGATTTTTTATATAGGAGTATTTACAAAGGCAAAAATACATTACCTTGCCAATTCTTTAAACACTTTTCACCTTAAGAAGGCATTTTTGTGGGTATTCCTATCTTTTTGGGAATGCCTTGTTTATATATATGTCAAGACTTGAAATTGTTTTGTATTTGACCGTATGGTGTAACATTTCTCACTTTAATAATTTGTAACATTAATCATGCTACATGTAATTTTTTTCATGGGAATACATTTCCTATTCCATTGCAAGTTCTAGCAGATAATACATTAGTTTGTTAACATGTCATAAACACATAGACGTGTAAGACCATTTTTCTCTTTATTTACTAACATCCTGATATTTACAGTAAGTAGTACAAACATTGGGAAGCAAAACTGTGCAGACAAAATGAGAATGTTAGTTTGAAAAACTATGTGGATGGCAAAAAGCCCTTGCAAATTTATTTTGCGCAGTTTAGCTATAGCCAGCATCTCCTGGAATAGCCTGGTGCATGCCTAAGACTCTTTACATGCTTTTTGTTGTACAAGCAACACAAGGTCTTGACTGACTGATCTTATTGATTCTTATTAAGGTTTTGGTTTTGACTGATTCTTATTAATTGTCTCTAAATTAATTTTTGGATTTCTTTTCTGTGCATTATTTTGATAGCATTTCTGGATGGCATAATTTCTCTTAGAAAATCTTGTATTCTTTTTGCTTAAGTGCTCTTAATCTGATTCAAAAATTTGAAAATTCTTTCGTTTAAAAAACCCTCATAAAGCATCAGAAACAGCCAAAAACCTTCAAGAATTTTCACAATAGTATATTTATATATCAATATTTTAATGAATTAAATGGCTAACAGGTGTTCATAAAAATTATAAGATCTTTTTTTATGGATTGCAGACAATCACAGCCCCAAAGGCTCCTTGCAACTGCTATGTTTTGCGTATATAATTAAAAAGCCAGCCTAATATCATGCTGTATGAAAATACAAGACAATTTCTCAAGACAATTGCCGCAAAGCATTTACTTTTAAAGTGGTACCTGTTCAACAAAAAATCTTATCTAAAGCTGTCTGTGATTGATAAAGCTGTCTGTGACCGGTATGTTTTGCATATATGACAAAAAACTGGCCTATTATCATACTTTATGAAAATACAAAACAATTTCTCAAGACAATTGCCGCAAAGCATGACAGTTGCACAAGAGCCTTTACTTTTAAAGGGGTGCCTGTTCAACAAAAAATCTTATTTAAAGCTGTCTGTGATTGAAGTGCCAAGTGATGATGAAACTAGAAGCCAATCCTATGAACCACTGATTAGAAAAAAATTATTTCTGATGGCACTTCTGGTTGTATGGGTCCAATAATATAACAACTTTATTTATTTTTTCAGCTGTGTAATCAATATATATTTGTATATCTATTGGTTTTCAGTTTCAAGTTCCTGTTGTGGTGTCAGTTTACAAGGCTGACAGAATGACTGAAAAGAATAGAATTTACAAGGTAAGAAGATTATCAATAGAATTTATCACCTTTTTTTTGAGAGATGTTTTTCAACTTAATGTAAAGATCTCCTTCAAGATCTTCCAATATATGCCTCAACTCCTTTTTCTAGGTGAGAGTTACTGATGTCATGGATAACTCGATTCCAGATGTTGAAGTTGTTGCAAAATCTGTTACTTCTGCAGCTGGAGATACAGTTGCTGAAAATGTTGCTTTAGTTAAAGGACCCAAAGAGTAAGCCCTGTTCTTATCAATGCAGTCTTTCTTTATAAGAATGACTTTTATCCCACTGAAATTTCTTGATCAGAGATACTGTTTGTTTTTAGAAGAGTACCAGTTTGGTTATGTCATGTTTAGCAGGCCTTGCCCAGAAAGGCGCTCAATCGAGTGCATGCACCTAAAGCTGAGGTGTCCGCCTCTGGTTTATAGCGTTCTTTTTGTATATAAGATTTTAGCAGTGCTTTGTTCCCCATCCAACATTCAAGACCATTAGCTGATTTTAAAGTTTATAGCTTTTTGTTTAAATTTTTGCAGTGACTACCTTATTGTCAAGTCAGAAATTGCCAAAGGGTACATTGCTGCCAACTCATATGTTTATGATTTTGGCACAGCTGAAAGAGGCATCTATACATTGACGTTGAATGTAGAGTTTAAGAAAAATGCCAATGTTTACATTGGTGGAAAGGATGCTGAGCTGAAAGCTAAGGTTTTGTCAAGAATTACTGTTGAAAATATTGAAGTTGGTATTGCAGACAGAGAGCAATCTGCATCCTCCAAGGCAATCAAGTAAGGCAAATTGTTTACTTTGTTTAGCAAATAGCGCAATGTGTTAAAAATGATCAATGTTATATATCTTTTACCTAATGGCTACATGATACAAGAGTTAACTCCAAAACCATGAGATTTAGTAACATAAAGACTTTGCTCTGTCTGATATATATATTCAGGCCATGCTGGGAATAAAATGGCAGGGGTGCATTGAATCGCACTCCTTGTGGTGCCAAGGCGTGCAATGGTGTGCTATTGCACCAAAGTACTTAATAATACAGTCAGCTGTGTATGGACTAGACTACATAACTTTATCATAAGAAAACATAAGCAAGGCTAGTCCAATCAATACATTTTATCAAACAAGCTTTATTAACGTCAAACCCAACATATTAAAGAGAAAAACATTAACAATAAGGTAGGTTAATTATTATGTAATCCTGCAGTTTATAAACCCTTCTGGTCTGCTTCTCCTGACAATCTCGTTCTCGAAATTTAAGAATTCTAACTGTGTTTTCACCATAAAGAAAACTTATCTGTTGACTAGTGTTAGAACGAATTAAATGGTTAATTGCACGTTTATATTTTGTAAGAAAGCTACAGTAGCTAAATCCTCACAATTCAAAGTCTTTTAATTTTGGAACATTTTTGGCCACATTTTATTAGTAAAAGTTTCTAAAGAGTTTTGTATTTGCATACAGATTAGAAAAATGCACATAAAGTAAACTGTATATAGAGGAATTGTGAGTCCTGAGAAAACGGGATTTTACTGATCGCACTTGCAAGATACACTCGTAAACCACAGTGTAATCTGGGTCAAATCATTTAAAGCTTAAAGATCAATAAGCCTGTTTAAATAAACAAAGCCTTACATGTGCCATGGGGTAAAGCCTTACATGTGCTATGTGGTTGTATCTACAGTGGAATCCCGATATAATGAACTCTGAAGGGAACCAGAAAATAGTTCGTATATCGGGAGTTTTTTAAACCAAGAGATAATGTTTTTTGGGGGTCCTTTCGCAGTTCATGCCTAAAAAACCTGTGGTGGGCTTGTTTAGGCTATCTCCAACCTCTGTGCACATGTACAGCCATACATGTACCATTTAACTAAAAAAAACCAATCTGAATTCAAATAATACAACTGGCTGGTCATTGAAAATGAAAATCTTAATGTTCCTTTTATAACTTGGGACCAAGAGATTGGCAAAGCTGGTATCATTTCGCTCCTAGTTGGTGCCTGAATGATGTCTTCAATTACTTCACATTCTTACTTGTCTTTTTCTGCTTCTCCATCTGGGTCTCTCAATAAAGTTTTGTCGTCGCTTATTGCTAATGCCTTAGATGTAAGAAGTTATTTGTTAGTGTCAATGTACTCATTCGCAGTAATTTCTGACGCAATCGAACTTTCATCTCGTGGTCTGAGTGTATCAGCCCGGGCTTGAAATGTATCATCGGCATGTTTTGCCA